TTTTCTTCTTAATTTGTCCGGGTGGTGATGATTTGTGTTTTTCAGATGTGGCTTCATTGATTTGAGTGAGCCATGGAAAACAATTCTCTTCCTATTGATCCGGCTATGGATTCTTCATTCATGGACGGATTACTACTAGAAGGTTGTTGGTTAGAGACAACAGATGCATCCGAGTTCCTTAATTTTAGTCCTTCAACCTCTGTTACCCCTTTTGATCCTTCTTCCTTCATGTGGTCTCCAACGCAAGACACAGCTATCTGTTCATCTAATAGCTTATCTCATATGTACGGCCAAGTTGTTGCAGAAAGATCGAGTATTGAGGATCAAGGGAGAGATCTATCTAGCTTTAACAGACGCTGGTGGATTGGACCAAGTGGTCATGGCTCTTCCGTTATGGAGAGATTGGTTCAAGCTGTCACACACATTAAAGATTTCACAAGTGAGAGAGGCTCTCTTATTCAGTTGTGGGTGCCTGTGGATAGAGGTGGTAAGCGAGTTTTGACCACAAAGGAACAACCTTTTAGCCATGATCCAATGTGCCAAAGGCTTGCTCATTACAGAGAGATCTCTGTGAATTATCAATTCTCTACTGAACAGGAGGATTCAGGTTCCAGTTCTAACGACTTGGTTGGATTGCCTGGAAGGGTTTTCTTGGGGAAGGTTCCTGAATGGACTCCTGACGTGAGGTTTTTCAAGAACGAGGAGTATCCGAGAGTCCAACATGCTCAAGACTGCGATGTTCGTGGCACTTTAGCTATTCCTGTGTTTGAACAAGGTAGTCAGAATTGCTTAGGTGTTATTGAGGTTGTAATGACCACACAAATGGTTAAGTTGAGCCCTGACCTTGACAGCATTTGCAGAGCACTTCAGGTTTTGGTTCTTTTGCTTTCTCTCCTTTTTTACATTTGAAATTAGCTTTCTTGGAACCTCAAGTATTGTTTATTTTCTTCACAGGCAGTTGATCTTAGGAGCACAGAAGTTCCGATACGGCCTTCTCTAAAGGTAAAAAGTTTTTAAAAATGTTGGGAATTTTGTTCATCTTCCTTGGACTTTCATAACAAGCCAAATCATTCTTGAAACAGGGACCTGACTTCTCTTACCAAGCTGCATTACCTGAAATCAGAAACCTCTTGAGATGTGCTTGCGAGACGCATAAACTACCATTAGCTCAAACATGGGTCTCTTGTCTCAAACAAAGCAAAACCGGTTGTCGTCACAACGATGAGAACTATATTCATTGTGTATCCACAATCGATGATGCTTGCTATGTTGGTGATCCTACAGTCCGTGAATTCCATGAAGCTTGCTCTGAGCATCATCTCTTGAAAGGTCAAGGAGTTGTTGGAGAAGCCTTTTTGACCAATGGTCCTTGCTTTTCATCTGATGTCTCTAGCTATAAGAAATCTGAGTACCCTCTCTCTCACCATGCGACTATGTTTGGCTTACATGGTACAGTCGCGATACGCTTACGCTGCATCCACACGGGATCAGTTGATTTCGTCTTGGAATTCTTTTTGCCTAAAAATTGCCGGGATATCGAGGAACAGAAGAAAATGTTGAATGCTCTTTCGACTATAATGGCGCATGTACCTAGAAGCTTAAGGACAGTCACAGAGAAGGAACTAGAAGAAGGAGATTTGATGGCGAGAGAGGTCATAGAGAGAGGAGTGACATTGCCAAAGATAGAGAATCCGTCTGAAGTACCAAAGAGTGATAGTAATCTTCAAAATGCTGGATTAGTATTCGATGAAGGAACAACAGAGATGGGCGAGGTAGGCTCCGACTATGGAAAAGGTTTGAGTGTGAATGAAAACAGTACTTTCTCTAGTGCTAGTGGTTTCAGTAGGATGACTGAGAAGAAACGAACAAAAGCCGAAAAAAACATAACTTTGGAAGTTCTTCGCCAATATTTCGCAGGGAGTCTCAAAGATGCTGCGAAGAGTATTGGTGGTAAGTAAAACATTTACATTCCAATTCTTTATTTTTCAGTCCATCAAAGATTCTGTTATTGATCTTGGAATTTGTTACAGTTTGTCCAACGACACTGAAGAGAATATGCCGGCAGCATGGGATACAGAGATGGCCATCAAGAAAGATAAAGAAAGTTGGTCATTCACTACAAAAAATCCAACGGGTCATTGACTCGGTTGAAGGTGTTTCGGGCCATCATCTTCCTATAGGCTCCTTCTACGCAAACTTCCCTAATCTAGCTTCTTCACCAGAAGCATCATCATTACAACAACAATCCAAGAAGACGACATTCTTGTTTTCTTCAAATTCACAGCCTACAAAATCCCCTGGTTCCTCGTGTAGTCACAGCTCGAGCTGCTCCAGTGAAACACAAGTAAACAAGGAAGATCCTAAAGATAAGACTAGGCAAGAGACAATAAATCTCCCAAGATCTTTTAAAGAAAGGCAGACCACACACTTATCACCATCAACATCATCACAAGAGGATGATTTTCTGAGGATAAAGGTAACCTATGAGGAGGAGAAGATCCGGTTTAGAATGCGAAACTCACATAGGTTAAATGATCTATTGTGGGAAATAGCAAAACGGTTTAGTATAGAAGATGTGAGCAGATATGATTTGAAATACTTAGATGAAGACAATGAATGGGTATTGTTGAGATGTGACGACGATGTAGAGGAGTGTGTAGATGTTTGCAGATCCTTCCCGGGACAAACAATTAAGCTTTTGCTTCAGCTCTCTTCTCAATATCTTTCAGAACGTTCTTCTGCCAGTGGATGCCCTTCATGACATGAAGATGAAAATACAAAGATTACATATAGTCTGTGTTGTGTAAGCATTGTTCATAAGTTTTCTCTACTATTTTCAAGATTATTTAGGTGGTGGTTTAGTTTGGCTTTTGTTTTAAAAACGAGAAAGAGAAAACGTGTAAAGAGCCTTTCTTCTCTAGAAAAGGAATAATTGAAGTTTTCTAGTTTACTACTTTTGAAAAGTGTAATTATTTAACTCTGATTATAAACATATTCTTTTGTGTATATGAATTGCATTGCAATCGAAGGAAGACAAAAAAAAAATCAGGACTCAGGAAATGTAAATAAATAATTAATTACTAAAAATGACAATTAAGGAAAAATAACTTTTTTAGTTTATTTCTTTCGACAAAATATAAATTATGACTACATTTTGACTTCATAGTGTACAACAAATATTTCACTAAAGTCTAGTACATACTACATACTACCAGAAAAAAAAAAATATTAAAGCTGGTTCGTCTGTGTATAGTGTGTATACAGTATATGACTGATCCAAAAGAACTCTTTGACTACCCGCTTCGAGCGGTTCTACGGCCGTGCGGTGAATCAATGCCACGAACACGGTTACTGGTATCAGAACCACTGCCCCGTTTACGTCTCTCTTCTTTGGGTTGGTCTCTGATAGTCCTTACGATTTCTAGTTCTCTGAGCACATCATCCATGGGCGGTCTGTTTTTCGGATCAGCCTCGAGACACCGTAGAATGAGCTCGGCTGTTTTGACCACAGCCAAAAGTGGATACTTGTGCTCGAGCCTTGGGTCCATCATTTTCTGAATCTTCTTCTTTTGGGTCAGCACCGGTTTAGCCCATTCCACAAGATTCTGTTGTGCAGATGGTCGGTTTGGGTCTAGTGCTCTTAAACCGGTTAAGAGCTCTAGTAGTACTACACCAAACCCGTAGACATCGCTCCGCACATATAAATGACCTATAACATCAATTGAACGAACATGCCATGTTATCAACCGACAAAAGCTATAGGCAGGGGCGGATCTAGAAAATTTGTTCAATGGGGGCAAAAATATAGTAAAAAAACTATCAAATACTAAATTATAAAAGACATAAAATTGTCATGCAAAAACTTTAAAACATCTTACAAAACCACTCAGACGCTCATTTAACAATTGAAACATTTTTACCACATTTTCATTTGTGACAGATTCAAATAATTAAAAACAAAAAAACATGTTATTAATTAAAAATTTAGAAAATTTTGAATTTATAGACTTATTAATTTTAAAATTTTGAATTATGTAACAAACTTCCATAAAAGCTTAACCATAGAATAAACATATAAACAATTATCACTGCAAAAACTAATATAGTCATGTATAACATAAAAACCAATATAATGTTTTCCAGGAAACATAGTTATAAGCTTGAACTGATTAAATAAAATTAATTGACTAAAAAATAATGCTTATATAATAGAAACGATTGTAAAAAATGCAGGAAAATAAACTCACAAATTGATAGTTGTTGATTTGTTGTCACACAAAGAAACCAAATGACTAAAGAAGAAGAAAATAACAAAAAATTAGGTCTAAATTAGTAAGTCTTTAATTTATATATTAATATATATTTTTTTGGTACATAGATTAATGGGCTTTCCAAGAAAAATGATGAAATATAGTTTTTGTGGTGGGGACAGATTTTATTTTCTAATAATATTAAATAATTTTTTAATAATTTTTTTTTTTTTTTTTTAATGCTGGTGGCAGCTGCCCCCACTTTTGTTTCAGTTTCGTGGCAACAAAAGTTAAAGAATGTTTTAAATATAATTTGCACGTTTAAATTATTTACCTGTAGCCATGTATTCGGGAGCTGCGTAGCCTTGTGTGCCCATGACACGTGTGGTTACGTGGGAGAACCCATTGATTGGACCAAGCTTAGCTAGTCCGAAGTCAGACAGTTTGGCGTGGAAGTTCTGAAAAGACGGCAACAACGGTTAAGACATTAGAAAAGGACAGTTTTCTTCTAGAAACAAACAGCATGCAGTTTCGTTTTAAACGTGGGAATTAAGGAGGTAGACAGAGAATAGAGATATATGAGAAACGATGCCGTACGGAATCAAGAAGGATGTTGGAAGCCTTGAAGTCTCTGTAGATGACACTCTTTTCCGAGTTATGCAAAAAGGTAAGTCCTTGAGCTGCTTCAATGGCTATCTTCAAACGTGTGTCCCACGGCAATGCCTCTGCTCCTCCTGCATTCACGTTTTACATGGCACATCTATATAAATCGATCTATGTTTATACTATTTAAGGATAAATTATAGTGGACTGATTTGAGTAATATATATACTTGCGAAGAGGTGATTCTCAAGGCTTCCTTTAGGCAAATACTCATACACCAAAAGGAACTGATTCTCTTCCCAGCAATAACCCAAGAGCTTCACCAAATTTGGATGATGAAATTTCCCTAAGAATCTCACTTCACACTGCAATTTTACAAATATATAAAACAATTATATTCAATACGACTGTTTTAATTAGAACAATTCTGTCTTACATTTCACTTATTTTCTTTCCTATATTTTATATAATCAAATGGTTCGTCTATAATTCGTAACCTGATATTTATTTCTCACCGTTCGTTGTCAAATTCCAGGTCAAGAATCAAAACAACTTGTCTTCGTTTTTTTTTCCATAAAGACATTAGTGCCATATTATCCTATATATTAATTCTATCTACTCATACAAAAATAAAAAAATAAAACAAAAATTATATATGTATATATATGGTCGTGAATGTTCACGCTAGAGAGTGGGGACACGTACACAAATGAAAAAAATATTTTACGCGTATATACAAAGAAACATCCAACCATATTACTAAATACTCTTTCTCTTTCACAAATAATGTCATTCTAATATTTTAATTTTGTTTTACAAAGAAAATCACTTTATATTTTTAATACATTTTAACATTAACTTTTCTTAATTTGTGTGAAATGTGTCAAAGTATTATAACACTTTTTATAGAACAAAAGAAATAGTTTAAGAAAAAAAAATAGTTATTATGTATATATCTCACTGACTATTATATTGTGTATGTATGTAAGACATGTATAATTTAATATACTTATACCTCATTGACTATTATATTATGATGTATGTATTAATGTATGTATTGTTTCTTTCCGATTGACTAATAAATAAATGCGTAATAATTCCCTTGACTTCGTCTTTCTTCTTAATGTCAAGTTGACCTCTTCTTCCTTTTGTTAGTGCTAGCCTGCTAGGTACTAAAGTTAATACTAATAAATACGTTCGAATTCTAGAGATACCGGTGATGATACAACGTTGTTAAAATGAAAAATCCAAACAATAAAAGTTCAGAGTTAAGGATTGTCAAAACTCAAAAAATTTAGTAAGGGTTAGTGTTAGTGAATCGTTTATTCATAAACAACAACAACCATATTATGGAGCAAGAAAACGACAAGTAGGAAACTAAAATGTTACAAGAAAATGTAAGGATAATCTTAATTTTTTCACATATTTTTAAAGTAATGTTAGTAAAATGACCCGTACGTACGTATAAAATTATCCTAATCTGCACATAAACTTACGTATATAAGGTAACTATTTAAATGCACATTAATACGACATTCCTAATTCTGGAGAAACCGAGACAAACTTAGAATTCTTCTGATGATTTGATTTTTACCCTAATTTAGAATCGTAATGATGTTTTAACGCAATGAAATTAAAATGCAAATAAAAAAAAAAGGAAAGTTTGGAGTTACTTGCCTGCCATTCATGTAAACCTTGCTCACTATCAGGGTTTGATTTCTTAACGGCGACTGGTATTCCGACGCCGGCTCTAGACGGAGCTAAGGTCTTCTCATCCACCCACCCTTTGAACACCTGTCCGAATCCACCTTCTCCGATCACAGATTCTGGTCGGAAGTTCTTGGTCGCCGTCTTCAGCTCAACTAATGTAAACATCTTTAGATCTGGCGTCACTATCTTCCCGCTCGGTGGCACTGCCTTCTTTCCTATACCTAATACCTTCTTGTCTGCCGTCCGATCATCGTCGGATCTTGTCTTCTCCTGCGGCTTTTCACGAGGTTGGTTCTCAACCGATCTTGTCCTATGCTGTGGCTTTTCACGAGGTGGTGTAGCGGCGGGTCTCGTTCTATGTCCTGTTTCCGGAATCGGAAACTTGGGATTTAAAGCTGGCATCGCCACTAGCGCCGGAGGAAACTTTTTATTCTCTGGATGTTGCCCATATCTCACTATATAGATGATCAACACACGATCTTATTAGATTGAAACTTCATTAAAGAAAAAAAAAAAGAACAGAGCAAGCATATATATAAAAGCCCTAGAGAAGTTTCTTATTTGGGTAATTCAAGAACTGCAAGAAACTTATGAATCATCAGAAATAACCAAACAATTTTAAAAAACGAGAAAATAGATCTAAGACGTTTGGATAAAAGCAGAGAGATGTGTGTACGAACCTGGGAGGGGTTTGGTGGAGACAGGGCTCTGATCCTGTTGAACAGTGGAGGATCCAGAGCCATGACAGATGTTCCCCATTGAGACCAGACCAGCTCTTGACTTAACTCTGTTTTTCTTTTTCTCTGTTTTGAGTAGTCTTTGCTTCACCTTTAATGATCGATCAGAGAACCTTTAACTCCAACTGTCCCCTTTGTTTCTTTTTTTCCTGGGGATTTTAATTGAAAGATGGAGGAAGAAGCTGAGAAACAGAGAGGAAAGACCAAGCCAAAAAAACTCTTTCTTTGGCTTTGGGGGGGAATGTATATTACTATTATTATTAGTTTTATATAAAAAAGGTTGTGTATAAAAGAAAGGTCATGAATGTTACTTGATTGGTTGATGTTGATATATATATATTATTACCAAAAATTTCAACGTTAATTTGTCCTTTGATTCAGACTTTATTTTACATTTTCTCATTTCATACACAAACCATGTTCATCCATCTCTCGGAGTTTTAATAGTTTTTATCATTCGTGAAACTTCGGTATCTTTTCTTTCTGGTTCGAAAACGATAATACAAACCAATTTTTGTGACTTTGCATATGTCACTCAAGTCTATCTTAATAATGTTTATCCAGGGTCAAAGAGAATTTTGTCGTTATAAGTGATATATATATATGTGTGAAAATGTGATTACACAATACACATTTCAACGCGGTGCTCATCACTCTTTGGATCGCAGATCGCAAACATTATACAATAATGAATCATAAACGTATAATTCATACAAATTTTACAACAACTATCGTTGTGAGTTATCTACTGATCTTATTCTTGTTTCTTTTTAATCTATAAATATTTAATAACTCGCTCGTACTTTGTATAGTTTCTTCGCATACCAATTCCTTTCACATTATTTTCACATAGACTATAACGATCATATACGTCATCTCATTGACGTAACAACGTGAGTTAATTAGGATAAGGAGTGAGTTAGAGTACTTCCAATGGGAGGTTCATTGGAGATTCATACTAAAAAATTTATCATAAAAATATTGAAAAAATTGAAAAAATTGAGAATCGAGAGAGAGAAATAAGAATATGTCTCTAAAATTTCTTCTTTATGAACTTCATGAGTCTCTTAAGACACTTGCCTCTATTATAGTGGTTTAATTTTATCTTTTAACTAAAATTTAATTTAATAATACATTCTCTAAAATACCACCATTCTCTAAAATATATATTAATATTTTTTTTTTTAAATCTCAAAATAAAGAACTCATTGTTGGACATGCTCTGTCTATGGGGCTACGTCATAAAAATACAAACAAAATTAAGGTAATTACTACTATTAATTAGTAAACAAAAGAAAAAGGAAACAAACCTCTTTGTTTTTGTATGTGGAATAAGAAATAAAATATTAGTAGGTACTATAGAGATGGATGAAAACATTTTCACTTTTCAGTAGTCTGAAAATATAAAAGATCCAGATTAAGAGGAACACACAAATTATATGTCAAATCGAAAAGCAAAGCTTCATTGTCATTATGCCATATACTGTATCATTATTTGACAAAACAGAAAGAAAGAAGAAACTATGGAAAAATATCAGTGGGAAGAGGTCAGACAAGACAAAGAGTGTTCGATGGCGGGTCCGAGAATGTGGAAACTTTATGATGATAAAACGAGGGTCAAAACTCATAAGTCATAAGTATGTGGTATCCTTTAACATCTTTCGTTCCCCTAACAACTGATATAGATATGTGGAATTATACAATTATGAGCAAGATAAGATATGTTACGTTGATCTTTTCTTTTCTTTTCCTTTCATAGACGATGTTCTATATTACCGTTACTCAAGTAAAGTTTCTGCAACGCTACTACTGCATATGATAATCGTATACTATAAAACGGATGAATCTAGAATGTTTTTCAGAAAACGTGGGGAGATGTTATTTTAATACGTAGTATGCGACTATGTGTAAATCAGATAAAGCCAGTGTAACGCAAGTTGACATACAAATATATATACTCGTTCGACGTCCGCGTAAATCAATTAGCTAGTCGTGCATTTTGGATTTCATTTTTTCTCTTCTTGTAATCAATAAACTCAAAAACGACTTTGCGCTTAATTGACTATATTATTAAATACGATTTTGCGCTTGACTATATTATGTGAATCTTGTAATGTCACATTCTTCATCTACTCTGAAATCGATGTTTACATTTGAACCTATATTTTGAACCTTTTTTTTGTATTAATCTAACACACGTTACTAACTATTGTGTGTGGATTTGAACTCCGTACATGTTCAAATAAAATTGTAAACAAATTTTAAAATATACAAGAAAAAGTCAGTACTTAAAAAAAGCATCTTACAATTATATAAAGATCTATATGCTAAATTTATGTAACTATAACGATGTCAAAAACACACTAAATTTATGAAAATCTCTAGCAGTCAAATGAAATTTAGTTAGTTTTAACATTGCCTTGTAAATTTAGAATAGATATTTTACAACAAAAAAAAAAAACTTTAAAGTCCGTGAGGAAATTTTTTTTAATAGATGCGAAAACATTTAGCGAACTTTATGGTATTGCTAACGATCAGATGAGGATTCAAAATCTAGCTAGTTCTCACATTGAATTATAAATTCATTATCTAATTGTCGATTATTTTAAACTTCAAAAAACTCAAAGCAAAAAAAAATAATATTGAACGAAAAGGGATGAAATTGACCTCTTTTGATGGGGCTGGAATTGTTTTTTTTTTGTTTGGCCTTGTAAGATGGTCTGTGCACACACGATCTCTCCCATCTCTAGTACTCTATAATATCGGCAAAGCACTTCACACACACTACCTACCGTGACAAATCCAACAAACTCACTCATGCAAATTCGAAGAAATCGAGAAATCAGAGCAACCGAGAATGAGAGTGTAGGCACAAGAGACTGTATTTATAAACTGATCATCCGTTTTTGTGATCACCACTCCCCATCCTTTCCGCAAAAACTTTAAAGCTCTTGTTTCCGGCGAAGAGTATAATTTGAAAAAGTATTACTTTGTACTGTTGTAGTAAGCATATGTATGTGTATTAATGATCCACCAATATTATTATACGTACGTACCTATATATATATTTTGAACGTAAGAGTTCATTTTTTTTCAGTTTTTTACAAAGCACCATTTATCTCAATTCCCCCAAAAAAAAACACCCTCTTCATCCGACCAAGCTGACTAAACAAAACCACCCGGAAAAAAAGCACAAACATTACGCGGCCTTATCAGGAACCTTCTGATTCTAGCAGAGGTTTTCACTTAATGACTCATAAAATTTAGTAACTCTGTTTTGTTTCCTCTCTTGACCGGTTGGTGTCCGTAGACTTGCGAGCCGCTCTTCGATCTTCATGGGATTTGCTCTGAGCGGCTATGTACTCAAATGCCACCACCACATCTCCTATCTTGGGTCTGTAATTCGCTTCTTCGTTTAGGCACATCTCGGTTATAGCAATCGCATAGCTAAGACACCTCTTCGAGTACTTTCCCCTAAGCAAGGGATCAACTAGATGTCCAAATTTCTTAGGGTCCTTGAGATATGGTCGAGCCTGCATGCATTAACACATATAAATAAAACATACGGTAAGACAAGGTTTTGAGTTGCGGTTAACTCCAGTTTTTCAAATCTTTGGACTACTTCTTACCCAAGCAACAAGGTACTGCTCTCCGTTTGGTTTACTCAAGTCAATAGCTTTCCTGCCAGAAATGAGCTCAAGCAACACTACACCGAAGCTATAGATATCCGATTTAATGGTTAATCTTCCGCTCATTGCGTATTCTGGAGCACAGTATCCATAAGTACCCATGACCCGAGTCGACACATGTGTCCGGTTTCCCACTGGACCAACCTTGGCCAGTCCAAAATCAGATAGCTTGACGCTAAAGTCTTTATCTAACAATATATTTGCTGATTTCAAATCACGGTATATCACGGATGGGCTTATTTTACAGTGAAGGTACTCAATCCCTCTAGCTGCACCAACCGCGATTTTCATCCGAGTGTTCCAACTTAGCGGAGTTTGATCAGGCTCAAGATCTAATTCAAACAACAACATTAACAACAAGAGGAGAAGTTTATTAATAGCAACATGATGAGAACTCTGAGAATTTGTGGGGGATTCGGAAAAGTTGCTTTACCAAAAAGATGATCTTCTAAGCTACCCATAGGCATGTATTCATAAACGAGAAGTCTCTGAGCACCAGAAGTACAGTAACCGATCAAAGTTACAAGATTTGGATGATGGAAGACGCTAAGCATACAGACCTCTACTATAAATTCTTGATTTCCTTGATGGCCATCTGGATTTAACTGCTTGATCGCCACCACCTACTCAATTCAACTCCCATCAGATATTTATATATATTTTTTGAAGCTTTAGATTGAAGAGAAAGAGTTGTTGAGTTTACTCACTTGTCCTGAATCTAAACGCCCCCTGTAGACACTGCCAAAGCCTCCTTTGCCGATCATATTGACCTCTCGAAAATTCTTCGTGGCGGCAGCCAACTCCTTGAACGTGAAACTCCGTGCACCACCACCCGGTTTAGCGCTATTCACTCTCCCATTAACTGGCCAAAACCCAAAATTCAAAAACATTTGTTTTCATCAACATTTGTTTTCAAACAAGTTTTTTCAAAGAATCATCCAAAATGTTCTTAATTACCTAAAATGCCAGATTTTGACCCTGTTCCTCTTGAACCGCTTCTTGTGTCAGCTGCATGCAAAAAAAAAAAAAAAAACACAACAAATTATGAAAACTTTCTGACTAGGGAATAACAAATAAATAATACGATTTGAAATAAAACAGAGAATATAAATTTAATCAAGACCTGAGGAATAATCGGTAAGGTCGGAAAGGGTATCAATGTTGATTCTAATGTCATTAGATTGCGTATTGAGACAAGAGAAACACCTCATCTTTTTCTGTTTTTTTTTTGTTCTTTTATAAACTCGTTCGTGGTGATGATAATATTTGAACGGAAATACAACAACAATGGTGGAAGAAAATGGATTCAGAGACGACGGAGCTGGTCTGAGATGATCTCCAACAACATTATCATCAAACCTAGCTCCCGCAGAACCCCCACACACACGAAACAGAACAAAAAACAAAAACAAAAACCTAGGGTTCTTGTAATAAATTAAAAAGAAAGAACCTAGGATTTATTTGTTTCTTGGATTATAAATTGGGAAGGAAAGAGAGAGAGAGGGTCTTTCTCTTTCTTTCTCTATAATTCAAGAAAACAAATGAGAAAAAATGATTCCTCAGGCAGGAAGAAGAATCTCAATTGGAGAGAACAAATGGCATTTTTTGAATGGTGAACAATGGTTTCTTTATATATAGAGGAAGAAACAGGCTTTTTTACTCTCTCGAGAGAGAAATTATTAAAAGAGTGGTGAGAGCAACTGTGTAAACATTTTTGGGGACAACGGAAGCGAAATTAAAGGAGCCAAATGAGAGAGATCCTAATTCTGGAACTGCTCGTCGTTTCTTTTCTTCTGTTTATTCAAACGTTTGTTTTGTTTTCTTTTTCTTTCTTTTTGGTCTGTTGGTATTGGAACTAAAAATTAGCTGTGTACTTATATATGTAACGTCTTATTAAGTCTGGCTATTTAAGAGACACGGTTTCTCATAAATTCATAATAAAAAGGATATATGTAAATTTTCCCCCAAAAAAACCCAACTTTAATTCGTTTAAATTTTGATTAATCACAAGTAGCTGACGTAATACGGTAATTGTTTAAACGGAGTTTTCAAAATATATGTTTTCTCCTTCTCTTTTTTTTTTTTTTTTCTTTCTGATTAATCACGATTTTGCATGTGTACTACGTATGTGACTGACGAATATATTTGGAACATACGAATTCGAAACCGCAACACACATATACACATGAATGACTTCGAAACACAAATTTACATGTATCACAAAAATTTACGAACGACACTAGTTTTACATACACATACGCTACACTGATCACAATAATCATTTTTTTACCTTTTACTTTGATTATGCATACCACAACAGTTCCACAGCAAACACTATCAAATGCATTATGTTGGTGGATTTTTTGATAAATCTTTCCTTGCATTACATAGTTGATACTCCATATAATTAATTCACATACGTACACTTAAAATATAACTAGTGTATAGAAACATTCCAATAAGTAGTACTATATGTTTGAATATTTTGATCACCATATGGGCATCCACTCCTTTTCCCTCTCTCATTCAAATAATTAGAATAAAACTTGTATAAGAAGTATACCATCAGATTTGGACCTCATCAATCAAAAATATCCAACAACAACACAACAAGAAGCAAGGACAATCTCTTCTTAGTTCAACTAACGACGATGTCCACTCCCACCATCGAAGAGCTATCGGCCAACGAGGAAACTTCTCCATTAACGTCGTTGCCAGATCCATTGACTTTGAGTTGCCTCGCTCGAGTTTCAAGATTGGACCACTTAGCCTTATCTCTAGTTTCCAAGAGATACCGCTCTCTCGTGATTTCCCCTGAGCTCTACAAGACGCGATCTCTATTGGGTCGTACCGAAGAGTGTCTCTACGTATGCTTAAGCTCCAAGACCTATCCAACGTCTCGTTGGTTCATCATCCGCCGTAAAGATACCAAAACCATCCTAGGATATGCTGCGACAGAGGACTTGGTCCCTATCCTTTCTTTCCCCACTGTCCCTGAGCTGTCTTCTTTCGTGGCCATGGATTGGGGAATCTACGTTATCGGTGGGTTTATAAACGACAATAGAACGTCAGATGTCTTGCTCCTGGATTGTCGGACAAACACGTGGTGCCGCACCCCTTCTATGGGAGTGGCTCGAGCTTCCGCAGCAGCTGGCGTCGTAGGTGGGAAGATATATGTGTTTGGAGGATGCGAGGACGTTGATTGTTCGAACTGGGCAGAGGTATTTGATCCAAAGACTCAAACTTGGGAAACTTTGGTGCCAATGCCTGATCGGAATGAAGGTGATAATCTGATCCGTGAGACCCTAGTGATGGAGGAGAAGGTTTGTGCAGTGAGCCTGTGGGACGGAAGCTTGTACTACTCGCCGCGTGAAGGTAAATGGGGAAGAAAGAAGAAGCCAGAAACCCAAAGTTTTTATTGTGTGGTTGACAAAGTGTTGTACAGTTGTGATAAGTTCGGGAACTTAGTTTGGCGTGAGTCTGAGGAATTGGAGTGGAAGGAAGTGAAAGGCTTGACGGCTCTACGGTTGAACTTCCCTAGCTCGGCCTCCTTCAGATCCTCTGCAAATGAAAAGTGTGTCAGTAAGCTGAGCAATTTTGGTGTGAACATTGTGGTCTCCTCGGTTAGGGCTACGTTTGATGTTTGGTGGGATGTTTGGTGTACCGAGATTTCGTTGGAAAGACGTGAGGAGGAAGGCGAGATTTGGGGCACTATCGTGTCAGGAGCTGTGACCGTAGTTGATCATGTTCCCTCTGGTCATGTTCCGGTTGAGGTATTGTGTTCTGCTACTGTCTATGTCTAAATTGATCAACGCAGAACTTGTTTTGTGTCGTTTCTATATTTCAGTTTTTTTTTGTGTGGCCAGAACCCGTTATTTCAGTTACCGTATAGTCTGTGCAATGAATGAAATAAACAAGTTATTCAAAGGGGACATAAATCTTCTTGTTGTTATTATTACTTACCACTGATTCACAATCACAAGAGTAAACCAAACGTACATAATGTACAATCCTTTCATAAGCTGAATCCCAAAGTCAAATATTCAAATGCACATTGATAACTTTAATTTGATGGACTAGAAAAAATTGTACAAATTTTACATTCTTACATCTTGTGAGTTGTACTCACTCTTATCGGTTTCCTTCCTTTTTAATTTTTACCCTAAAACATCTAAAAGTTGCAACGATCTGTACAATAGACTTTCCCTATATTTTCAACCTTGTACCAAGAATCACATGCCTCTGCCTATTCTTCTCCCTCATATCAGTAAAGCTTTCAAGACTAGTAGAAATTACTTAGAGCTGTAATGCCAAATCTGGATGTTGCCATGAACCTGCTTGATGGTTAGAGCCAGGTGAGTTTGGTGAGACAACCCTATCGTTAAGATCCGGTGGCAACCGCTGAAATTCCTGTTTTATGTTCTGAGACAAGCCTTGTTGCGAGACAGCTGTTTCCAGCATCTGGTTTGGTTTGTTGTTAACTCCGCTGAAACTATGAACTAGACCATTGCTCTTGGTTTCTTGATTCAAAAAGTGATCAGCTGGTTCAGACTCTTTGCTCTCATGTGAAGAATGATTGTTTGCTATGATGGAGCTTGAGACAGAGGCTGTGGGAGACATGATTCTGCTTAAATGACGATGATTATCAGACGCAAAGTCACTTGAACACTTTTGCCTTCCAGATATTAAGATTTGCTGTTGAGGAGCATTCTCAGGAGGAGCTTCTGGATTCTCTCCAACCCACCCAGGACCAAATTCAGTTCCAGCTGGTAACATTGTTTCAATTCTTTTACTGGCAAATCTCCAAGCAACAGGACCAAGGTTGGCTGCATATCGTGCTAGACTCCTAGCGTACCCATATTCAGTTCTCAACCCAACCTGATCAAATAATAAAACAATGGTTAGATTCCTTGTTTCTTAAAACAAAGGAGATTTTATATTAGAGTAGCTAAGCACTTACTGGAGTTAACTGTTTTAAATCATCTTCAAGCATTGTGAAAATCGAAGCGTCTTGCAAGGAAGTAGAGTGGTTGTAGGTATCTCGCCTGTTCTCATCGACATTTTTCATCCCATATTTGTTGACGGCCTTCACAACAGAAGCTACAGAAAATGGTTTATGTCAACAAAAAGTATTGGCAAAATGGAGTTTTGAAGAAGGTAGTATTCAAAAAGGAAGATCTTTACGTGGAAACTCCTTCTCCCAATCTATCAACAAGCCATTTTGATTCTCATTATTATGGTTGATTCTAACGCAACTCTCTGCTTGGCGGAATCCATAAGAAGGAGGATTTTTCCTCAGATTGTAAGAACCGGATAATCTAGAGATATCTCCAGCTGCATCAGCTGAAATTTCAGAAGTGGTGCGGTCAATCAAAGATTGCTCAAGCTGTTTCTTAAGGCCTGAGCCTGGAGGACGGCCTCTTTTGACCACTTTAGGCTGTTGCGACAGTGAGACTGGTTCTTCACCATCACTTTCTTGTCTCAAATTTCCAAAGTCCTTTTTAGCCAACTCAAGCATAGCTCGTGCCTGTTACACCCACAGATATATGATCTGAGAACAGTTAATAACAAACGGAAGCAAAAGAGCAAGTTTATATAAAGCCAAGACAAACCTGTCGGAAGTATACTGTATCTGCGGAATTGTACTCCATCGCATTTGTACATATTAAAAACACGTCTTGCTGCAACAAAATGAGCGGAGATCAGAGACATTTACTCCTGACAGTTAACAATGATTTCAGACCCAACCAGTTTTTCCCTTTTAACAAAATATCTGTAACAAGGTTACAGAGTTACCACATTGTGGCAATCAAAATGTCAGATAGTTATCTTTTCACAAAAATTTTATAGTAAAACTAAGAAACCTTGAGCGCTTGTTGGCAAACACAGATGTTGCAGTTACCAGAGAAACTATTGCACGAGACTAAACAATATAAAGAATCAAAACCATGAAAGAAAAAAAAAACTCAATTCTAGCTAAAAACACAGGGCAGAGATGTATTTATACACAGCCAAGTGATATTTCAGTGAGAAGCATCGAGGAATGTACTAGGTTCAATTGCGAGACTTGCCTCAAATTGTTCTAAGGTTGCATATGCCCCGGATTCTAATTTCTTCCTCAATGTGCTGAAATCCATCGGATTCTTGATAACGTCATGATAATCAGGAAGCTGTAAACCAAAACTTTCACAAATTAGATAAAGGCAAAACAAATGCTTCAACATTAACGAAGCTTAAACAATAAAAAGAAAAACACTCCACCTCCTCAGTATCAACTGGGTCAGAGTACACTCCATATGTATCCTTCCTTCAAGTATTATTATACGACAAGATCAATAAACAAACCCAAGAACTGTATCACTTAAATCCTAAACACAAAAGTAGAAGAAGAACATAGAGAAAGAAACCAGAAAAATCGGACATACTTTTGAACTCTATCAAGGATGAACAACAGCAACTTTTTGTCAGGCAAAGGAGTAGAAGAGGGGCCAGACTCTACAAGTGACCCTCCTGTCCACAAGTAAATACAACAATTTTTTTAATTTAATTAATTAGCACAAAACAAATTACAGGTTTATGACTTGTGGAAAAAAACATGAGAAAATAGGAAATATAAATATACTTAGAAGAATGTCTGTCGCTTTCGAAGCCTTTTCTCCCTGCAGAAATACAAAAACAGAGTATGTCATTCATCAACCTCATGTTAACCATTAGTTAAAATATACATCCTAAACACACAATAAAAACAGTTATCTAAACAGACAGAAGTCTGTATTTATGACAGCTTTCATGTCCGTGAAAGTACAATTTTTTAAGAAAAAACTTAAGAAACTGGATAGTAGTAGTAAAAGACAAAGTGAGAGAAATTTGTCTCAGACATGATTGTCTCTTCAGTGCAGAACCGTCTTTAATTATTTTTTTTCCTTCTGATAACTATGAATCATAAGAATAAAATATAATATTCCACACAAAAAGAAACTCAAATCAAATCAGCCAGCACCAAGATTTTCTCGTCCAAGACAAAAAAAAAAATAAAAAGGATGAAAAAATAAAAATAAAAATACAGAAAAAGCTGAAATTATGAATTCCCATTTCCCACCAACAGAAGAAAAAAAAGGGGGAAATAGTCAAAACTCATCACTCAATAACCATATTTAAGCATGAAGACGAACGTCAATTAACGCGCCAAAATCTCAACAAAAAACAACCTAAATTAACAGTCTTTTTTACCCAACCTCGAATTATTCAAAAAGATAGTTTTTTAATAACTAACCGTATCGTCAGATCCGTAACGGCGGGAGATTGATGCATCGGCGTTGAAATCGCCGCCGTCAGATTTGAAATCAGAAGAAGAATCAGGAAGGTCGTGTGAGTTCAATCCGTGCAAAAGCCGATGTTTTTTGTCCCTCCGCTCATCGTCGTCGTCGTCTTCGGCAGAATTAGAATTCCGGCGATTCGATCGGGCGCCGGAATTAGGGTTTCTGAAACCGGATCTAAGCTCATCTTCTTCTGCTTCTGTTTTAACATGGGGCTTTGTTCTCTGAAGCAATTGTTGCTGTTTGATAGCTCGTTTCTGGAGATCGAGTAGAGATGGCCGACCTTTCTTCTTCTTCTTCGTCAATGTATTTGCAGTATCAGCTGCTGTTGCTACCTCACCCATTCTCTCTCTCTCTCTCTCTCTCTCTCTCTCGCCTTGTCTCTCACTAAACAGTCGTTTCGTTTTAGTAATTCATTTTTTTTTGGATTTTGTTTTTACACTTTTTACACATGTGTGTGTGTGTGAGTGAGTTCGTACGTGCTGACCATAACGTGGACACGGGTTACTCGTGCGCGCTTCCGATACACGTGGTTTATACTGTATGGATGGTTTTCGGATAACGTTTTCAATTTAATTGGGCCCTAATGGGCCTTTCTTCTAAGCTTAAAGTTGGTTGTATATAATTATAAATGTCCGGTTTGCTACATTTTTGTGTGTGTCTGTGTGTGGGGTGATGATTGGATTGGCTCCATGATTATAGATTTATAGGTGTATATTAGTGTAAGACAATATTTACTGGTTTGTTCTAGTTTTGTTATTCATACATAAAATCTACGTGAAAAATTGCATGTTGTTGTGATTAAGACAACAACATTTACTGGTGTGAATGGCAGAAAAAATACCTTTTATATAAAGGAAAAGAAACTTGGACTATTCTTATAACAACCGTTTAAAACGTATTAGTTTGGTAGTCTACATGTTCACATGTGTTCTGTCATTTGCTTCCCAATTACATAATCAACGCTTTCTTTGGTTTATGTCCATTTTTTTTTTTTTTTTTTTTTTTTTTTTTTTTTTGTCGGTGTGTGTATTTTTTTCTTCCGTCTTTGCTTAGCTGAATGAACCTATCTATTTAGTTTCCATTTTTCTTCCCCTCCCCGTCCCGATTCAGGCATGAAAAAGTATCTCCGTGTCAGGTTCAAGCTTGAGAGATGAATCGTTGACCGATGTGGTGTACATGGAAGTGACTCGATTTCCACTGAAAGATTTTGGTATTTTAAGCAGAGGGTCGTTCTCAATTTCTCAAGCTAGAAGAAAGAGAAGAAGCTAATAAGTTCTTGGTTTAGATCGGTTTCTTCAGGGCTTCTTGCGTTTGTAACTGGTACGCGTGCTTAGCTTCTTTTTTGTTTCATTTGTTTGTTATACACTCGTGAGAAAGAAAAAAGAAAAGGAAAAAATAAAATTCTTTATCGCGATTCTAAATTTGGTAATAATGCTATATAAAGGTTGTGTTAGAAACAAAATTGGCTGCTCAATTTCGGCTTTAGTTTTGATTTAAGTAACAGCTAAGTGTTTTGTTCCTCGGAACTTAGCTTAATTTGGAGTTGCTGATTACGTTATTAGGATTTGATCATATGGCCGGAAGTGGAAGTTGGGATGGAAGCCAATCAGATAACAGCTCTCAGTTCGAGCCAGGGATTGATAACATATACGAAGCTTTTATATGTCCATTGACAAAGCAAGTTATGCATGATCCCGTCACTTTAGAGAATGGTCAGACCTTTGAGCGTGAGGCAATTGAGATATGGTTCCAGGAATGTCGTGATAACGGTCAACCTCTGTCTTGTCCTATAACTTCCAAGGAGCTGAGTGTCACTGATCTGAGCCCGAGTATAGCTTTGCGTAACACTATCGAAGAGTGGAGAGCTAGGAATGATGCTTTGAAGCTCGATATTGCTCGTCAGTCGCTCTACTTGGCCAATGCTGAGACCAATATCTTGCTGGCTTTGAAGAATGTACGAGAAATTTGTAGGAACATACGTAAGATCAGGCACCGTGTGCGCAATCCTCAGCTCGTTCGGTTGATTGCTGACATGTTAAAAAGCAGTAGTCATGAGGTGCGGTATAATGCTTTACAGACTCTTCAAGTCGTCGTTGAGGGAGATGATGAGAGCAAGGTTGTCTCTTTGTTTTTTTGTCTCTGTTTATTTCTGTTTGTCTCTTTGCCCCTTTGTTAATAGACTTTTTTGGTGTGCTGAAGGCAATAGTAGCTGAAGGAGACACCGTGCGTACAATAGTTAAGTTCCTATCCCAAGAACTATCAAAGGGGAGGGAGGCAGCTGTTTCTGTGTTATTTGAGCTATCTAAATCTGAGGCCTTGTGCGAGAAGATTGGATCAGTTCGTGGAGCAATCATATTATTGGTTGGTCTGACAAGCAGCAAATCAGAGGTTGTTTCCACTGTTGAGAAAGCTGACAAAACTTTGACAAACTTGGAGATATCAGAGGAAAATGTTCGAGTGATGGCTACCAATGGTAGACTGCAGCCTCTTCTTGCTAAACTTCTTGAAGGTGATTTTTCCAAACCATTGCTTTCTTTGTCCTTTTGTTCATTAGACTCATTTTTTCATTAGACACATAGAATTTTTAGTTGGTGAGACATCTAAATCATAGCTACATGATATGCAGGTCCACCTGAAACAAAAATCTCCATGGCTTCTTATCTTGGGGACCTTGCCTTAAATAACGATGTGAAAGTTATTGTGGCTCAAACTGTGGGTTCATCTCTTATCGATCTTATGAGGACTCGCAACATGCGGCAGCGAGAAGCTGCTTTGCGAGCTCTCAACAACATCTCACCGTTCGAGGGGAGTGCTAAAGTCTTAATCGATTCAGGAATTCTACCACCGCTTATCAAAGATCTGTTTTATGTTGGGCCAAATCAGCTTCCGATTCGACTTAAAGAAGTCTCTGCCACTATTCTTGCAAATATAGTGAACATTGGCTATGACTTTGACAAAGTTCCTGTTGGACCTGATCACCAAACTCTTGTTTCAGAGGAGATAGTGGAAAACCTACTCCAACTAACTAGCAACACTGGTCCAGAAATCCAGGGAAAGCTGTTGGCAGTTCTTGTTGGACTCACTAGCTGTCCAAACTCTGTTATTAATGTTGTTTCTGCTATCAGAAACTCAGCTGCCATCATTAGCTTGGTTCAGTTTGTTGAGATTCATGAGAACGATGATTTGCGTTTAGCTTCTATCAAGCTTCTTCATAACATTTCTCCATACATGAGCGAAGAACTAGCCAAAGCGTTGCGTGGCACTGTTGGGCAACTCGGTAGCCTCGTTGCGATCATATTAGAGAATACTACAACCATCACTGAGGAACAAGCTGCAGCTGCTGGACTTTTAGCTGAACTTCCTGAGAGAGATTTGATTCTGACAATGAGATTGTTAAGAGATGGTGCCTTTGAGAAAATCATCTCCAAGATAAGTGGTATCCGCCAAGGAGAAATCAGGGGAATCCGGTTCGAGAGAATATTTCTAGAAAGACTTGTTAGTATTCTTGCTCGGATCACCTTCGCACTCACCAAGGAGACTCTAGCCATTTCCTTCTGTCGTGAGAACAATCTTACTTCAGTTTTCCTTGAGCTCCTTCAATCCAACAGTCAGGACAACATCCAGATGGCTTCTGCAATAGCTTTGGAGAATCTTTCACTTGAATCCAAGAATCTAACAAAGATACCTGAACTACCTCCTCCCAACTACTGTGTGTCGATCTTTTCATGTCTGACCAAACCGCCTGTTGTTCTAGGTATCTGTAAGATCCATCAAGGAATATGCTCAGTGAGAGAAAGTTTCTGTCTCGTTGAAGGACAAGCAGTAGATAAGTTGGTTGATCTATTGGACCATGAAAATGAGAAGGTGGTTGGAGCAGCACTTGCAGCTCTTTCTACTTTGTTAGAAGACGGTTTAGAAGTTGAAAGAGGAGTGAGATTGATTGATGAGGCAGACGGGATTACGCCTATATTAAACGTTCTGTTGGAGAATCAAACAGAGAATTTGAGGATTAGAGCTGTGTGGATGGTAGAGAGGATCTTACGTATTGAAGAAATAGCTAGAGAAGTCGGAGAAGAACAAAACGTGACTGCAGCACTTGTTGACGCCTTTCAAAACGCTGATTTTAGGACACGACAGATTGCTGAGAAAGCCTTGAGGCACATCGATAAGATTCCAAACTTCTCTGGTATATTCTCCAACATTAGTTAGACCTATATGCATTCTTGTAAATGATTTTAAGATAAATTTGATTCATTGTTAAACTCAGAGGAACTTGAGCTGTCTTTCAAAGTCGATAAACACTGCTCATTAAGGTACAAAATTTTTCTAATGGGAGTGCATTCAAAAGTCTGGTTCTAAGCATAAGAGGATCTGCTAAATTTAACTTTTCTAGATCTCATCAATAAATTCTAGAAGATCTTCAATTTCTTGCCTCAAAGCTATGATCTTTTGCTGCTGAGATGCGATCCGGTTTTCAATATCACGCCCTGAAGACTTCTTCTCGTACCCTTCCACAACAGTGGTATGTTTGGCCATTAACTTCTCTTGAAGTTCTTTCTCTTTCACAACTAGCTCTTCGACCTGCATCAACGAAAAAATGTTCGACAAAAGAGACTGTTAAGCAGCGCAGTAACTAAGAGAGGTGAGACAGCTGTAAAGAAATATGGGACCTTTGGAGATATGTGAGAAGCTGATGGCGAAGATTGTAAGAAACCCAGCAACGGCTTCAGATCTTTCGAAAGATCTTTCAGTAAACTGTCAGTGGATTTTCGGGCTGCTTTGCAGGTTTGAATGTCACCTGTTCTTGAGAGATCACGCAGCGATGCTTCGAGCTTATCATGTGCAGCTAAGCATTTTTGAATGATGCTTTGGACTTCCTGGAGTGTTGCTAAGACCTGAAAAACAAAAGGAGCCACTTAGATATCTACCACTAAGAGAAGCAAGATGTCAGTATATCGAGCGAAAATATGCTTGAAAAAAAAGGCTCCAATGTACCTCATCCCATTGGAGTTTCGCCAAATATGTAGGAGAGGACTTGGAGATTGAGAAGTCAGCCCGAGTGTATATGATGCAAGTAATGAACAAAACAAAAAATCCAGAGATTAACATCAATGGCTCACTCAGCAGATTGATGTTGCTGAACTTATAGTAAACCTGTACAGAAAACACATCCATGATCTACTAAAGATAGGAATATAGTGGATTTAGAATGACCTCATTGCTAACGTATAAGATTACCTGGATATGCTGATTGTGATCTGGAACAACGTTGTCCTTTTCAAGAACAACAACTGGTCTACCAGCTATATCTAAGTGTGAATATTTGATCTGCAAAAAAACAGTAAGTTTACTAACATGAATAATATCCTAACTGAAATACCCCGAGATTTTATAATCACCAGACCGAGGATAAAAATAATAAATAGTGCCAAGACTCTGTTACCTCTTGAGACTGCTTGACAGTAAACGGAGTGGTAACTGATATATCCTTTGACCCCTCGGGTAAAACAATCTACGAACGAAGAGGAAGACAGAAAAGAACATCACGCAAGGAAATTTTCACTCAATATCTGTGTATCATAGATCAGTTCAGTCCTGATAAAAGATTGACTGCTTTGATAATCTGCTTCCACATCATTCTTAAGCTAACAAAAATCGAACTACATAAGGAAAACACTTCAAGTGGAAAGTCTATGATACCAACCTGTACAATAAGTTTTTCAGTGACAAGGTCAATAATAGGTGAGCCAAAGGAGATGTTGACGAAACGCTTCCCTTCCGATGCAAACAAAAAGTCACTAAGTGGTAAACCATAACCTATCGTGAAAAAGGTTTTCCACCCACCAAACAAAGGAAACCTAGGCTCAATTAGTAGCTCTGTCTGCAACCAAACCAGCAAAAATATCAAAACACAAACAGCAGCAATATTTGTAAGACCAGTTATCGATAATCCAAAATATCAACCTTTTTCGAATCACTTTGCATCTCAGATGTGGAGATATTGCCAATATCATCCCTGTAATATATGGAATGGGCTCTGGGAGGTAATCTAGCAAGTAAATGCCTAAAGGCAGATGCTCCTCGGGGATTTGGTCTGGCTTGAAAATCTAACCTGCGGTTGGAATATGAAGCAACCAATTTGTGAATTAGAATAGCGAATTGCCGAATTCAATGCAGCTTCAGCAAGAGTATTAACCTTGAAAACTCGCCCTTGAGTTGAGCCCCTCGGTGAACAACATTATAATGTTCTGTGACCTGCACATTCCCCCAATGAGACACTTCTATCTCCCGCACAAGCTTCTCAGCCACGGCAAATGCAGCTTTGCTTTCAAAGTGGACAACTATTGGAGAGTATGAAAATGGTTGGAGATTCTTGTATGGGCCGTATTTGAGGTCTGATCCCTGGAGCTTTGTATTCTCCAATTTGGTGTAAGATTCGATTCTGGCATTGGGTAGTTTGATAGACAATGACTGAGATTCAACAGCGTAAGGAGAGAGATACTGTGCGCTTTCTTGGAGCATAACAAGATGAATTTCACCCTGAGTTATCTTCTCTGGAAATGGCTGAAGTACATTGGTGAATGCAGCAACTACCTCTAGCGTCAAAGTCTCGCCTTTACTGAGTGCTTTGGGTAATGAAACTGAGTAAACACTAATCGAATCCGGTAATCCTTTCGCATTAGCTTCTCTTACAGAGAGATTGGCCAAAGGGCGTTTAGATTTCCCCTTTCCCTCGCTATGAACTACCGATAAATATGCCAAATTGTTACCAAGAAACTTAGGGAAGGTCAACGTAAACTCAGAAACTGATTCAGAGCCAGAATTCAAGACCTATATACAAAATTGGAAAAGAGGACTTAGATACGCCAACACAAAAGTTACACAACATATGACTTCGTAAGTTGGAGCCTGACTAACACAGTCTCATGGAAGTTACCTTAAGGGTCTTAGTGACGCGAGCAACCTGTGAAGTCACATCGATCTGCACCAAAAAAGAAGGGACGCAATTGGATAAAGAGAGAAGAAAAAGTGAAGCTAAAAAGACTATCGAAATGAAATCACTTCACAAATATCAGAATTCTATATCCAGTCCTAACGAGATCACAAGAACGTCAGAAAAAGGTTAAATCTTTAGAGCTGATATTCCACGTGTTAAGCACAGATCATCAAATGCAAGTCGTGCTATTGGATCAGGAACCTCGTGGATCGTAAAACCAGATCGAAGATATTGTGTGGGGGAGAGTGATTGAGACTTACACGACGTTCGACTTTGGATAAAACCAGATCGGAGAACGCCGGCGTCGCGAGTACAGCGATCGCCAGCAGAAGAAGCAACAGATCGACGACACTCGATTGTTTCATCCTCGTCAGATTAGTCGGACCAGTCTTCGAACTCGCTCACTCACTCAGCCTATGACTATGAGCATTTACAAAAATCTTGCTTGACTGTTCCCGGGTCGGGTCTTACCCGTAAGAAAGGCTTATTTTATTTATCAAAGCCCATATATATTGGGCCTGAATATGGGCTTAAAGGACTAGTTTTTAGCTCATTCGCTATTGATACATGGCAGTGAGCTATTGGTTGGAATATGGTAAACCTTGATGTAGACGATAATTGATGATGATACAGTAGTCAGTCGAATTGTGGAAACTAGGTGAGGTTTTGGTTTTGGCTCTGCTTTGAGCTTTGAGTTTTCTCCAGGCGATTTTCTCGAGAAAACAAAAGTAAATTGTTGGGGGAAAATGGAGACTTCTCTGAGGTATACCTGCAATTCCAGGTCTTTGAAAATTCATGCCAAAGAGAAGGTCCCTGTGAACTCGAAAACCCATCTGCAGGTGAGAACTTTGTTTTTTGGGTTGTCTCCTTCGTATTCGTTTTGCTTGGGTTTAAGCTCTATTCATTTTTTTGGCTAGTTTATTTACTTTGGAGCTTAATGCCCAAAGTCTCTCGTTTACAAGTAGGGGTTTATTTTGGGTGTTTCGGAGTGCATTTTTACATAAGGGAACTGTAAAGTCTGAACTTTTGGTTAAGAAGATAAGATTAGGCACTGGTTTTGAAATTTTGAAGCAGCTCTTTAAGTTATCAAACCCTAATCTGAGTGAAGTTTCTGCTAATGAACATGACCTGGGATTTGTTCCAATTTTTAGAATTTAGTTGTTGCGGGAGCCAAGTTTAGGAGTGGTTTGTCTCACTCTCTTCCCGGAGTTCTTGTGGGACTCTGTATCATCATTGTGTTGTTAGGGTTTTGAGTATTGTGTTTTTGAGAATGTAAGTAATTTAGTGTAAGAATAAATATAAGATTTTGTCTGAATGGTCAATTTCCTTACAATGGTTATTGTCAAAAAAGCGCAGGCTTTCCCTGAAATCTGAATCATGATTCATTGTATCCCGCTTGCTTGTTCTGCTATAGTTGTTTGGCTTTGGCTGCAGTATCTCGACGTATATACCCAAGTTCTTTTACTATTTAGCAATCATAGTTTTAAGGAGTGGTCTGTGTCACTCTCTTCTTGGAGTTTTTGTTGGGACTATGTACCATCATTGTGCTCTTAGGGTTTTGAGTTATTTGGTTTTTGGGAATGTAATTCAGTGTAGGAATAAGAAACATTAATTATGGTTATTGTCAAAAGAAACAGGCTTTTCCTGAATCATGATTCATTACTTGTCTGTATGTGTATCCCGCTTGCTTGTTCTGCTATATTTGTTTGCCTTTGGCTACAGTATCTCTACGTATTTAGTCAAGTTGTGTTGCTATCTTGCAATCATATTTCTGTTTCTCATTGTCTTTGGTGGTTTTTGTTTTGATGATAGCTTCATGGAGAGCTAGATACTGGAACTGGGGCCCCAAGTTACTTCTGCGCGATGATAAGATACTTTTTTCCTGAGGTTTGATCTCTATTTCCGATGTCTCTTCTACCTATTCTTCATGAAATAGTTTCTACTGTTGATTGATACTAATATAGTCTTAGGAATTTCCCTTAGGCTTCAACAGGCCTTGGAGTAGGACTGCACTATGATAAACGCCAAAAGCTTCGGTGTCTGGTACGTGGGAAAAAAGAGTTTCCTGTGAGAACTGATAAGCGTGTAACCTTTAATATTAAAGGGCGGTGTGATTTTGATCAAGACTTGAATCAGGTTCAATTCTTGTTGTGGTCTCGAAAACTTTCTTTGAAGTAATGTTTCTTGATTGTGGATTTTGCCTAACCAAACTGTCCTCATTTTTTGCCAACAGAAGAACCCCAAAGGAGCTGCAGAATTTGCCTGGAACATTATGGATTTTAAGGAAGATCAGGATGTACGGATCAAAGTTGGCTACGAAATGTTTGAAAAGGTATCTCTCTCGTAGCTGTTAAGCTGAAGTATGCTGTTGACTCTTCCAAAATTTCACTCTTCTGGTTATATTTGAACCCTCTATATAATCTTTCAATGTCTAAGCCCCCAAAAGTAGACTATTTGTTGAAAGCAAAAAGGAAAGTTTTCGCTTCATACTTGCGTAGTGGCCACTATTATGAATGCCTAGACATTTATCTTCTGAAACCTAGTATCATCATTTTTAGGCTTTAAATCTCCATTGTTAAACTAATAATGCCTTTTTTAGATTCATCAAAACAATGTGTCCTTTTTTTATTTCAGGTCCCTTATATGCAGATTCGAGAAAACAATTGGACTCTCAGCGCAAACATGAAGGGAAAATGGAACTTGCGGTATGACCTGTAACTGCGTTTAATTTTCATCATCATCCTTTGAGAAATGTATTTTTACAACTACTGATGAACACATTTTTAATTCTACCAATTGATCAAATCCATAGATCTTCCAGTTTCATCTCCATTATTATTATTATTCCTTGTGTCTCTGAAGTCAAATCTAGAGGTTCCTCCTATGTCGGATAATAGGGCTCGTATCTACTTAAAGTTTATGAGTAGACTTATACACTCCTAGTTCTAGGTCCCTTAGAGAATCCTCAACCGTGTGATGGATACATAACTTAACGGGGAAAACATGCTAAACCAGAAATCCGTCATGATTTCACTAACCAATTTCTACCTGCCGAAAAACCAAGTAAATCTCAGACCGGGTTTGATTGAAGTTTTGAGATGGTGCTGCTAGGGAACATCAACATCAGTACCAAAATCTGAGTTAAAAAGCCCGCACACAAAGTGATGATCTCCAGAATCCAAGAATGGGGTATGCTCAAGATTTGCTTACTGATCATCATCACTCAGAAAACAAAAGAGAGATAAGTAAAATAAATAAAGAAGAAGATCAAAGATCGTGTTCAACCGGTAAAAGAAAAAGAGACTCGGACAAGTCACCAATTTTATCGTTAGATTTGTTGTTAGTGAGTGAGTGGCTTGAACTCAAAAAGCCACGTGACTGATCTCCTCTCTATGCATACGATTCAATTAACTATAATATCTCGATGTTTTTTGTTAGAGGCGGCTGATTAATATATAGAAAAGCTCTCTACCTTAGTGATGAGGTCCCTTTTCATTTTATCCCAACCAAAAAAAAAAATGTGCACGTAGATGTGACAAGTTTTATCCCAAATCTTTGTTGAATAGTACTACTACTTTATAATTTCCTCCCCCCAACTTGTAAAGACAGATATTTTGGAAAGTCATTGCAATTATCTTCTTAAGTCATGCATCTCAATCAACTTTTCTAGTCTTTTAGACATCATCTTTGTGTATATGTATGTATGTATATATCATGTCGGGTAATAAGTCGTTTTAGCATGTAAAATCAGTTTCAACTTTCAATTCGTTTACACGTAGGAAAAAGTTTGATATAATAATATCCATTTCGATAGTAATATTTTGATTCTATCTCTATATGATAAAGTCATCTACTTTTAAAATTTTGCAATATCTAAAATTGACTTGAAAGACGAATCAACTATAAAAAGCTAAAATGAAAGCAATTGAAAATCTCCTATAAACTGTGTCGAGTGAAATGGTATAATCATTATATTTTAAAGATAACTACAATAAAATGGATGGAATGATCTAGAAATTTACTCGAGTTTGGTTTGGTGAAACTTTTTTTTTGGGCAGAAGGTTTGGTGAAAACTTGAAAGGGTAATCACAAGGCAAACCACTTCTTCAATTGAACGAGGCCGGATTTTATATGATAACGTGGAAAACAATTTCTTAAGCTTGTTTCTAAGCCACTAGTACTGTGGGGAATGGAGAAAATCTCATGGCTGGCATTAAGTTAAGTTAATTTGGTCACATTAATTCGATGCGTTTTCTATTAAAATTTGGTTCCAGGTTTTCATACTATAAACTAATAAAAAGCAAACACTTGCGCATAATCTAATATTTAATCATATGATCATGCATATTATTCTAATGATAAAGTCCAAAGAAATTTTATATAAAAGATAACATAAAGTGAATTGTGCTTTACATGTTCACATGTGACCTGCAGAGAGCAGATTATTGCATCCCTGCGTATAATTTAGCCGGTACATATCCAAAATTTTATCACAAGAATAAGGAAAATTCCAAAACTATACGAACCTGTAACTAAAGTCGTAAAACTAGATACTGAGTACTGACAGCCAAAGTTTACATCAACTGGTGAAAGCAGTTTATAAGTACAACTCTACACGATCGATTATGAAGTTTTTAGACCCTTATTGAAGTAGTTAACAATTTATGATGCTTTTCAATATTAAAATATTTGGTTTGGCTTCATTTTTCAACTTATTATAACCGTTTATATAAATCTTTTAAGTTAATGTTGACCAAGAAAATGTTTATTAAGTAATGTAAAATTTCGGGACTACATATAGTTTTCGAATATTAATTTAAAGTTGCGAAGCATGTGACGGAAAGCAAGAGTGGGTGGTGGGAATTTGGAAAGTGATAAGTGCACTAGAAGAGAAATATATATATATATATATATATATGTAGTCAAGAAAAGAAAATTACTTAATGGTCTCTATATATATATATATATTTTTTTTGTCATGTAACTATATTTGGAAACTCGTAATTTCACACGTTTCCTCCTCTTTTTTCTTATCACACATTGATTCATGTATGTATGTATACTATAATTATTCTTCTCTTTGTTATATCAAATTGTTTGATGTATGTAAATTATTTATAGTACGTTTAGTTTCCATGCAACGATACAACAATTAGTATTAGTGTTCAAGAAATTAAGAGAGCCGACATTTATATCAAAATGTATGCACGTTTATGATCCTCTTTTGCATGAATAAGTTAAGTAGTTTAACAACCATGGTTATCTACAACAAAGATACATATTCAACTCTCCATCAAGCATTATATATGTCTCCCCTCACCAGTCCCCACTAGTACTCTCTACCGTTTCAATGTTATGCATTACCAAGACACAAACGTATGGGATCATAACGCCAACGGAAATAGATCCACAAGATCATATGAGTTTACAGTGTTCAACTTTGCAGTTGTTTAACATAATATATTTTTTCAGTCTTGCAAACGGTTAAATATATTTCAAAGTTACAGCTCAAACTGTTTAATAAGTATAACTATAACTTTCTTCCAATATATATATATATAATAAAACCGAGTGCATATAAATTGAGTGATAAGTAAAAGAGAAAAAGTTTATGAATAAGAAATGGACAGGCGTCCCTCTTTGCCAAATCTTTTCGAGTCTTGACGCATATTTTTCAGTTAGTTGTTATTATCATCCTTCACACAAACTTTGATGACTATAGAAGACAAAAGGTTCACACACACACATGAACCTTCATTTCATTCTCTACATATGTGTTAATTAGGCCGATGAAGTGACTCTTCTCCACATATGTTTTACACCTATATTTACTTTATGGCCGGCCATAGGAGAAGTTAACTATAATTATTTTCCACATGAATGATTTGGTTTATAAAAAGTTCCAAATTAACCTTCATATTAGAATTGTATTAATTGTACCGGCCAGATGAAAATATATACACTAATTATTTTTCATATGAAACTTTCTTATTAGAATATGTTATAGCAATAGTTGTTATTTTGCACCCTAACTTCGTTTTCGTACGTTAGCTCAGCTGTTCGGTCTGTCTGTACAAGGCATTATTCTCGTGGCCTAAGAGTGTTTGGAGAAAACTGTAAAGCCAAAAATGGAATACTGACTTCTTCATATGGTTTTCATAAGTATGACTTTTAATAATATACAGTTCTGGTCGATATAGTTTTATTTCGTTAGCCTGATTTCTTATAAATTCTTGTAAATTAGTTACATAAGTACATTTTTACATGTGGTTTTTTTTGGGGGAAAAAGATCAGATAAAATAGTATACTTTATCTTGGTATATAACATGACAAACTGGACCTATAGTTTGAAAAAAATATTGCAATTTATTTATTTCCATGGATCACTTTGAGGTGGTATGTGTATGTGTATGTGTGATGCAATCCCACAGTCATTATTAAATACATGGGATTGTACATACACAAAAAGGCCAGTTACTAGATAAAAAGTTCATTATTTTTGTTTAGGAGGATTACAAATTTAAAATTGATCTTATCTAAACGTTAAAAAGTTTTTCTTAACGAATTAGTCGTTATCGCCAACACCAATTTCCATGTCAGCTTAATTGACTGCAAATTAAAGTTTCGACTTCGTAATTTCGATGTTTACAAAAATTGTCAACTGATTCAAGATGCGTTTTTTCCTTTCTTTTCCTGAGCATTTTAATTGATAAGTTTTGCACTTTACTTTCGATATTTTTCATACAGTAAAATATACTTGTGAGTTGCGACGAGTTCGAAAGACATAAATCGTATATATAAGTATTTTCTTAGCATAGTAACATAGCACTTAAAAAGAATTGTTCTATAGATTTTTGTATATTCCAAGTATATATATTTTCTTAACATAGTAACATAGCACTTAAAAAGAATTGTTATATAGATTTTGTATATTCCAAGTATATATAGTCCAGCAGCCATTGATATAAAATGTTCTTTTCGTGATTTCAAAGGTCATTATAGTACGCAGAGTAGAGAATCACATTGGTCCACTAGGTCAAAACGTCATTAAGGTTCTTAAAACATATAAGCATCATCATCAGTTGAGGCAAAATACTTAAAATATAGAGTAAATAAATTTAGAATAGGTAGTAATTTTATTAGTGGTATCTTAAATATTATTAAAAAAGTGTGAGTGTCAAATGTAGGAGGATATACCAATGGGCATGTGCATGGGTGCATGCATCTAACAAATGTATATTAATTCCAACCTTTTTGTTTTTGTGATAACTCAAAAGATCACGAACCGAAACTCAAATAAAATCTTTGAATGTGTTATGTGTATATAGAAGATACTCAAATTCCATCATTTGTTGTTTAAATATAAAACAAAAGGTTGGATTATATATTAATTTGGGAGTACTAATATATATCTTAGATCAAAACTGAAATCAATGTTGAGTTATTTAATCTCATTCCATCCACTTTGAAATTACAAATTATATAGCAAAAAGTCCACAAAATCTATAATGTATGTATATAATATAAAAATATATGTTATTAGATAATACCCACTACATCATCATAATCCGCCTGATTTAGTTGATGTTGATGACAAACTGACAAAACAATCATTTTTAGGGCAATAAATACGAGAAGAAAAGAATGTTAGGATAAGCGATACACAGCACAACGCTATCAACTTATATATGTCTCGTGTTTCGGTGTTCGATGGTCGCATCGCACACACAAAGCTTCTTCCACTTCCTTCATCTGTCTACCCCACACGCACCATTTTTATTACAGTATATCATACATATAATGTTTTCAATCCCATCTAAATAACCAATTCATTTTCATATATTTTGGAACGTACAATTTTATTGTCAATCTAGTATCGGTTCTCCAAAATAAAATAAAAAATGGTCAGGCCATTTTGTTGATATGCATATATTTTCTTAATTATAACGAATATGCTTGATTGTTAGGTCTAAAGGTGGTTAGGTAAACCATAAACATCCCGTAACTTGGGATAATGAGATAGTCATGTGTAACTAATATATGAAAAGAGAGACACATCGATAATTTTTGTATTTAAAACATAACATTATTACTTTTGTTTTATATAGCTTTCATAATTTTTTAAACAAAAGAAAAGATATATCATTGTCTTGTGTGTCTATTGTCTAACCCAAATTTATCTATACGTAAAACTTGTTTAGTTTCTTGCCGACCAATCCGTAAAAACTTGAGAACGTTAATAGACAAAACATCGAAGAAAAGGACTCATAGTCATAGAGTTTACATGAGTCATAAGGATTAAAAGGCAACAAAATTCGGAACTAATCGCAATTATAAAATAACGAAAATAACCTTATAACCGAAAGTGATATAATAGACTTTATAATATAAAGCAAATAAAGTATATGTGTAGCCAACAAAGATCTCTCTCACTTACTATAAATCCCCTTTCCCCTTTGCCTCCCTAAAAAACGCTCACACTCCTAATCCCTCTCAATTTTTCAAACCAACCTCTCTCTCGCTCTCTCTAAGTCTTAGCAATGGCGCGTCTTCTCTTTCGTCTTCTTCAAGAAGCAAGTCCACCATCTCCGGCGGAAGGTTCTCCTCCTATCAACTCCGACCTCGTGCTCATCCTCGCGGTTCTTCTTTGTGCACTGACGTGCGTCCTCGGCTTGATAGCCGTCTCTCGTTGCGCCTGGCTCCGACGTATAGCCTCCAGGAACAGATCGGATCAGACTGATCAACCTCCCGTAGCTGCAGCCAACAAAGGGTTGAAAAAGAAAGTGCTCCGGTCGTTACCTAAGCTCACTTACTCCCCGGAGTCATCGCCGGCTGAGAAACTCGTCGAGTGCGCGATCTGTCTCACGGAGTTCGCCGCCGGGGACGAGCTCAGGGTGTTGCCGCAGTGTGGTCACGGTTTCCACGTATCTTGTATCGACACGTGGCTTGGATCCCACTCTTCTTGTCCTTCTTGCCGTCAAATCTTGGTGGTTGCCAGGTGTCATAAATGTGGCGGGTTACCCGGTAGCTCAAGTTCAGGATCCGAACCCGATACCCGAATCAAGCAAAGTGAAGATGATCCTAATAACTTCTTACCTTGATTCTTTTTAGACCCATTTTATTTTTTCTTTCATAAAAATGGATTCTCTTTAATTATATCAAACGAGTTATAATATTGAAAAGTGTTTCTTATCATTTTAAAGGATAATGTTTACTCTGTCATGTACATATAATTTATCTATTGTAAATTTTATTATATGGAATGGAAAGTTAGTCTCATTTAGTCCTTTAATTAATTGTTTTAATATAGATTATTTATACAGGGAATTGGTTTTGTTTTATATTAACATCTTGCTTATAGAGGTCGACATGATTTGTGAATTAGCTATAGAGACCACGACATAGTTACAACTTACAAGAACTAAGACGTTAGACCACACAAATTTACGTAACTACAATCCAAATTACCCCAAATTCCATTATTGTTTTTTTTTTGTCTCTACCCTTTAGCATAAAAGGTAACGTGAATGTTGGCAACATATATTAGTTTTAGATAATTCTATGTCATGCCAAAATAAATAAGAATATACTTATCATAAATAAGAATCAACTCTACGCATTTCTTTGATAATATCATGTCGATAAATCAAACATTTTCTTCATAAATAATTTGTAGAATCGAAATTGATTTGTTTGAAAGGAAGTGTTAGTTCTGTACTTAAGTTTCAAGTATGAAAAAAACAATATATGTATATGTCATGTTACTCATCATATACAGTTTACGTTTGATAGAAGCATCAAGGACATGAGTCTACCTAAAATGTTGTTGGTTGTTCGTTCGTTGCTACAAATTCGATTAGCTATTTAGTTACTAATAGAATATTCCATATTAAATTGGGGAAAAAGCGGACAGATGGACCAATATACGTAGAACGGATGGTGTAATGTGTATTGTCTGTGTTCTCTCTTTCTTTTTTCCCTTTTCCATTAATAAAGCAGCAAACTAATTGTCGGGTTTTATATATTTTAATTTGTTCATGTTTAATGTTTTTTAAAAAGTACTAGTATTTTATAAAATATTGGGAGCACGAGCCTGTATCCCACTAACACGACTTTAAAATTATTAGAGCTTCGAAAATGACCATGAAGATGATCTTCGTTTTGTCTTTGAACATTGACCTAACAAAAAGATCGCCAAAATCTTAGGATACAACTAAAGTGCGTAATAAGACAATAGAACGTAATTTTAATAATAATAATTAGTCAAGATGTAGATAATTACACAGACGAAAATAAACTAGTTATATTGATTAATTTTCGTCTAGGCATTGAGTAAAACACGTACGAATAATGATATGGTCCACCATCTTGAGCTATCATCATTCATCACGAGTTCCTCCACTATGGAAAGTGCGTCCATGTGGTAAGTGCTATAGTTTTTAAAAGAGTGAAATATACTAAATTGCATAATTGACATTGAATATAGCATTTTATCACAAAAAATATCCATCGATTATTTCTTATAGCTGCTATAGTTTTGATCCTTTTTTGATGATATAGCTCGTTACGTTATTGTAGTAACTAGTAACGCACTAATGCTCCATCATTGATATTTTGCTAAAACCATCAATCCAAAGATGTTGAATGTTCCAAGCGTTTAATGCATAATATATAGTGAAGACTGAAGACATCAGAGTTCATATTTGATTGCAGATAATATGAATTTAGTTTTCATACAAAAACATTAAAAAAATTTCCAACTTGCATTCTCCAATATATATATGTAACTCAAAATTGGACTAATGCCGCGAATCTAGAAACACCGATAAATCATATATTTAAATAGATGGAACATGGTATTTCACATTCAAATTTAAAGAGACTGATAGTGTTTTTTTACAATAATTGAATAATATGATGTCTTTTTGAAAAGCAATATTAATTCTTCGTGGTATACTGTACGTGCATGCATGTGCATGATCTATTACACACCCCTTGGCCTTATCTCCATGGATAGATGATAGCATTATATTGCTTGGGACTCTCTGATCATAATAATATACATTCTAATACTTTCTCATATTATATAGTTAAGGGCTATTTCTTTCCATTGATTATGTATCACAACGAAAAGAGTAGGAAGTATAAAGTGAAGACATGCTTTTGTGTTTGTTTAAAGGAGGAACTAAAAATTCTCATTGAGAAATGATGGACAAAAATTCCCAAACAGGCCGAAGATTCCCACATTCATGTTTTTGCATTAGTAGTTAGCTACATTTTGTTTTGTTTTTATTATGAACGCTTTATTCCCCAGGCTAGTGGGTGTTACAGTTACATATAATCACCATAGGTTGAATATATGAAGGGTTTTTTAAAAATATGCATATTTCATCATAATCTGCATCCTTTACACATTTATAATCATCATGCATCATTAATTTTTCTTATTTTTATATTCTATATTGAAATATACAGAGATATTAACCACAGGAAAAGTAATAAAATATACAGAGCTGAGTTTAAATATCGTATTTGCATTAAAAGAAAAATAATAAAGTGTCAATATCGTAGTACCATTCCAATCTTGTCTAACTTTGCTAATTTCCCCTTCTCAGCACGTTTATCTTATATCGATTGCTGGGCCTCCGTGTATCTTATATCGATTTCTGGGCCTCCAAGGTGTTAAATGGGCTTCGTATTTCGAAACTACTGTATGAGCTAACTTATTAAAGAAGGGATTTTTTATTTTTTTTTGGATAACAACGCTCAACGGAGAAATTTTTGTCATAACAAAAGTAGTCTCGCAAACCGGTTTAACCATTCTAAGGCCATAATCAAACATGGTGGTGCGTCGATAAACCAAAACAACGCTTACGTTGGCATAATATAATCCAATTTCTATAAATTCCAGTGCCATTGTTTTAACTTCTAACTGGCTAACCGCCAACGCGTGTAACCAACCCGACTAGACCTAATTACCCAATTTAGCACTCTAAATGGAAATGTCATTTTTGCAGTTCTAAAAATCTTGAACTTGAAGAAATAATGTAAATATAAAATGATATGAGCATAGTCCATCCAAAACTTTTATTTAAAAAGAGAAATAGTCCATCCAAAAAAAAAAAAAAAACATATTACAATGACGTCAGAATAGTCACAAATAATATTCGTATTTATGACATCAACATCGAACAGTGAAACGCCCACAAATACAGTTTATCAAAAGTAACACAATAATAGCTTTCTACCTGCAATACTACAGCAAGCAGCCAGACTCTCAATAACTTTTAAAATGTTTTGTTCTACAAAAGATTTTGGATCTTAGGAATAATAATAATATTTATATAATAACAATAAGTATTTTACAAAAAGGTGAGAATACCAAAAAAAAAAACGCCAAATATAAAATCCAAAGGCTAGCTATGATTCTACAGCTGGAAACCTAAAGGACATGGAGAATCTAATAGCATGTGAAGAGGACCAGGAGAAGACGAAAGACCCAACAGACCGTAACTCGCTTCCTGAAACAGAGGATTCTCCAAGTAATCTCGTACGTCAAGTTCGTTATTGTTACCACCGTTCGAAGATGGCTCTGTCTTCACGCCGAGGTTAAACCCGAACTCGTCCTCCTCCTTGTTGTTTCCCGGGGAAAAGATGATTCCGTTGAGCTGAGACACGACTGGATTGATTAGGGCTTTGAGCTCGTCGAGGTTGTGGCCTGATGATCCATTAAGGAGGCTATTATTGTAAGTTTGATGGGTGTCCTCGTAGAGCAGTGATGGGAAGTTGTTTAGGGTTTTGTTGGAAGATTCTAAAAGCAAAGGCAAGGCTTCATGATGATGGTTATGGTGATGATGATGATGATGATGTGCTGTTGAGAGTGTTTGGTTATGAAGGTAGCTGATTTGGTTATGGATTCCAACATTTTTTCTATCTCCTGTTTTGTTGAACACCCTACAAATCACCCATTCCTCCTGTGTGAAATTTCCACCAAAAGACAAGAAAAATAAAAACATGTTATTATTTATTCATAAGTACATTATTATAGATGATGACTACCCCTAAACAAAGACCGATATAGATCTTTTGTCTGAAATGTGAGGCCTGACAAATTGATTTCTGATGAAAATTATTTCGAAATGTAATTAAAAAAAAAACGAAAGCAATAGTGATAGAAAACGACACAACAGTAGCATGGGTGAACAGAAAACGGCAAGGTGTGTTTGGTGTTGACATCCACACCACACGTACAGGTTTATATCAAATCTATCACATCCTAAAACTGCTCTCTTTTTCCCCTGTCTTCTCCCATACTAAGCCAAACAATATAATGACAATGCTATTGAAACATGAATCTAGTAAAAATGCGGGGGGAAAAAGTGAAATATATCGGTTAAACTTTTCATTTCAACTTATATCGTTTTCAAAAGTCAACTCATTAATTGACAAGGAACAACATAAGTTCGCGATATACACTTAAGTCTCATAATTTCAAGTTTAAGACACGCACGTTTCGGAGTATAGTAACAGGATTTAAGTTTTTTTTTTTTTTTTTGTGTAACAGGATTTAAGTTAGTAAGGTGTAATAATATACTTTTCCTTTTTAAAAAGTCAACTCATAAATAGACAAAATAAACAAAACCAAAATTCTTGAAAATACTCAAAGATAAAAACTAAAAAGCAAAGAGACATACGCACGAGTGTTATACTAATAGAGTGTTAATTTTTTACCTTACACGTGTGGCGGTGTGAAAGGTCGGTTTCGAGGCGATACTCATGCATGACCCACTTAGTCTTGAGGCCACGTGGAGCCCTACCTTTGTAGAACACCAACGTCTTCTTCATCCCAACAAGCGGTCCACCGCCGCCTGCGAAGACCTCCTTATCTTTTCCGGTAGCTTTCCAGTATCCAGCAGTGGTTGCTCTGTTAGTCCTCAAACCCGTCGGATATTTCCTATCCCTTAGGCTGTAAAAGTACCACTCCTTCTCTCCCATCTTCGCCATTTCTTCATATATATTTATATAACAAAGTTTCAAAACATTATTAAACTTTTAACAAGATTCCAAAAAGATTTAAAAAAAAAAACTCTTAAAGAGGAAAAAGAAGAGACAAAGTGTATGTACCAGGTAGTTCCCAAGGTTCGCAGCGGTTGAGATCAACTTCAGAAATGTGAATGCCGCAGAGACCTCCATGGAAGATTTTGGAAGCTAAGTAGAAGGTGATGAGCTCTTCGTCCGTTGGGTGAAACCGGAAGCCAGGTGGCAATCCTCTCTCGTTCTTTTCTTCTCCGGCTAGTTCGCTCAACACATCTTCCACCGCAAGCATCATCTTTTTGGTTATTATAACCCAAAAAACAAAACACAAAACAGAGAGAGAGAGAGACTTTTTTTTGTTACACTGAAGAGACACCAAAAGGAAGAACAAAGAGAGCAATGATACAAAAGGTGATGGGAAGTATAACCTTATTGCGTGCAAGATTATATATTTATATACAAAAATGGCACATAAGTCGAAGATAAGAGAGAGAGAGTGAAAGTAGAGGTGTGTGTGTGTGTGTAGATGGGTGGATTTTGAGTGTTTGAGGTTAGAGGAGCATTGATGATAAAGGCTGTGAAATTCAGGGAGCAGAGGCTGCTATTTGCCCTCACCTGGGGAGCTTCCAGGAGTCTCTTTCTATTCTTTATTTTTTTTTCCTATGCAAGTATAGTAGTAATTATGTAACAATCTATAAACTGTAAAAACACTTTTGCCGTTTTGTGTTTTATCACTATACTACTTTAGCAAAATTCTTATGGTCTTGTGGTTTTGATTGAGACTTGGTGATGTTAAGTTATGATCTTTCGTTAATGACTACTCGATTGGTCAATGGATCATTATACAGTAGTACTGTTTTCCTACTTTATCTAAATTTAAATGCAATATATTTACTAATTATATTAAATGGTGTTGACGTTTTGGCTTTTACTTTTGTTTTGAAGTAAAAAAGAAGTCTGATTTATTTATTTTAACCAAAAAGAAAAGAAAAACAGACATTTTTCTTGGTAGTTTAATTTGAGAAGAAGAATTAAGCGCCAAACTGTTTTGTGTGGAGATATTAACACCCATGAAATACTGAGTTTTGCATAAACACTCATACACCAAATACTGTTGTGGAGGAAATATCAAAATTACATTTGGATCCCACCTTTTTCAACTGGTACCATTATGACTTTTGGCATATGCAGTTTTAAAAGAGTAAACCCATTACACAAGTTGATATCTCTACCAAAAAAATTGCTCACGCAGTTAATAAAAAGGTTTTTACAGATTTCAAGAAATGACGAATAAGTAAATATATAATGTACTTGAACAATTTTATTACGCTTGTGTGGTTATCAGCAAATAAATTTTACAATGAAGAAAAGAAAGAGATAAAAGAGTGTGCAGTAAAAAGATGGCAGAGGTTTTATGCGTGCGGGTGTAAGCATATCATTATACATTCATGGAGTCAGTCCATTTTTATTTTATTTTAATGTATTATTTTATACACATTCTCCCTGAGAGAGAGATCCCAATTCCCTTTGGTTTCCTTTTTATTTACCTTAACCACTTCCTTTTATACTTATTTCTCAACGGTTATATAAACTCTGTATCGATGACAAAAAAAAAATATATATATATATATATAAACTCTGTATTACAATTTTTTTAATTGTTTTGTTTGATATTATAATCTTCCTCATCATATATAATGAATTTTACATTAAACCATGAAATACCTCAAGTACATGGATGATTTGTTTACATTAACCATGAAAAAAACGATGCTAGTGCGTTTTGCTGATGCATGTTAGTAAAAACCAAACATCTGAAATGGACAATGTTTTAAACTTCAAAAGTATAATTTCTGTTGGGAAAACATAACCACCAAAAGCAAGCGTTCGAACTACATATTGAATACAACTTTATAATAAAGGAAATTAGTTTAGAGATGTTTTATGTTTCGGGTTATGCCGGATGGTTTGGTCAAATTCGAGGGCGTATCACACTGCAACTAAACAAAGACTTTTGATGTTAAATGATTTTCTTACTGAACTATAAAAGTCATTTTTTTAATAATAAAAAATAGGTTTGAATCATATTGTCTGTCGATATTAAATGTTTGACATAATTTTAAGAAGAAAAATAAATGAAACAGTAGAGAGATATCAGATAGTCGGCGGTGGCACGTGCGTAGAATGATACAAAAGGAAAAATAAAAAGATAGAAATCAGGTAAAAGGAAAGTAATAATAATAAATGCAAACGTACTACAGTATCTATCTCACACACACTGATAAAGGAGTATTAAACTGCCCACACGATCTTATGTTAAATCTCCCAAGTCATTCTTTTACCCTAAACCCCCCCTACTGCTTACTACTACTACCCAACCCCTATCATTTAAATACATTACATTCATAGATTTATCAGAAGTAAAAAAACAAAATCTACACATTGAGTAAAATGTGTTTCATCCAATAATTCAAAAAACCTGCTGTACTTGTACATAGGCTTACCTAAGCCTATCCATTTTTTTAATTATGCTTTTTTATAGTATTTCATAGAGCAAATTATTTTCATAAATTATTATTATTTCCCCCTCAGGGGGTCTATCTCTTTTCTCTATAGCACTGATGAATATTTCTGTGACTCTCTCTCTCTCGAAATTGTTATTTTTATCTATTTTCAGGTTCATTATTGATTTCCCCAAGCGATACCGTCGGTCTACCGTAGTATTATAGTGCTGTTTCCTCTGCCTCACAAACACACAATATTATTATTGGCCCTGTCAAAAGCTAACAAGTTTGGTTTTTTCCCAATCTATTGTGTAATTTAATCTGTCTGCATGCGGATAATAATATCATTAAACTTGGGCAGAATGTTCAATCAGGAAAGGGCTGATTCTGGTTATAGTCTCGTACGTCATTTCAGTAACACTATTTCACTTATTTATATCATAAACTGTAAACCTAATCAAAGTTATATATATAAGCAGAAATGGTTGTAGTACTAGTGCATTCTGTGTAACAACAGGCCTAGTAGTGTATAAAATATACAGATATTACTGGGGATAGTGTTGATATACAGTATATTATGTAATGTGACACTAAAACTTTGAGATATATATATATATATATATATATAAGGTGAAACAAATATCACTAAAATGAATATATAGACGACTGTTTTGTCACAATTTTCTTTTATAGTATATGTCAATCAAATTGACAATGAGGGTCCCTTTCTCGTCTTTGTCTCTTTCTCTTTAATATGTCTGATCTTATATCGTCAAAGATCATTATTTTTTGAATAAGCTTATAAACAAGAGACTAACAATATTTTTGAACGGTACTGATTGAATATATATAACACCAAATCGTTTTGGACACGTTTTGGACAATATACACAAATCTAATTAAGTCACTCTCCATCACAAACTTTTAAGAAAACTTACAAGAAAAAGAAAAAGGAATAATGAGTAGGAAAGAAGAAGAAGAAGAAGATGAAGGTAGTAGAGAAGGAGAAGGTGGAGAAACAATAAATGAAGGATGAGGAAGAGGAAAGGACAATGGCAGCACCGACCTGCTCCACCAGAGAACGACCTCTCCTCTCTCTCTCTCTCTCACACACACTCTTTTCTCTTCACAAGCAATCTTTTCTTCCTCCCATTTTGCTTCTTTTAATTCTACCATATTTTATTTTCATTTTCCTTTTCATTTTATCTCTTATTTAGAACCCAATAAATTTTAGTGAAAACACTTCGAGATACCGCAAAAAGGAATCAATAAATTTTTGTCCCATACCATTATATGATTGATATGTAAAACTTACAAATATTTCATCATTCATATATATCTTGGCTTGGGGTAGCAATGATAACCTATAGGTATATACAAATAATATTATCAGGCTAGCAATCTGATTCGTAGAGTATGGATCGTAATCTCTCAAATTACATAGTGATGGATATACAGTATTATGATATAGTTTTGGTTAATCTGTAAATTTTGGTCCGGTTTAGTGTTAATTTGATGGAGTTATGTTACATATTTTTTTTTTAAATTCCGTACAGTGGAGGATGGCAATAAATGTGAAAGGTTTTGAGGATATGGGGACAGACGAAGCCTTCATAAATATGGGCGAAAAGTTGCAAAATACATTGGGACCAATTACACCGTGCACATACAATTGAATCTCTTCATAAAGCTCTTTTAATAGTATGCTTGTATTGCGTCTCTAGCTAATTAGTAACTTATATGATCATGTCATAAACAATCAAAGTTTAAATATCTCTAATAATTGACCACTCTTGCGTTTCTCAGATTTTCCCAAGACTTCTTTTCACGATACTTTGTAGTTTGTTTTCTTAAGTATCTTATTGACCCTGTTGAACTTAAGATTATTTTATGTGACAATTTTTTTTTTTTTTTTGCCAATAAATAAGAAATGTGACAATTTTCTAATGTTAGTAACTACTCTTATCGTCGCTACGACTTGTAGACTAACGAAGAACGTAGGTGAATCCATCTCCTAAGACCGTAACAAGTCTACTTAGTTAAAAAAATGGATAATCTAAAAACAAAATAACAAAAGAGAACTAAAAGAAAATATTTTGTATGAATATTATTGTTGCACATTGTACCAGTCAGACAGACCCATGATTTGTGTATCTATCAATTATTGATAATCACACTTGGTTTATGAGATCATACTATAATAGTATGAAGTTAGAAATTAGGTTAAAATTACCAATAAAAGTTGTATTAAGGATGATATGGTAGGATAATCCATAAATGTAAATCGAATGTGAATACTATGATGTAGAAGAGAGACACAGATTGCGCACGTGACGTAGACGGCGTAGGTTAGGAGGAGGAGAGAAACAGATGGAGCCTTCTTTCCACATTTGTCGTATTTTTTTGTTTTGTTTTGATGATATTTTTATATTTAAAAATTACATTCCCTTTTTTCCTTACTAAAGAGTAGTAAATATATTCCTGGTTTATGGAAAGATTGTTTCTATTTTTTTCTGTTTCTGTTTTGCGTTTTACTATATGGGCCTAAATGGGCTTGAAAAAATTGGTCTTTTTCCCAAATCAATGAAAGTGTATATATACTCTGAAACAGAGGTTTTCTATCGAGGAACTCAAAGTGGCCTAAGAGGAACATAACTAAGCTTAAAGATTGAGTTTTCTTCATTCAAGATTCAGACACACGCTTTGTAGTTTGTACTCTTAAAAGCAGGATCAACATAGTTTTAATAATCCTCTGGAACTTAAGAAAACAAAACTCCCAGAGCCATATTTTGACTATTATGCACCCCTTTGATATGCACGGAATTGAAAAAGGAATACAAGATTTCATGTAACACAAGAGAGGAAACAAAACAAAAGGAAGCTTGAGTATCAAAACATCAAAAATCAAGGAAAATCAAGAGAGTTAAAAAGGAATTAAAGATTCACAAGACGGTTTTAATTGTATTATGATCTCAAAATCAGTACTGTCTTGGAAATAATACATTCGCAGAAGACGTACCGATCTCGTCTTCGTTCTCTTCTAACGATCTTCCCATAGTTTCACGAGTGAAGAAGTACGTCACGACCATTCCCGCGATACAAACTCCCCCAAGGATCAAAAACGCGATTCTGACGCGTTTCACGTCTGGGAAAAAGTCATTCTCGGGGTGTTTCGTGGCCCACAAGAAACCTACAGTGCCAACAATTGCCCCAAACTTCCCTGCAGCTCCAGATATCCCGTGGCACGTGGACCTAAACCTCGCCGGAAAAAGCTCCGCAGGGATAATAAACGTTGTTGTGTTAGGACCAAAGTTGCTAAAGAAGAAGATCAATCCGTAGAGGACCATAAAGCCTTTGTTAGTCTTCTCGTGTTTAGACCAATACCAACTGTACGGGATCCCAGCGACTAAGTAAACAACGGCCATGAGGAAGAACCCCATCATCTGGATCTTGACTCGACCGATTCTATCGATGAAATAGACGGTGAACCAGTAACCGGGGATGGTGGAGCAAGCGGCTACAACGGCTGCGACCTTAGCTACTTCGAAGGCGGAATCGTAGACGCTTGTGGAGCTGAGAGATTTGTCGGAGAAATTGAAGATCTGAGAGAGGAGGAGATTGCTTGTGTAGAAGACGACGTCAACTAGGAACCAATTGGCTGAGGCTGCGAAGAGGTCACGTCCGTGTAGGCTGAAGAAACGGCGTGAGAAGAGTTTGTAGGAAGACCGTGGCGATTGTGGTAGCTCCGATGATGTATCTTCTACTTCGTCGATTTGGTCTGTTGTCATGGATACCGACATGACTTGTTGCATGTCTTTTGCTGCTTGGACTACATTGTTCTCCACCAATGCTGTGTATCTGCATGCATTTTAAATAACTTTAGTGTTTATATCATACAGGTTTTATTATTAGTAAATGAATACTGACAAAAAGGAAAATCAAAAGTTAAGATATGATAAGAGTTAAGACGAATGAATATAAGTTTATATATCCCTTATTATTTATATATTGCCTTATGTCACGATTTTATGTAAGTTTTCAAATAAATTAGATAATAAAAACAATTGGACAATGTTATGTTAATGTAATTTAGTCACTTTTGCTGGATTTGCAAAAGTTAATTGGACTCTAGTCAGTTAAACCAAATTAGGTTTGATATTAGTGAGATATACTAGCTAGCTACAATGCACGGAAGGGAAAAGACCAATCTCTTAAGACTTTTTCTTATGAAATACGTAAGAGAATCAAAGTGGGAGAACTTGGAGAGAGGACAAAAGTACGTGGTTAGTTGGAGAGATTATATTTAGTTATAATGAAATAAAAATCTCTATTAATTAGCTGGAGTTTCTACCTGGGAGGAATATAATGTAGAAAATACATACTTAAAACTATATATTATACATATTAAAATGAAAATTCGATATGCATACGTTATAGAGAGGTAGCTTAAAAAGGTATATACCCCTTTTGTCCGGTATATTTCCTTCCGAAGTCAACTAATTACTTCCTAGGAACAAACCACGAACTAGCCACTCTTTACGTTATTAGTTACGTACATATGTTTATCATCGACAACATCAGACATCAAATTTAGGTTAAATTTCAGGTTTTCTAACATTATTTCATATACGTACGGGACATGGGTAGACTTTTGTTTTTGCACACGACTAAACTTTTTAGTAGTTTAGTTCACAACTCTACATTGTATTTTCATTGAACATTAGAAACTCTATATAACCAAGTTCACGCAAGATATTCATCTACATAAAATATCACTACTCTTATCGAAATACGGTTTTAATATATATGCTTTACGGCGTAACTAGAAAACACATACTATATTTATTTGTTTGTCTACATCAAGCAAATAGATGAAAATGATATATTAAACTGTGGAATGTTATCCGACAAAAACATCAAGCTTGTATTTGAAGCAACCCCATAGTGATCAAAATGGTTACCGTTTAAAATCTTGTTTATTTTTTTTTTTTTTGGGCAAAGACACTTAATGTATTTAATCTTGGAAAACAATACTAAAAGTAAAATTTAGGAGAAACAATACTAAAAGTAAAATTTAGGAGAAAGATTTTTTATATAATCTAAAAGACAAACTATCCAAATTTTGAATGTGTGATGATAGGAAGCAAAGTCACTCACGATAGTGCATATATTATAGTCTACTTTATAATTAAAATAAAATAAATTACTATAATCTATGTTATGGAATATTAAAACAAAAACAAAATGGACATATATACATATATATATATATTTATTTTGTCATAAATTTCTCTATTATACGGCGGAAAACAATTTGTTAAAAATTTAAATGTAGAAGTGTTAAAATAATAATAATTAAATTTAGGGGAAAAAAAGAGAGAAGAAATAGTTGAACGGAACCTGGCGGTTTCAGGCATGAGCATTCGCCAGTAAAACGTTAACGCGGCAGGAATAGCTCCGATCATAAGAATCAACCTCCACGCTATATCCGATTCCGGCGGAGCCACAGTCTCTGCCCCCGCCGCGTTAGTATTTTCCAAACTCCCCCCTCCGGCGTTCTTGAACACCACACACACAACCATGGTGACGGCAGAGCTCATCAAGATCCCTAACCCTTGCATCGAGAACACAGCGGCAATGAAGGCTCCACGCGTTTTTTTATTAGCGAACTCGGACATAATCGTGGCGGAGAGAGGATAGTCTCCACCGATCCCGAGTCCAAGAACGAATCTAAAGAATCCAAGACTGACCATAACGCAAGAACGTCGAGTCGTGCAAACAGAGAAGCCACAACCAAAGGAGCTAAAGACCATGATTAAGAGACAAAGACCGTAGACTTTACGACGTCCGACTCGGTCACCTAAGTAACCGAAGATGATTTGACCTAATGCTGTGCCGAGAAGAGCAATAGCGTAAGAAGTTGAGAGAAGAGCTGTTCCGATTGAGTCTTTGTGGTAATAGATTTGACTTATCATTTTCATGATCGGAGCTATACAGAAGAGATCGTAAGCGTCCGTGAAAAGTCCCATCCCGGCCACTATGATTGCCTTGAAATGGTACCATTGTATCTTAGCCGCATCTAACGCCGATAACACTTTTAGCTCCGACATCGTATCGTCGATCTTTAGAATTTTCTTAAGATACAGAGAATGAGAACAATACAAGTCTCTGTCTCATACATTTTAATGGGTTTTTTTCTCTTGAGATTATTTCTTATTTGAGCAACATGGAATATGCTTTTGTTTGACTTCGAGGAACACAACACCTTCTCTGATCGAGTCTACTTCTGTGGCTGACTTTCACAAGGTTATTTTTAATTTTAGCTTATGAGTTTTTTTTTAAGTACTTTTAGTTATAAGATGTGGTAGTCCAAAGTTTGGTTAATAACAGTATCTTTACTGTATGATGATGTTTTCACGGAATCCATCTAATTTCTAATTGTTTTCTGGCATCCTGCACATAAGAGGCATAGATTTTGATAAGCTTGTTAAGATTTCATAATTTCTTTTATGATTTTCTTTTCTTATAATTTCGCTTTCATTTCTGCTCAAAACAGTACCACTTCACATCCAACAACTTTTTTCAGAGTCTAAGAACATCTCAAGGAATCGGATCATTGAACATGATTTTTACACACAAAAAAAACTAGAAAACTCTCGAGTCTCTAACATCTGAATCAGAACCAAATACCTATATATCGGCCAATGCTACTAAATGCTGATTAGGTGAGGAAGACATCCTAGTTATATGATAACTGGAACTATGAAGTTGGGACGCGTACTCCGAGCTTGACGACAACGACTTCAAAGATCCCATCAGGTCTAAACGTTGGAGTAAACAAACGAGGATCTACTTGCCCCGGAAGATTAAACGTGATTGAGAATGGACCAGGAGGGCAGAGCTGTTGCACCTGCATTCTGTACAAGCTTCCGGTCTCACTTGGAATCGCAATCTCAGGCACTACTCCTTGGATACATACTCTTCCCTCCCTCTGAATCTCACATTTGATCTTATCTATTAAACGATCAGAAGATAGCACTTGGGTCAAGGTTCTTTCATAGACAGATAGTCAAAAAAAAAAAAAATGCAACTTTCTTTTCATGTAATTGGTCATTATCAAACCCAAAAAGATGAAGAATCCATTCCAGTTTTAACAGGTAGCCGAGAATTAGAAGGAAATTTCGTAATGAGACTGCTATTTCCACTATCCAACAAGATTATTACTAATGAAAGGTCATCACAGGAGAAAAGAAATGTGAAGGCTTACTAACTTTGATTTTTCTCAATGCCAGGGAGAGCGACTCTGAAGATGTAGGCAACTTCGCTAACACCAATATCGACAAGACCGATGGGTGGCCCTGCAGAGCCTTGCTTAGCGGTACCAGTGCAAAATACATGAGAGATCACTTTCGAGTGAGTAGTAGTCTGATTATTCTCAGTGTTCATGGTGTTGCTTCGTGTTTCTCTGTTTTTCCTCAAGCTATAGAATCCAAACCAACCTGTTGATAATATCATAATCAAGGAACAGAAGAAGAAGAAGATAACAATCAAATCGAAGCACAAATCAAGCAAAGAGACCAATCAGTAGCAAAGGTTAAGGCTGGTCTAATCCTCTGAAATAAAGTTTACTCCTTTCGATCCAACTTTCCCACCACTCCTTGCTCAAAGTAAGGATTCCAAGACCATCGAAAATGGGAAGAAACAAACTAAGCTGGATTGAAGAAACCAAGTTCTGTAACATATATATATTTTTTTGAGCTAGGTTTCTCCAATCACTGAAGAAACCAAATGCGGAAGATGCGTATATTAGTAAATCAGTCGAATTCATAATCAATCTAGAACAAGTAGAGTTGAAGAACACAGAATCGAAGCTGGAGACAGCGAACACCCAAAGAGAAAAAAAACCCTAATCTCGATTCTCTACAGATAGCTACAAAAACCCCAGGAAAGTTCTCATTCAAGTAGATAACTAAACAACGAGGAAACGGAGAAGAGTGTGGATTTAGGGTACCGTACCGTAGCGAACTCCGGCAAGTCTCTGATGGTGTTGACTGCGAAGCTTCTCTGGAACAGCGCGACCGTCGTTATATTTACCGGAGATTTTGGTGAGTGGGATGTGGAAAAATCCAAATACTAATAACTTAGCTGGTCAAATTAACCACTCTGAATAGGCCACGTGTCATAAACTTTGCTGACTAAGCAACCTTGTCACCAAAAACATCCCACATTTTTATCTATTAGAGTATTATTTTCTCTACATCCTTCATTGGATTCGTCATATTTCGAAATATACACAACAGTTTTAGTTATTATTTAATCAAACTACAAGATCTATGGCTTATTAGGAAAAAATAGACACTTTTAAACTGTGTGATGTTTGAGTAGGTTTTATAATTTGGGTATGAAAAGTTATGAAAGTATCTCCTTTGCAGTATAGTCGATCATCAAATTAATACACACAATGTTTTTTTAAAAATTGTATATTTAAGATTATTAAACCTTCAATTAAACTTGAAATAGAAACACTAAATTGTATAGTAGTCAACCGAAAAGACCAAAAGAAACTTGGTTTAGCTAATTAACTTTTTTTCTTTTCTTCCTGAAAGTAACGTTTCTTCGGTTTTTAATTAGTTAATAAATTAGAAATTGTAACAAAAGACATAGAATTGTATAGTAGTTTCATTAATTTGTACTATTTTCATCGACGTGTCACTGAATGATTCATAGTGCTTGTTGACAAGAAAAGAGATCAGCTAGAAACTGTAATATTTAACAAGGAGCTTAATTTGCGGATGAGGATTATAAATGAACAACACGTTAACTTTGTCGTCGTGATCATTAAACAACTCTGCGTGATCCAGCTGGTCTAGTAGACACGTGCTTCAAACGACAACGAGGTTATCGTGCATAACGCCTACATGCTAGTATATATCTCAATATTTAACTTATATCGTACGACGCCATTACCTGAATCAACCAATTTATATATAGGGATTGAACTCTTCGTTGACCATTTTTAGAACGATCTGAATCGAACTAACCATATCAATAAGGCAAAAAATGGAGATGAAAGAAGAAGAGAACAAAGGAATAGAAGGCAAAGTTGTAGCCGTGACGGGTGGGTTGGGTTTAGTTGGCTCCACTGTGTGCCTTGAGCTGCTCCGCCGTGGCGCTCTCCAAGTCCGCTCCTTCGACTGCCGCACTACTTCTCCTTGGTCCGACAATCTCAAAGAATCCGGCGTCCACTGCATACATGGTATTCAAGTTGATTTCACTTTCTACTCAAATCAACGAGCTCAAGATTGACCATATATAAGTACATTTGAGTCGATATCTTTTAGAATCATATGCTTACAATTTTTGTATTCGTGTTTTATACACTAGATATATCTCTATTTTCGATATAAAATGTTCTAACAAACATACTTTGTTCATATTATATATGTATATGTATCAGGAGATGTTGTGAGTAGAGAGGACGTCGAAGAGGCTCTTCAAGGAGTGGACCTTGTGATTCATCTTGCTTCGTACGGTGGTTCGGGTAAGGAAATGATTAGGACTCATCGGATCGAAGAAGTCAACGTGGAAGGGACGCGTAACGTATTGGAAACATGTGTCAAGAAAGGGATCACGAGGTTAGTGTATTTGAGCACCAACGGTGTCGTTTCTGGTGGGAAAGAACTTGAAAATGGAGATGAAACTCTACCTTATGTACCTTACAACAACTACGTCAGTTCTTATGATCGGACTAAATCTATCGCCGAACAGTTGGTTCTAGAGAACAACGGTCGAGTTGTTGAGTAAGTGCAAAATCAATATCTTTTTTTTTTTGTCAACAAGTGCAAAATCAATATCATTTTGTTGTTTACGAAGTTTTTTTTTTGAATTAGGATTTTGTATTTGTGAACTGTGGAATCTTGGAAAACAGAACAAGTTATGTGAAACTAAATGAGACAATTAAATTGATTATGGAACCTCAAAATACTTGGAAAAAATTGGAGTAATTAGATTCGTGGTATTCTTATTACGTATGATAATTTATATATGTGGGAATATGGAATAGTAATGCTAATGTTGTTCATGGGAATATAGAAATGGACGTGGAAGTCTTTTATCTACTTGTGCGATTCGTTGCCCGATCGTTTATGGACCGGCTGAAGAGAAGTATCTTGATAGGATAATATCTGATGCAAGATTGGGTTTATTCCTCTTCAAAATCGGTGATGCAAGCTCAAAAACCGACTTTATTTATGTGGATAACATTGTATACGCTCTCATGTTGGCAACCGCCGATTTACTCAATCAACATTCGAAAGCCGCAGGGAAGGCCTACATTGTTTCCGATGGTTAGAATTTTATACTCTAAAACTTTGTTACCTATATACTTTGCTTTTATTAGTTTATCTTAAGCCTGATTTTGTGGGTTGTTATGCAGGTAATCCGATAAACTTTTTCGAATTTCTTCGGCCACTTTTAATGAATCTTGATTATGAACTACCAAAGTCATCCCTATCTATCCCGGTTGCGGTTTTACTTGGAAAAATATGTGAAGCAATATACACAATGCTATCACCACTACTAAACCAAGGGTGGATTCCACAACCATTGATTCTTCCTCCCGAAGTTTACAAGGTTTGCTAGAGCGAATATTTTTCTTATTACAATAGAGAAATATAAAAATTATGACATTTTTTTTGAATGGAATAGGTGGGGGTGACTCATTACTACTCGATCCGCAAAGCCAAGGAGGAACTCGGGTACGAGCCCACGACACAACCTGAAGAAGCCATGACCAAAACCAATTCCTATTTTAAAGACAAGAAAAGGAGAGAAGTCGATGGTCCAAGCATCTACGCATGGATTTTCTGTGTGATTGGGTTGCCTAGCATTATATCAGTCGCGTGGCTACCGGACATTGGACCCATACCATTCTTTCGAGTCATTGCGCTGTTTATCTTTAGGTCGATGTTAGTGTTACGCATAGCATCGGGGATTGTGGTGACAACGCACGTGAGTGAAGCAGTGTACGCGTTATGGCTGGCTCGGAGAGTGGATCCCAAGAATGCAAAGGCTTGGTTTTGGCGGACGTTACTTCTCGCTACTTTCTCGCTTCGATTACTTTTGAAAAGAGCCAAGGAAGCAAAGCAATCTACACTAAGAGAAGGTCTTCTAACCATTTCGGGGTCCTCAGTTGCTTGAAGCTTCATCACGTCAATCTAAACCAAGGTTCAAATATTAAAACTAGTACATATATATCACATTGTTAATCATTTTCTACGTTTTAAATGGGAAAAATACTTAGCCGTGGATTCTCAGTTTATCAAAACACAAAAAATGTGTAAATGTTGTTGGTAGTAAAATAATAGTTAGAATCATCGTGTCATTGTTTAGGGTCACCTTGGATGTATGCATTATGCCAGAAAAACAAAGTGACGGTAAGAAACTAAGAATATATGTTTTCACAAATGTTTTATCTATATATATATATATATATATATATAATTACATTGATATACAAATGAAAATTACTTCACATAATCACATTTATTAAAAACATTTGACTACATAACAGCTTTTTCTGGTTTATATATACGATGTTTTGTTTAAAAAAATATATATTTTAAATACTATATAGGGAAATTTTAAATAATAAAGTTTTAATTCTCATTCACATAACAAAATACTTTATTTTTAGAATAATAAAAAATAATAATAATTGAAACACCAAAGGGAGATAGTTTTGTGAAAGACAGAAGCGGACATATCTTGAAACACATGGCAGCGATTTCTCCATGGTTTTCTTCTCCGCTGAGCTTTTCGAATCCCCGCGTTTCATCTCGCTACATTAAGACCATTACAGGTCCTCAATCTCTCCCTGTAATTTCACTTTTTCAGCTTCGTTATTGTACAAAATTTCACATTCTTGGAGCTAATTTCTATCCAGATTCCAGAAGATGTACATCAGTTTCTGCGGCAATCTCTGTTCTAGACGGCACCAACGAGGAACAACAACGGATTTCGTAATCTCCATTAATGCCTCTGTAAAATTCACTTCTTTTCTTTATCTGTGTTTGTTCTGTATCTGTTAAAGTCTCGCTCTTTTTTTTGTTTGTTAACAGGTCTAGAGATCATGTTGGGATGAAAAGAAGAGAAGTCATGTTACAGATAGCTTCCTCTGCTTTCTTCCTTCCTTTGGCCATTTCACCAGCATTTGCTGAGACAAGTATTGCTGTTGATTTAATGTTCGTATTTGATGTGGTTTCCTTGAGAATATGGATGCCTAATCAGACCTTTCTTTAATCTCAGATGTAGCAGAAACTTTCCGTGTCTACACTGATGAAGTGAACAAATACGAGATATCGATCCCACAAGGTAATCTACCAAACTCTGTTTTACAAGACTTATGATAGTGATGAAATCATTATGACATCTGATTTGCATTCACACCAAGATTGGCAAGTCGGGCAAGCAGAACCTAATGGATTCAAGTCAATCACAGCTTTTTACCCTCAAGAAACTTCAACTGCTGCCAATGGTAATCTTATCAAGATTAGTTTCTTTTCACTTTCCCTCGTTCAGAAATCGTGAGCTAACACTGATAGGTGAATATGGATCGTTTTCAGTGAGCATAGCGATCACTGGACTTGGTCCGGACTTCACCAGGATGGAATCTTTTGGAAAGGTCGAAGCTTTCGCCGAAACACTGGTTAGTCTCTCTACCTGCAATTCAAACAAACAAACTCTCTGCAAAGGGTTCCATGAAACTGTAAATATGACATTTATTTATAGGTCAGTGGATTGGATAGAAGCTGGCAAAAGCCAGCAGGAGTGACTGCAAAACTAATCGATAGCAGAGCTTCCAAGGGTAAATACAAAAATCTCATCTCATTGAGAATCTCTGAAGTATCTGGCTTTGTTTCGTTGACACAATTTATGATCAGGATTCTATTACATCGAGTACACCTTACAAAACCCTGGAGAAGCACGCAAGCATTTGTATTCTGCAATTGGAATGGCAACGAACGGTTGGTACAACCGTTTATACACTGTCACAGGACAGGTAAGTCTAGTCCTATTGCCACAATGAACCTCTCTGATTAGTTTCTTATCTCTAACACAATGACCATCTTTCGGTGCTACAGTTTACAGATGATGAATCTGCTGAACAAAGCTCCAAGATCCAGAAGGTGAGACAAAAGTCGCTACTACAATACTGAAATATTTCACTAAAACCTGTTGCTTATGACCTTTTTCTCTGTTTTTGCAGACAGTCAAGTCTTTCAAATTCATATGAGAGTGTCACTCATATCTCTATCAGCGAACCAAATTATAGAATTGATCAAACAATTTGTTTACTGAACAATCACTTTTTTCAATTAAATTCTGAGAAAGGAGCTGACTCCATACTTTGAAGTAAGCTTCGGATAACAGTTCAGACATGGAGAAGAGAGAACCCTACATATGCACAGTAACAGACAAGGACATGAACATGGTTTACTTACAATGCAGAACTTGGGGACAAAGGCTATATACCTATAAATGTTACTCACTACACTCCTCCACCTGAAGTAAGTGTAGTGGTATTACGACTTTTGGACTAGAAAAGAATCAGATTTTGATTCTACCATGTATATGCTTGTGTATGTGTGTGTATATATGCATATTGTACACCAACTTATTACTAATGGATTTTCCCCTCCCGAGGGCAAAACCATTATAGTGCCTTCAAACTCAACCCGAGCTCATGCCAGCAGCATTTGTGTGGCTGTGTTTATACACATTGATGGATGGGTAAGAAAACGGAAGCACAAACCCTGAAACTCCAATTTGTTTTTCTTGTTTCCTTCTGCGCCTTCCCAGTGAGCAAGACTATTTTATATAACCTGTACAGCAATAAGATACCGAGGTTAATGAAACTGCATATGATGATGGCCTTTTTCTGTTAATGCATGTATAAACATACCGAATAAGAGACATACCTTTAGGATGCAAGATAGATAACGTGCAAGACTTAATAATAAAACAGGAAGCCTCTGCTGCCACCTCAAGTAGCAGTTTCGCTACCGCTTAACTTCGTTTTCTCCTCAGTCTTCAAGAATAACTGAAACCATTACTAACATATAAGCGGTGAAAAGAAACCAAATGTGCATAACTTCTCGCTACTACACCCAAAAATAAAGAAAGCATTAAATTGATTCTCACCTTGTTGTTTGGTCAGAACCGCTACTCTGCATAAATTGAGGGGAATGGACAATGATATGCGACTGTACAGGAGCAGGGCCTGGTACACCTGACAAACATACATTCGAAGGAGGACATTACAAAATGCAAATAAACTTAGCTTTTCAATTATGCCTAAAACTCAGGAATGATCGAGACTCTACTTTTGAGATTTGATCAGTCAGATAATAAGATTATGGTGCGTAAGACAGTCGAATGTACCTGAAGGGTATGGAGCTTGAAGAGCAGACATAGATGAAGTGGTCATGGCACTGACAGTGGGTCCACCAAGCTGTAGAACATGGCTTCCTGGAACTGAATACCCTTGAACTGCTGTGTAACCGTGGCCACTGGGAATAGTCTGACTTAATTGCCCGTACTGATAAACTGGTGAATTCACTGCCCCAGGTACTCCATAGACCTGAAGGTACTGCTGACCCATGTATGGACCATATAAACCCTAAACCATGAAACGAGTCAAGATACAGCCAAAATTACAAGACGTTTAGTAACAATGAGAAATAACAGCAAGTGTTCATAGCCATTGTCAACCTGTGATTGTGAGTACATGTACTCGGGTCCATATGCGGTTACCCTGATATAGAAAATATAACAACCTTAGAAAAACATTAATGAACCGTGGACACTTGTGCAAAGACATCAGTGTACTGTGTGATGTAAGAATTGCAAGACTCACCCATAAGGATACACAAGTCCTTGCTGGTAGTTAAGTGGGGGTGGTTGCTGATACGGATAATTTCCCATAAGTGAACCACGAGGACCCTGCACATTTCCAATGTAGGGGGAAGCTGGTCTTAAGCGTCCTAACCACACACAAAAAATTTGCACAAAATTACAAGTATTCTACAACAAAAATATGATATTAGATCAATGCAAACCAGTGGTATGGCAATGGAAGATGAGTATTGCAGGAAAACTGACCAGGAATGTTAGGTATCAATGCATAGGGCAATGGAGGCCGAGGTCTCCCAAGGGAAGCAAGATTACAGTTTGCACGTCTACCGTCTATAATGGGAGTTGGGTCAACACAAGCTCTCCTCGCAGCTTCTGGATCTCGGAAAGTCACCTATAAATCCTCCATATGAAATAGAAACAGAGCACTGAATCATTCACAAAACAACTGCAACAGAATTACACCAAAATTAATCACTTTCTTTGTTCTGTGATTATAATGCACACGATCCATAGAGTTATACGCCAGTACCTATAAATCTAATGGCACTGATCTACAAAAAAATGCGTAATTATAATTGTAACTAACTCTAAAGCAACATTTAGCATCTCCATGAGTAATTCCAGAGCAACAAAAACAAACTTAGCGTCTTTTACAAACAAAGAAAGAAGGGAGAAACAGAGGACTCACAAAGCCATATCCTTTGGATCGGCCAGTGTTCTTATCAGCAATGACAACAGCTTCAAGGATTTCACCGTACTGTTCGAAATGGCGACGAAGGGTTTCACTTTGAGTCTCCCAAGCAAGTCCACCGACGAATACCTTAGTGAAAGTTGTATCACCGAAAGGAGAATTTAAGTAGTGAAACCCAGAACCCGGAACAGACTGGTACGCCATGACTACAGAGGAGTGGCAAAAATGGAAACTTTATGCCAAAGCAAAAGAGGGATGATAAATTATGAACAAGGGATCAAAGGATCAATTCTTAATTTTGATGATAAAGGTAACCGAGTAAACCCTAGACATAATTGCAATGATTAAGCCCAGAGATGAAACCCATTGAATAAGAAGAGGAGTATCTAGGGTTTACTCGGTTCTGTGAAGATGAAGTGAGAAAAAGTGAGATTTGGGGGAAAACAAAAAACCTAAAAGATCATTCCCTACTAATAATGACGAAAGGGAGAAAAAAGAAATCAAATTTCCCGGAAAAAAAGAAAAGCAAAAGCAGTGTGGGTTTCAGGATGGGCCAGACAGAGAGAGAAGAAGAAGAAGAAGTCGGTGGGTGTGTGAAATTAGGGTTTCTTAGTGAAAAGGATCACAAGAAACTGTAAAGAAAAACGAAGCTACAGGGTTGAGAACTTGAAACTAATACTAAGAGTTTAAAATTCTGAAAACAAAGGAGAAGAAAAAAAAAACCTAAGAAAATAATAAAGTAAGGAAGAAAGAAGGATCGATTTTTTAGGGTAAAAGTGGTTTGGTTAGGGGAATTCCATTGATGGTGATGATGAAGAAGTTGGTGATGACGATGAAGATGATGATGATGGTGCGTGATTTGTTGAAGGTGAAGAGAGAGAGAGAAAGAGAGATACTTTTTGATTTTCGACATTGTAAATAACGTAGGACCCCATATATATTTATACTCTTAATTTTGTAATTAACGTCGTTATCATCGATCCCCTATGTCTTTTGTTTTGTCTGATCGAATCTATCCGTTGTTGTAATAACGTTACACAAAAAATGTAAAAACTCAAGCCGAACTTTGTTTATTATTATTACAATATTCCTAGAATTGTAATTACGGTGTAGATCCTCGGAAAACCCCAAATAAATGGCTAGGGGTTCATGAGCCTCGTGACTCATTTAACCCCCCACTAGCCCACCACAATGTGGTCCAATGTCAACGATTCTATGGAACCCGGAACTATGTCACGAGCTCATGATTCCTGTACAGTCTATCTTACTAGACTACAAAACAAAACTAAATAACAACACAAATATATATTTTTTAAAAACATTTATACTAGAATACAAAGCTGTAACGACATACAACTAAACTGGTTTTTATTTTGCCGCGGACACTTCCGTCTAGTGGATGGGATTAAAATCCAACAGAAATAGTTTTTGTTTTTCAGATAAGGAAACCGTTAGTATATGAAATGTTCCATCAAATTATTATTCATGTAAGTGAAAGTAGTAAAAGATCTGACTTTTCCAAAAGAAGAACACCATTACCATGAAAATGATTGTACCAAAACCATTTCATGGAATCACTTTATTTCTAGGAGTAATAATAAAAGAGTGAAGAAACGACACTGTGACTCTTTGAAGTAAGCTTTTATGGCTTTGGCAGATCACCAGCTTCTTCAAAGCTCACCACTGAGTCCTCAATGGTTTCTTCTAATGCCCTAAACTTCCATCCTAAATTCTGCAACTTCTCTGAGCTTAGAAGCCTTACTTCCTTCACCTCCTTCTCTGTTCTCTCCGTGAAACTGTCATTATACATTTTCATCAGATCAGACCAAAATCGAAACAGCTATGAAAGCAACCGTTTGGTTCTGCTATTTACCTTTCAGGGAAGTTTCGTTTGGGATACATATTCTTGAGCTTCTCCATGAGAGAATCGGTGTAGAGTGAATGAGAATTGCATATGTATCTTTCTTTTGCTTTTGGATTTTCATACACCAACAAAAGCGCATCCGCAACATCACGCACATCCACAAGATACAGTTGATCGCTCAACAAGGATTTTATACCTCCTGAGACACACATGCACCAACCAACATACTTTTCAATAATGAAGCAAACACTTTACCAAGAAATGTACTTCTTAGGCCTCCAGGGGAATGAGATAAACACATGACATTACCTTTTATAAATCTGAGAAGCCCCAAACTACTAGAGTTAAGCCTTGACTGAAGTCTAGGGCCTATAGTGACAGACGGACACAGTGTAACAACATCAGCTAAGTTTCTCTTGCTCCACTCTAGAGCTTCACGTTCCGTTAACGTTTTGGCAAGATAGTAATAAGGCCAGTAACCCTGAGATCCTCAGATTTTGCATCACAGAAATAAAACACAAATCTCTTACTGTTTTTTTTTTTTGTACATACACTAAATATAAAATAGAGTTTAATCTGACACACATGCTAGCTTCAAAGAAACAGTATTACCTCAAGTGAGTAGAGGTATTGAATATCTGACCAACAACCCTCGTCCTTAGCAGCATCTTGAGGCCATCTTGGGTTGTAAACAACTGCAGCAATTGATGATACAAGCACAACTTTCTTCACTTTAGCTTCAGTACATGCTTCTAGAACATTATTGGTGCCACTGAGAGCTGGTTTAATCACTTCTTCCTGGATTTTTTTAAGAATTAAAGGTGATTCTGTTTTTTATAGTAGTGATTCAACAAAGACACAAAAGAAGAAGCAGTGTTTGTTGAGTACTTGCCTCTGTGAGAGGAATTCCTTCAAAAGGCACAGGGGAAGCGATATGGAAAACGCCAGAGCAACCAGCAATGGCTAAAGAAAGACCTTCGTAATCAAACAAATCTGCTTTGAAAAGTTTCAGATTCTTTGGAGCATTATCCAACTTCTTCAAATGATCATTCTTTTCATCACCTGAGAACAATGTATATCAATGCAATAATGCATGCAACTTTCTCAAATTCAAGAAACAGAGGATACTCAAAACTTCACTGAGTAACAAAGAGATTATAGGATTTGTCCTTTCTTTCTCACTCACAAGGATCTCGAACGGTTCCATGGACAGTGTAGCCACGAGAGAGAAGAAACTTGATGAGCCATGAAGCAATAAACCCTCCTGCGCCAGTAACACAAACCTTTTGCTTTTCAGCCATTGTGGCCGTCGTTCTCTTTAGCAACTTAATTCGGTCTTTGGAGTGAACGAAAGAGAAAACAGATCTCAAAGTATTTAAACACAAGTCACATTTGATTTTAACTACTCATCTTTTACTTATGTAGCGTATTATTTTGAGGGAATTAAGCTGGATAAAGATTGCAAGTTCGGATTCAACGGGCATTGAAATATGGGAAAATTTGATGTTTAGTACGTTTTGAAAACATAATATGCTATTTAGTACAAAAACTATTTAAAATTTGAGAAATAGGTGTTTGTGAGATAGAGAATGGTAGAGATAAGAAGGGATGTAGGGTAAGAGAGAGTTTGGAAAAAGACAAAAATGGGCTTACATCAATCGTTGAGACTTGAGAAGTTGAGAATGGGTGTGTGTGTCACTGTGTGTGAAAATGTGGGGAGAGAGTTTTTTTTTTAATTATTTTTTTTCTTTTTATTATACCCTCTCATTCTAATAATTAAAATACTTGTCAATACAATTTTTCTTTTCTCATATTTTTCACATACAAAAAATCTATATTTTTTTCTCTATAATTTGATATGCATTTTGTTTAATAATTTTAAACTTTGAATAATATTCTATATATACACAATTGTATTTGTACATATATGTTTGTGTACAGCTGTTATACAAACATTTTTCTGTACATATAGTTATATAGTTATATGTACAATCTGATTTATGTATGTACAATTGTATTTGTATATATATCCCATTATAGAAATATGAATACAGTTGTTTATTATCTGTACACTACATATGTACACTTAGTAGGTTGTACGGATTATTGTACACTTAGTAGGTTGTACGGATTACTTATGTACATTACATTTGTACACTTTGTAAGTTGTACAGATCTAAAAATTATTGAAATCATTTGTCATTATCAAATAAAATCATCAAACAAAATGCATATCATACATTATTCTGTACGGTTGTACGTCTCTGTACAAATATTTTAACTGTAAAATAGTTTATATTTCTATAATTATATATGTACATATATTTTTTTGTACATATATACATATTTTATTCGTATAACTTATATAATATAAAGTAAATATGAGTGTAGAAATTAAAATTGTGTATATGTATATGTATCCGTACACTATAGTAAACGTACAGATCATATTATGTAACTATTGCTATGCAAATAATTAAAAATTTAATTGTATTATAACATTAATGGCATACTTGTAATTATAACATTTAATTAAGGGTTTGAGAGTCACTTAAATAGTGTCTAATAGTAATCATTGTCTGTTTCTCTAATTATAAATAGTCTTTGTACTATTTTGCCAATTACTTTCTCAAAATGTACTAAAACTCAAATTATTCCTTGAAATATTATATGAATTTTTGTAACGAATGAAATTATTTAAAAAAAAAAATAATAATTTCATAAGATTTGTTTCTTTAAGTTTTTAGTTGTTATTATTATTAACTCATATATCTTAAAATTTAAGTTTTTGAAGAGTGAAAAAACATCTTTACAAGTGACTTATACTTCAGCCTAACTTGATCTTTCAGAAAAAATATAAAGTCTATAGTCAAGAAATATATAAAGGACGACCAAACAAACTTGAATCTATCATATGCATATGCACATGTAGTCTGAGTCAGCCTACTTTGATTTTTCTCTCACACGCACGCAATTGGGCAAAGAAAAGTCTCAAGTGGTAAAGAAACAAAAGAAGAAAAGACAATTTTGGATTGTGCAAAAACAGTTTCCAAGTAATTGGAGTAAATGAACAAACAACCAGAATTGACTAAGTGAATCCAAAAGAAAGATTTAGATACTTTGAAGAACGTGAAGAACGTGCACCTTGATTCTGAGAAGACGGTAGAAACCAAGGGGACTATGAACGGTACCACAAGACACAAAGCTACTTATATAACCATGAACCAGCTTGAAAAAGGTATGCTCATGAGTTGTTCTTCTCAAACTGTTATTGACTGACTTATTGTTACCAAAATGTTGAAGACTTAGAAGTAGGCACAAAGATGCAAAAGAAGGATTTATAATGTAAGAGTTTGCCTACATTGTAAGTGATGAGAGATCTTTCTTTGGAGTTTGATATTACCACAATCCCCTCAGGCTCTACAACCCAGCCTAAAACAGAGTAAAGCTCAGGGACACGTTCTTTCTTTCCAATTCATACCAAGAATTCGACTAAAGTCCTTGTAACTTGTAAGCTTGAGAACCCAACTGCAATGGCAGAGTCTGCATATACTATACAACTCGTTCTCAACTAGCTTTTGGGGAGACAAAAAATCACAACTGAAGAAGATGGAGAAGTTTCAAGAACACTAACATGTTGGCCTACTAACATGTTCTTCTGGCCGAGACTTAGCAACAAGTCAAAGAATCTGTTGTGAACCCTTACAAGTGGATCTCGAGTAACTTGACTTGTCCTTTAATTGTATTCAGATTGTTATTTAATTTTGGCATAACATCAAAAGCTTAGCTAAAAGCAAGGAATCTGTTGTGAAACCTTACAAGTGGATCTCGAGTAACTTGACTTGTCCTTTAATTATATATCCAAGTGGACTTAGAGCAGTAAACCACATGATCTGACATAAGATAAGTTAAAGGAGCAGAGATAGGGAGAGAGTGAGAGAGAGAGAGCTCGTACCCATACGCAGGTCATGCTGCCTTCAAATCACGAATCTTGAAAGAAGAATAGACTCCGATAAGGGATGAGAAAACGACGACGTTTTAGATTAACGCCAATTATTGCTGAGACCGGCGTTTTAGGTGAACGCCAATAATTGCTTAGACCTAGACACCTAGTCCCCTAAACAAGCAAATATCCAAATATAGACCCCAACATATCATCAAGCTTATCGACACATAGCTATGGTTTAGCCTAATTTGCTTACTTGTAAATTCTCTTTTTAAAACAAGTCTCTACAACGCTTTTTTTTTGTTTGTTTGTTTAATAAAAATTGTGCGTTTGTGCGAAAGAATATGAAAATATAAAAAACGAAAAGTGTTTGTTTACTATTGGAGGAAGAGAGCAGAGATCAAGGGATGTTTACTACTAGTATTTAATAGTTAACGGAGGTAGGTTTAATTTGTCTGCTTGCTTCGAGCAAGATCTCGAGAGATCATGAACGTGACAATGTGACTTCCACTGCTTCAGGACAATTTTTATTATAAACCAATTTTTTCTTCTTTTTACTACTATCTCGCTTGCTAAGCAACTATCATTTTGTATAGTTTATTTAAAAAAAAACATTTCGTGATAATATTTTCTACTGGTATAAACTTTTATAACTTCTTCACACGTTTAGTTAACATTATACAATTTTTTTTTTTTCCATTTTTTATAGTTGACAAAAGAAAGTTGTTTAACATAGACAGTTTTCTCTTGAAAAGCATGTTTTCTTTTTAAAATATATATATATAACTCATTTTGTATTTTATAACGTGAGTTTTTGTATTATTTGTTGTCAAGGCTAGGCTTCGACTACCATATTTCCTATTTTTTAATATGTATTTTATAACGTGAGTTTTGTCTTGATTAGCATATTTTTATTGTATAACGTGAAACTCGTTTATAAGAACTCATATGTATTTGTATTATATGAACCAAATCAAATTATCTTATATTAAAATAAGGTTGCTTATAAGGGATTCAATGTTTCTTTCGTCAAAAAGGTCTACTCTTGTAGATTTTATTCTATTATAATTTGGATTTGGGATTTCCACGCTAAATGATTGTTGTTTTTGATAGCAATGTGTAAACTGTTAGTTCTTAAATAGAAAATTTGGGGATGATCTTACTACTGTTCGTAAATAGTTAAGGCTAGGGTTCGACAATGTTAAGAGGGTCCGGTGGACTGGTTTTATCGACCGGATTGGTTCACTTTTTGATCTAATCGGCTTTGTGACTGTAGTTGGCGAGTGGTTTATGTTAATTTAAGCTTTATAAAACAAACCTCAACTTTGTATACTAAATATTTTAGTTTTATCTTATTGTAAGGTTTTCCGTAAACGTTAAAATTAAATACCCTTCTGCTGCTTTCTTTCTTTCTTTTTTGGGTTTAAATCATTAAACTTCTCTACACTCATCATAATGTATGGACATGAATCAAGTATCATCACTTACGACCACTGGTCTTTTGCTGAATTATGAATTTTCGGACATGAAAATTAAAAGAATAATGTTATTGTATAAGATAATTTAAATTATTCTTTTTTTGAATTTTATTGATTTTTAATTTACGAAACAAAGTTGTCGTTAACCTAGCCGGTTTGTCTTGATTTGCATTTTTTTATAATAATACAAGAAGAACTTATTTGGGTTAATTATATATGAACCAAAATCATATATCATATTATATTAAAGGTTGCCTATTAGGAATTCAAAGTTTCGTTCGTGAAAAAAGTCTACTCTTGTAGATTTGATCCTCTAATAATTGGGATTTCCACGTTAAATTTCATTTTCTTTGAAGATTTTGTATATCAATTGAACCAAATGATTGTTGTCTGATAGCAATGCATAAACTGTTAGTGCTAAAATTTTTTTCTATCTGGAATGATCTTACTACTGTTGGTTAAATAGTTAAGGCTAGGGTTCGACTCTGTTATAAAAATTTGGTGGACTGGTTTTATCGGTTGTATTGTTTCACTTTTTGATGATTTCGGATTCGTGAGTGTTAGCGAGTGGTTTATGTTGACTTTACTCATTCAAAAACAAAGTGAAGTTTGTATCCTAATCATTTTAGATTAACACTGTTGATGTTTTATCACATAGTTAAAGGATAGCATATACCCGTATTCCCCTAAACGTTAATTATAATATTACTCCTCTACTTAATTAATTTTTTGTTTGTTTAAACTTTAAAGTTATTAAACTTCTCTACGCTCATCACAAGCGTATATTATATAATTATATGGACATGAATAAAGTTTAATTAAGTCATTAAACTTCTCTACGCTCATCCTTACCCATTGGTATTTGATGCCTAATAATTTTCATACATAAATATATATTATACTAGTTGTTGATCCGCGCTACGCGCGGGAGTTTTATAATTGTTTTTTTATATTTTAAAATTTATATTTTGATTTTTCTTTGTTTTTGTTTATTTTTTTTGTTTTTACTCTTGTTTTTGTATTAATTTAGTATATAAAATGTTTATTCTTATTTGTTTAACTTTGATTTATGTCAAATAGTAGCTGTTAGAACCTTACATTTTAAAAGCCTTCAATTCTTGTAGGCCAAATTATTCTGGTGAATCCACTTATTTATTTATCCAAGTATTTTCATTTTACCTTTTAGTTTTTTTTTTCATACTTCTTATGCCTAATATCAGTTGTGTTCTCGTTTGATGTGGCTTCAGATGACATCAATTTAGTGGTATATCTATATGTATAGTATAAATATCCTTGTTTTGTATTTTTTTTTGTATTTAGCCCCATTAATCAAAAAATTGATCGTTACTTTATAAATAGATACTTGTTTTATTTATTTTGGACATAAATGTTTTTAATTATATTATTTATTTTCTTAAAACCACTATTGAATATAAAAATTAAATAAAGACTAAGTTATGAGGTAGAAAAGAAATTAAAAACTAAAGTGTTGTAATTCTAAATCAATGTAAAAAATTTAGATGAATGATGATGTGGCAGCTGATGTGGAAGATGATGTGGCATAAGGAGAAAAGAGAAAAAGTTAACTTTATATATATAGATACGTACACTATAATTTGACTCGTATGTAAAGTAGAATTAATTAGGTGTCTCGAGCCAAATTGTTGATGGAAATTAGACAAATATGATCATGACCTTACAAAACACATATCAAATTATCAATACAGTTGGTAATTAAGAGAGAGTAATACAAAAAAGATATGATAATACCGTTTACGTTGAATCGCTTTTGTTTTCACGCTTTGTTTGATTGGTAAATCATTTCTAAAAATACATCCGTTAGTGATACAAATACAACAAAAGCATATACAAAATTACCAATAAAATTAGCAAACACACATACAAAGTTGATATCATTCATTACGTGAACCGAAGCAAAAAAGAGACGATATCAATACAAAACTAAAACAACAACAACTAAAAAATACTAATAATCATGATTTTGTAAAATAAACATTTGTCTAGGTCGAGAAAGTTGTTTCTTTTTTTTTTTATGTTTTAATCATAGACGATAATGTAAGACAGGTTGGCTTTGGCTCAGTGCACAGCATATCAATTAATTGAAGTACACAATACACAAATTATATGTAACCAGTGCTACGTTTTGTTCTTCTTCATCATCATCATCATTCAATTTCTAGTATGACAACTAATTTCATTTGATGCTTCTATATCTTCCTCATCAAAAAATAAAAACGTGAAAAAAACCTAAAATTAGATGAATTACGAAAATTAGGCAAAAACCAAAAAAAAAATAAAAGAAAAAAAGTGAGTCACGAAAGAAAAAGAAAAAAAAAAAAAAGAAGCGAGCTGGTCCCCAACAGACATGTCCTATAAAAGTTGTTAACCTCTCCTTCACACTTATCACGCCACCTCACCCCCTCACCTCTCTCCTCCCTCTTCTCTCTCTCCCCCCGCCTGGAGAGATGGATCTTCGACGGAGGCCTCCTAAACCACCGGTTAACTCCAATCCCAACGGTTCTTCTTACCCTTCCTCTTATCAACCCCGCTCTTCCGACGACGATCACCGTCTCCGTACCGCATCAATTGCTCCTCCTCCCAAAGCCTCCGATGCGCTTCCCCTTCCTCTCTATCTCACCAACGCCGTCTTCTTCACGCTCTTCTTCTCCGTCGCTTATTATCTCCTCCACCGGTGGCGTGACAAGATCCGTTACAACACGCCTCTCCACGTCGTCACTATCACCGAGCTCGGTGCCATTATTGCTCTCATCGCTTCTTTCATCTATCTCTTAGGGTTTTTCGGTATTGACTTTGTTCAGTCCTTTATCTCCCGCGCTTCTGGCGATGCTTGGGATCTCGCCGATACCATCGATGAAGACGACCACCGCCTCGTCACCTGCTCTCCGCCGACTCCGATCGTTTCCGTCACCAAATTGCCTATTCCGGAACCTATTGTTACCGAAGCGCTTCCTGAGGAAGACGAGGAGGTTGTGAAATCTGTTCTCGACGGTGTGATCCCGTCTTACTCGCTCGAATCTCGTCTCGGAGATTGCAAAAGAGCTGCGTCGATTAGGCGTGAGGCGTTACAGAGAGTCACCGGGAGATCTTTGGAAGGATTACCGTTGGATGGATTTGATTATGAATCGATATTGGGGCAATGCTGTGAGATGCCTGTTGGATATATTCAGATTCCTGTGGGGATTGCTGGACCTTTGTTGCTTGATGGTTTTGAGTACTCTGTTCCTATGGCTACCACCGAAGGATGTTTGGTTGCTAGCACTAACAGAGGCTGCAAGGCTATGTATATCTCTGGCGGAGCCACCAGTACGGTTCTTAAGGATGGGATGACTCGAGCGCCCGTGGTTCGGTTCGCTTCCGCCAGACGAGCTTCGGAGCTTAAGTTTTTCTTGGAGAATCCTGAGAACTTCGACACTTTGGCCGTTGTATTCAACAGGTCCATCTTTTTGAACCGAGATTTTCCCGTTTGATTTGATTTTGTTGACTTTTTAATGCGTTTGATGTCGTCTGGTGGGTATAAATTTAAAAGTGATGGGACTTGTTCAAACCTTCTGTAGAGACTAGGCTTGATAGGAAAGCTTTCACATCAAATTTGGGCTGTAAAATTGCATCGATACTATTTGTTGACTGATTTGATTTGAGATTGAAATTTTTGTAACGGGATTTACTGACGAATTAGTGTTTTTTTTTGTGGATGCAGATCGAGTAGATTTGCAAGATTGCAAAATGTTAAATGCACGATCGCGGGGAAGAATGCATATGTAAGGTTCAGTTGTAGCACTGGTGATGCCATGGGGATGAATATGGTTTCCAAAGGTGTGCAGAATGTTCTGGAATACCTTACCGATGATTTTCCTGACATGGATGTCATTGGAATCTCTGGTGAGTTTCTTCTTTGTGTGATTGATCCTTATATCATCTTGATTCTGTTTGAAACTCTTCTTGTTCTATTTGATGCTATCTCGTAAAATTCTGGTTTGCTGTTTAATCTGATTCTTGTCTTTTGGATTTTATCTTAATTCTTCAGGTAACTACTGTTCGGACAAGAAACCTGCTGCTGTTAACTGGATTGAGGGACGTGGCAAATCAGTTGTTTGTGAGGCAGTAATCAGAGGAGAGATCGTGAACAAGGTGTTAAAAACAAGTGTGGCTGCCTTGGTCGAGCTCAATATGCTCAAGAACTTAGCTGGCTCTGCTGTTGCAGGCTCTCTAGGGGGATTCAACGCTCACGCCAGCAACATAGTTTCTGCTGTATTCATAGCCACCGGCCAGGATCCAGCTCAAAACGTGGAGAGCTCTCAATGCATCACCATGATGGAAGCTATCAACGACGGCAAAGATATCCATATCTCAGTCACTATGCCATCTATCGAGGTAGTTATTGATCAGATTCTCTGTCTCTGAGCTCACTTAGAAAGTATCTTGAATTCCAAGAGATTTGATAATTGTGTTTTGGAAAATCAGGTGGGGACAGTGGGAGGAGGAACACAGCTAGCGTCTCAATCAGCGTGTCTAAACCTGCTGGGAGTGAAAGGAGCGAGCAAAGAGTCGCCGGGGATGAACGCAAGGAGGCTAGCAACAATAGTGGCCGGAGCAGTACTAGCAGGAGAGTTATCTCTAATGTCAGCAATTGCAGCTGGACAGCTAGTGAGGAGTCACATGAAATACAACAGATCCAGCCGAGACATATCCGGAGGAGCAACGACAACAACAACAGCAACATGATGATATCAGTATCTCCTCTGGGCGCAAAAACTCAAAAAGAAAGACAACAATCCAAAACAAGGCAGGCTTTTTACAACTCATTTCACTCAGAACTCGCTGGTGGACAAGATTCAAGCCATGTGCGTGTGCGTGCACCCCCTCCCCTTTTGTTAAATAAAAAAAGAAAAGAAAAGAAAAGAAAAAAACTATTTGTTTTGTTTGTTTGACTTTGAAATCGTTCTCTCTCTTTTTTGGATTGAGGAGGAGCAAGAATGAGAGATTTTCACACTTTTCTCTCGCTCTCACTGCCTCCTCTTTCTCTCGCTCTCACTGCCTCCTCTTTCTCTCTTTTCTCTCATGGATAATTCGTGTCTCTTTGATTTGTCTTTGTTTGTTAGGAAGTGGTCTATATGAACAAAAATTGTGTATGAAGAAGTTACGTTTGGGAACATTTTGAGATTTTTCTCTGTTTTGTTTCCTATCATTTTTAAAATTTATATACGTTATAAAATTTCCCTTTGTGTTGGGGACATCTCTCTCTCTCTCACACTTTGTCTTGTTGTTCTTGTTGGTAAAGAAGGGAAGATACGGATCTTCGTTTCTCCAAAAAGACTAAGACTCCTCCACCTCATATAATACTTTACCATCTTTGGGTCTACACCTGAGATTTCCTGACAAAAGAATTGTTCCAACTTTCACTATTTTAAGTGATAAAAGAGAGAGAGAGAGTAAAGAAGATTCTCTCTTATTCACTAGGTCAATTTTGATCAATAGCTTCCTCCTGGGGACTTTACATGTTTGCATGATTGGGTCATTCAGATTACTGAATTATAAGGTCTTCAATTTGAACAAAAATAAATATATGCTAGCCAATAACCATCTCACATCCAAAATGAAATATATACTTCAAACCAACACTTACATATAAGAGAGATAGAACGATTCACAACCCTAAAGAAAAGTTCTCTCTTACATGTACGTGTGTAGATGTCCGACGATGTTGTATCACCATCCCAAATTCCAGTATTTTGTAATGTATCTTTTGGTATTTAACACTAAACTTGATGTAATAGACATTCGAACGGTTTATAGTAACAGTAGGTTGAAAACGTTCTATCATCCGAGATTCAGCAGAGTTGACGACACTGAACCCAATTGTTGTTATTGAGCCACTCTTAGTTACAGTGATTTCAAGTATATGGGCTTACAAAGTCGTTAAACTTTGTCCTATCCGTTTAGGCCCAAATCCTAGAGCATAAACCACAAAAGTTCATAATGGTTGTCAGGTAGACAGACATGTTGGCCTTATCTTCTCCAGCCATTTTGGAAATCTGCGACTATGTATTGTTCTTCTCTATGTGGATAATTAAGTTCATAAATGTCATCCATTTTTATTCAATAACCGGATGATTCTGACCGATACACATACAGTATCAACTTCAGAATTTATAGTAGATAGAGTCGAGTATTATTCACCATTTAATGTATGCATGCATTGAATTATAGCTACATGCATATATATATATATATATATATATATATATATGACTGAAAATATTTAAAACTCTACTCTTTTCAACTTACATAACGAATTGGTTCACTTTTTATTTTCTGTAAACAGGTCAAATTTTTGTGATCATTGGCATTCTTTGAGGAGGCTGCTTAATTATATTCTTTACAAAAATGCGTTTTAATCGAATATTCTCAACTATATATCCAGTTGTTAATTACTAACTTCATTGTTCCTGATGGTTGTTCAAATCAGAGTGGCTAATACTAAAAAAAAAAAAAAAAAAGATAAGCCCATAAGACAGACATTTGGAAAAGGCACTAAAATTGGAATGGACTTTAGTTTTGGGTTTTGTCATATTTTTCGGCATTAAAGCTAATAAAATAATAATGAAATGAAAAAGTTGTTAGCAAAAAAAAAAATAATAATAATGAAAAAGACATGATAATTGGTGGATGGGGTTACTAGGTTTAGTGGGCAAGCTGAGAAAAAACAAATCGTTAAATTAAAAATGTTGTCCCGCCCGTAATCACCGGGGTTGATTTTACTAACTTCTTTTGTCAAACTTATATAATATGATCAATGATTATGATCCTCATCTTCGTTTGTCAACAATTTAAAATGATTTGTGATAAGTTAACTTAATACATGATTAATTATTCGTGCTCCACATGATTGTTTATTTCCAAGTATATACCGTATCAAAAACATTTACTATTGCATATATATTACATACTTTTTTTGTTGTTGGTGAATGCTTGTAGTATATTAAGTTGCTGGCTTGTGCTAAGTTATGATAGTCATATTATATACAGGGGCGGACACAGCCAAAAATATTAGTGGGTGCAAAGTGACAGTTATAGGATTCGAACTCACCATCTCCCATGTATTATGGGTGTAACATAACCATTTTGCTACAATAACCATTATGAACATAATAAATTTTTTAACATTTTATAAGTCACTGGTGGCAGCTGCTACCACCACCTATAACAACGTAGGTCCGCCCCTAATTATATATATATATAGTCTCATGGACTCCAAGTTTTAAATTCATCCCCCAATTGGTAGGAACTTCTTGTAATAAGATAAGATAAAACAATACATGGACGCCGATCGAGATGATCTCAGTGCAAAAAATAACTAGAGAATTAATTTTTCACTAGTTCTATCTTTTCCCCTTATTAGAATCTGCTTTTTTGCATGATCTCCTATCTTTTAACTTTCAAAAACTTTATGATCTCAACATCATATCTTTGTATGTATTTCCTTTTATGCATTTTAATTGAAAGCTTTTTAACAAAAAAAAAATACATGGACGCCGATCGAGATGATCTCAGTGCAAAAATTTAGTCAATCGCTATACGCCACGTGGAATATACGGATGGAAACGAATTAAATTTGGTATGGGTGTTAACTCCTGGTACTTTACTAATCACTTACTATACTAACACAGTGCAATGCATTATACAGCTTGAGGTCCAATCCATATAAATATTCGGTCCATTCAAAGGTCACATGGTTTGGTTTCAATTATAAATGGATCTTTTGTCACATTGTTGTAGTCGATGATCATGTACATCATGATTGTTCTCTAGTTATGGTCTCGACGAGTTGATCGATTCTTAACTATCAGATCATTTTTACTAGAAACAAATTTTTAGTATTATAATAGAACTTGATGATATATATATATATATATAATGTCGTGCGCATCATGTTATAAACATATAGTAGTCAATCATTCTCAAGTTTTTTTTTTTTTTAATATATATATATTTGATCAATCTTACCGATACAAAAGCCATGACCGAAGTCACACAGTTTTAAGCGCTAAACATAATATAGCAATAAGTCAATATTACAAGTAGAATAAACGTGGCAACCGAATCTTCCGCTTCAGTTAACTTCTTAAAACAGCTAAAGGACCACTAGCCACGATTACCACGGCCACGATTACCACGACCACGGTTTCCACGGCCACGGTTTCCACGGCCACGGTTACCTCTTCCTCGAGCATTAGAGGACTCCTGCACCTCTTTTGCTTTGATGGAAAGCTGAACCGGTCTTTCCCGCAGCAATCTTTGCCCGGAGGGAGTCAAATGACTCATCATTTCCGAACCACTATCTGACCTGTCTGAATCATCTGAATCTCCATCAGAAGGAAGTGAATCCCCATTCTCAAGTTTATGATTAAACAAAACTGGATTCCACAACAAAAACGAAAAAATACTTGAATCTTGATCAAGCTTAAGGGCTAAAGTTTCTTTTTTTTTTTCTTTTTTTTTTTTGTCGTTATTTTTTTCTTCCTTTTTTCTCGAATCTATCTTACAATATTAGAAGGAAAAACAACGTAACTCGAGGTATTTAAGACCAATGTGTGTGTAACTGGGAAGCTAGATTGGGGGAAACAAACACGTGGACCAAGTACCGATGCTTCCGACCGCCTCCACGTGGTACAACAGCTCAGCTTCTGCTCTGACATTTTTGACCGCACGTGACTTTTGCTCCGTGCACGTGTGGATCAAGCTTCAAGCAGACTGTGCGATTGCATCGCCGCGTCATGAGTCGTCCGATTGCGCCGGTCATGTATGATCTCAACGGCTCTGATCGAGACTACTTTGGTTGCGTGAGGCACATGCATCCACGTTAGCGAGACTGCTTCAAATGTGCTAAACTGCTAATATCAAAATACTGATCACACACTCCCAAGATCCACGTTTCATTTCTCCGACAAGTAGATAGACACAACAAAGAAATAGCTAATTACCTCAATGAGTTTTCCAAATATGCATCATTGGTCCACTATATATATAATCTTTCCATTCTAACGTAAGTTTAGAAATTTTCCACACCGAATGTTTTAGATTTGTAAGTATACAAACTTATATAATTAGAAAATTTCTGTTTTCATGACTCCTCTCAAAACCATCAGTTACATACATAGTTAAGTCTCCTTCCATTCTTCTAAGTTTCAATCTACAAATTTCTGAATTAGTCTTTCTATGTTCATCTTGATTAAAAAAATTCCTCCTCGTCATTTTTGTTTTATTTTAATGTTTGGTCCAATATTCTTCAGTTAGCCTTCAATTTTTCTTCGAATTTAGGTTGGGGAATGGCGTTCGAGGAATATTAAAAGCTCTATGTTATCTACAAACCCATTTCAATACCTTATTGTTCGGTCGTTTGCATATTCTATTGCTTCCACATATAAATGATTCCTTCTGCGTATAAACTGTAAAGTTCGATCATGGAATAGTTTAATATGTGCAGAGAAATGGTTTTAGATATGTATATGCACTAAACTAAATATTCATTTAGTATACTGTATAACTAAGAAAAATATTTTATTAGTTAATTATTCGTTCTCATCAACAAAATCATAAAATCATTCTTAGTTATGCCCACCCACCATTCTAGCTAGTAGCTAATACAGTAAAAGTGAGAATAAATAACATTACCCATTAAACAAGTGGGGAACTTTCAGGTAAGAATTTTAATTTTGTAAAGATATATATAGCTTGGAAGTTGGAACCACCATGCAAGACCGGGCAGCAGCAAGGCAAGGCTAGTGCCTAGTAGCATAGAGGAGGGAATATGCGTGCAAATTAAAAAAGTAAAATATAATATGCTGGTAGGTTAATCAACTAAGGTACGGTTGAACAATTTTATAATTATTCTGAAACGTTGAAAGCAATTATACATATAGCAATAGTTTTCTATTCGCTCAAATCTGTTAGAGCAAAGTGGTTTTATATATATACGATATTTGCAAGATTTTTGAGAACGAGAGAGTTCGATTACACATACTTTCTATCAGGATACCGAGAAGAGATCAAAATGAACTTGACAAAAAAAATAACGCATTATTTTCTTATATGTTAGATATACAGAAGATAACATATGCACTACCATTATTCATATAGCTATTAATAATAATGTAAGTTAAACCTCTGAGCAATAGGTTGAGAAGATGTCTAGTACTAAAACTCGTTGCCAAAAGAAAAAATATATTTCCTTCAATGTTAGATATGCTGAAAAAGACATTACGTTTGCAGTTTTGCACTATCATTATTTGCATACTAATAATTGTTAAATGTTATGGGTTTTTGATTGTGAATTAATTGACAATGAGTGTATTGATTGGTGTGTTTTGTTCATTCAGTTTCATATTAAGTGTTTTGGACTTCATATTTTCTTTAAAAGTCAATATTGTATAATATGTTAATAAATGGTAAAATATGTTAATATGTTTTTTCTAATATGTGCGAGAAAATATTAAACTATACACTTCAAATAAAATGGATAAAGTATATTATACTAGTGTTGGTTTTTTAAATTCTGGATTCTCTTCAGATTATGACTCTTATTTCTGTAATCCAATTCAAACTTCAAATTTAGAGCTGGTAATAAAACTTTTTTTGAGCCATCTTATTTGGATCAAAATAACAATTTCTGATATTATCTTAAGTTTCACAAGTTTTCAATTCAAAACGAATTGATAATAAATATATAATTTTTATTTACGAATGTTAGTTCCTTGAAATTTCCATTGTATAGAATCCTAACATAATTTTTCTTTTTAATTAAACTTTAGAAAATACATGAGACCCAAAAAATGAAACCAAAATTACTTTTGAATAACCAGGATTTCGGTTTCAGAGGATGATGAAATTGATAATAGAAGGCGTTACATGCACACGCTTCAAAGCAATTGTCCATTTTTGTCATTTATTACATCATTATGCAAAATACAAAACAAAATTGATATATTTGTCCATTCATGTTTTATTTTTATTTTATAATTTCTAATAATTAAATACCAGCATGTTTCTTGAGTCCTCTGTTCACATTGTCTTTGGCTTTTTAATTAGAAGTTTTTTTCTTAATTTCCCTTTTTTTTTTTAAAGTTTCAATTCTTAAAAAAAATATCATTATAATCACCAGTTTGAAGCTATAAGCCAAAAAAGGAAACGAAAATATCCAGAGAAGAAAAACTCGAAACCTTGTGCATATGTAAATATATTAAGATAGATTATGCGTATATAATAGATTAATATGCCACTATGCGAATTAGATATATTTCTTTTAAAAAATGTGAAAGAAATGATTTTTAGCTAAAAGTTTTGGTGTGCTATCGAATTAAAATTTTTTCTTTTCTTTTTCTTGCTTTCATGGTTCAAGAAAAAGTATAGCAGAGTACTCTCACTCAGTCTCAGTCTCAGAACATGAATAAGCTTCTCTAGAATTCTTCTTCGGATCACTTAATACGACACCGTCTTCGAACGAAGAATCTCTTTCTCTTGCCCTAAAGCGAGTTAGGGTTTAACACACAAGTATAACCTTTTTGATTTGTGTCTCTTTGCTCTGTTTTTTTGTCGGCTTGTGTAACCGATCAACTCAAGCTATTGGCTCCTCACCCCCTGAATTTTGACTTCTCCTATGGATCTCAAAGCTTCTCCAATATGAATCCTATCTCCAACCTCACAATATCTTTATATATATGAGCCACAAGAGCAAGCATACCCAGTAGATGCAGCGACCATGGACGGTGGTTACGATCAAACCGGAGGAGCTTCTAGATACTTTCACAACCTCTTCAGACCTGAGCTTCAACACCAACTTCAACCTCAGCCTCACCTTCACCCTCTGCCTCAACCTCAACCTCAGCCTCAGCAGCAATCAGATGATGAATCTGACTCCAACAAGGATCCGGGTTCCGACCCGGTTACCTCGGGTTCAACTCCCGGGAAACGTCCACGTGGACGTCCTCCGGGATCCAAGAACAAGCCGAAGCCACCGGTGATAGTGACAAGGGATAGCCCCAACGTGCTTAGATCTCACGTTCTTGAAATCTCATCTGGAACCGACATAGTTGAGAGCGTTACCACTTACGCTCGCCGGAGGGGGAGAGGGGTCTCCGTTCTCAGTGGTAACGGCACCGTAGCTAACGTCAGTCTCCGCCAGCCTGCATCAGCTACGGCTCATGGGACTAATGGTGGAACCGGAGGTGTTGTGGCTTTACATGGAAGGTTTGATATACTTTCCCTCTCCGGTACGGTCTTGCCGCCTCCTGCGCCCCCGGGATCCGGTGGTCTTTCTATCTTTCTTTCCGGCGCACAGGGTCAAATGGTCGGAGGAAACGTGGTGGCTCCGCTTGTGGCTTCCGGTCCAGTGATACTAATGGCTGCATCCTTCTCTAATGCAACTTTCGAAAGGCTTCCGCTCGAGGATGAAGGAGGAGAAGCCGGAGGAGCAGAAGTTGGAGAGGGAGGAGGAGGAGATGCTCCACCGCAGCCGCAGGCCACGTCAGCATCATCACCCACTGGAGCCGGTCAAGGACAAATAAGAGGTAACATGAGTGGTGGTTATGATCAGTTTGCCGGCGATCCTCATTTGCTTGGTTGGGGAGCAGCAGCCGCTCCAAGACCACCTTTTTAGAATTGGAAATTATGTCCGTAACATAGCTGTAACCAAATTTCATTTTTCATAATTAAAAAACAAAAAAATGCCATTCTATTGATAACAACTTCTTCATTATTTGAGGTTCTTAATTTAGTTGATCATATATGAAATATTTGAATTCGTCTTCAGATATATACTTCCTCATCTGCATTTTCTCTTCTATTTAAATCACTAGGGTTTCGTGCTGCACCATATATATTATTTGGTATCTTGCTTGACTTCAGAATAAATAATGTTTTTAGAAGCCATTTTTATTATGTCACACCTTGGTTACCCACGTAATTTGATAAGAGTAATGTGATTGAGTATATGGTATGTAATGCCCTTTTTGGGGGTGGGTATATGAAAGGTTAAACACTTAATCTATGTTACTATATGTATATCAACGAAGCAAATCAAACGTTTGGTCCCCTTTTGCATTCATTTATACCATATATATGACATCCTCTCAACATTTTATGATTTGAAACTCCTCAAGACTAATGAAATTCCTGTTTATGCATGGAATCTGATTTGATGATACAAGTTTTACCCAAGTGATCATTTCTATGTTCTTCGATGAAATCGATGTGAATCTTTCTTCCATTCTATCAATGAATCACGGAAATAACGCTTTCGAAATTTATAAAAAGTAAATAACGCTCTAGAAACTAATGAAGTTGTTTTGAAGATAATGGTTACATTGATAAAAACATACCACTTTTTGTCGATTCTTAGAAAAAAATCCATCCGTTACAACGATAGAAACATGATTTTTTTCGACGGTTACAATGATCAATAATGGCGTAAACACGAGAACCTTACATGTCCAGCCAAAACCAAGACATGAAGAAACATTTGGCTCAAAAGTTTTATCAGTTTCCCTTTAGAAGATTAGGAAAATCTTCAACAACATAGCCAAGTGGGTTTTTGAGTACCAAGACCAAAATGTGTGAAAATGAGGAATGCAACAAGTCCCTAGGAAAGATTTGTATGCATATATAGTTTGAAAAACATAATTTATATCCAAAAAACTCAAGTGGAAGGAAAAGCTTGTACATGACCAATGCATGCCCAAAAGAAAGTTGAGTTGAAATATGTCCAGTAACCTGCTAAAGTGACAAGTTATTTACTTGAGTAAATAACTATTTGAGATATTTCAGGTTTACTTGTTATGAGATGAGAATGAGAAGTGGTTTATAACCTGTTTTTTTTTTTTTTAATGAAAGATTTTATTATATATTTGACTTTTTAGGGCTTGAACCATGTAAAGATCAGAATAAAGGGTAATGTACTTTGGGACTTTTAGATACGTGCATTAAGACTTTGTCTTTAGAAGACATCTATGTGCTCAGGTCATGTACCTTACATGCAATTGAGCAAACAATTGGCTTAAGATTTCTTGTTGATCATTCTGTGTTGTGTTTTCTAGCACGCTGGTTAGTAAACGTTAATGCAAATGTATGCCTAATACGAATTATGATGGATATAATCATAGTTAGAATTTGTTGGAGGGAAAACTAAAAAGAAAATGTTAGGCCATAAAGCTTGGAATAAAATGTGACTTGAAGAATCATGGTTTGAACTTGGAAGTAGTCGATATCAATTTTAGTTAATTATGGTTGGTTATTGTATTAAAAACATGTATATATATATATATATTACCTATATTAATTCTAGATATGACTCTGGATTTTAATTTAGAATCTTGTGGTTATATATAAAAGTTGAACCAAAATTTTATAATGTTGATTGCAATAATGATTTTTAAATAGTAAATAAAAATACTTTTTTGTTTGTTTTTGTCGATAAATAAATAGATTTCTTATTTCCTTCTTCCTTAATTAAAAAGTAAAAGAAAGAAATGAGCACGCGACATCCGATGGTAATCCGTAACGGTTTATGATTTTCAGCCCATTAAACTCAAGCCCAAATAAACTTCTACTAACCCATTAAGCTTCAGTACTCTACAGTCTAGTCTTACACCTGATCTGCTAATCATATATATTGATCGAATGATCATTCAACATCCAAGCAAAACCTTTTTTTTCTTGGTCTACAAACATCCAAGCAAAACCTAAACAATGAAACTAACATGAAAAGAGAAAGAGAAACCAATCAAAACTTTATTTTTTTTTTGGAAAATATATGTATGATCAGCTTATCCTATAAAAGAACAAAAGAATTTGAAAATCATAACCTTCCTAAATTCATACCAAACTGTTATTGTTAGTTGCATCCTTGACTTTAGTATCAGGAGCAGCTTTCCTACTAACATCAATGGAACATCAATGTTCGCTTCTCTACTTTATAATCTTCAGAACTCAAGTTACAGTCAAACTATCACATTTGCTAACGATATAGTACTGATACAAACGAATTCCTAGAAGAACCAAAGAGGTCGTCGAAATTCACCAAAAGTAACAACTAAAGAACAAGCTCTCACTTGAGATGAGACTGGTCATTGCTCAAATGGGACTCGCACAAACAGTCGACCGTGCAGGCTCACAACTGCTGACGTGTGCAGTGGATCGATTCTTGCTGGAAAGTTCACAACCTTGCCAAAATCAAAATCAAAATCAAAATCAAATGAAGACGATTCTTCAGTCAGTAAACATGGCTCTGTATGGACTGTGTTAGAATCTAACCTTTTTGAAAGGTGTTATTCCCCACGGGTTGTCCAGCTGCTCAGGTTGTCCTGCTATAACAAGCCGCCCTGCAGGATCTGATTGAACCCGAACCTGAAAGAAGAAAGCACAGTTTAGTTTAGTAACTAAATTCCGTGTGCAAAGATTAGTAGCATGTCCATTATAGCTAACAAAAATGGTGTATTCCAGATTAAAATTCAGTATCTGTCTACTTAAAACCTCCCAAACATATCTACTACTCACATCTATATCGTGGGAAACAGCATATATATATTGATTTAGTACCTAACAACCTCAGGGAAGACTCTTTGCACCAAAAAAAAAAAAAAGGAAATCTATTGTGCATGCCAGTGATGAAACGCTAAACAAAGAAGATTAGCAGATTGAATTCCAAGGAGAAAAGCTCACCTCTTCGCGAAGAAGTCCAGGTACCAGGGCAAATATCTCAAAGCAGTCTTTCTGTAAATAGTGACAACAAAACAGGTTTGGTAAGATTTCAGATTCAGAACAAAGAGCCAGATCGCAGTTACTTTCCTTTTTTCAGGCAGTCTTGATTTTGACTTTTTGTTCTATCTCATTCCTCTAGTTTCACGAATTAGGTAAATGTTTCATTATATGAGAGGGGAAGCGGCAGATGTACTCACAGTTTCCCTGACATTTATCTTCACCCAGTCTGCTGGGGGTCCAACATCTATAACCTCGGCGGTTGACCTATCAATACAAAACCATACTATCAATATAAGAAACAAAGACAGGGTCACAAAATTATATGTATTCATTTAAATCTCCTGCGCTATATCTGGCATGGTAGTTCTAAGAACTACCGCACAGAGAACAGAGCTTGTGATCCACCAAAGACCATACATTTGACCATGAAACAGGGTTTTCACAATTAATAAGACTACGTAATTGCTCACGGTAAAGAAATCTTGCATAAGAGACAAAAAATACAGGAGATGATTAGCTTTCGTAACTGTTTGTCTGATTCATGTGAAAAAACAACGTCTGCGCCTGTCGGTGTTTTTTGTTTCTGCAAACCTGAAAAGAACAATTAAACACGGTGGCTTTAGGTAATCATTTTGGAGATCATGAATAACTAGAGCCACTTCTTAAGAATATTACCAATGTTTTTAAGGTTCTTTTGCTTGGGGGTTGAATTCAAGCTTTTATCCTGAAAATAAAAACCGTACAAGCAGTATCATGTTAAACAGCAAGTTGTGCATAGTGAATGTTGAATTATGAAGCATGGTAAGGTCTAACTAGAAACCTTAATAATAGGTTCAGTAACCTCCCCAGATCCAAGAAGGCGCTGAGAATGCCAACCTTGCATAGCACGAGCTGCAGCATCTCTGCGAGCTCTACCTGACCCTGAACCTTGATGGCTACTTGCCTACATATTATATCAATGAGAGAAAGGGGAGTTATATAAAATTTAAATTTCTGTTTTTTGGAGCTTAAAATTAGTAATTATCTGGGTTCTGTACGTAATGTTACTTATGCTTCATATCTGACACAAAAACGTTACAGCTTATTTCAATCAAACTGTAGAGAGCAGTGTATAAATTGACCTCCTCTCAAAGTGTTCACCTACCCAAAAGCATATAAATTACACAAATTCATAGGAATTCTAACCTCCTTTTCAAGGCCTGAAGACGGAAGAAAAGCTGAACCAGGAAGGTTAAGGTCACCATTTTGCCTTAGATGCTTCTCATACTCCAAAAGTGCCTGCAATTGGAAAATAAGAATACAAATAATGAATTTCTACATCTTGATAAGATAGAAATCAACTAGAATAAACTGTTCAAAGGCTAGCTAGTCTCAGACACAGTCCCGAAAAAGGAGCACAAGGAGATTGTCTGAATTGAACATGTATGAACTGAACTGAACAAGCACAAACTCATTAATATCGATGCAAATTCAGTGCTTACAAAAAATGAAATTCACCTTTTCATAGAAAATGCGGAATGTCCAGGAGACTGTAGTGCATGTTCTAAATGACAATACAAAAAAATGTGGAGAGTCAATTGGCATTCAAAAATCGGAAATGGTTGAGGAGTTTGAGAACAAAACCAGCCATACTTCGGAGGATGGAAGGATTCTCCAACTTGCCGCCATAGCTTAGATGTGGTGACCTGTGTAAGAAAATGAAAATCAGGGGTTTTGAGTACAATAGTGAATAGACATAATTTCATCCAAATAGAGCTAAATTTGGGTATAAACTTCCAAAGAAAACAGATGCACTAAGCAAATTTAGTTCCCGAAACACAGACCTAACATAATTAACTCCTAACTGCATTGACTTTAATTCTTTCCGGATGGCCTTGAATCACCTTCTCATTCATTAGCTAAAACCCTAGCTTATTATATGCGTTATCCACACAACCCAAAACATATAAATCTCATGACTCGTATGTAATAATCTAGAAGATTTTTAGCCTACTAAATGGGGAGAGGAAGGAGAAGATCTTAGTAAATATAAATCATTCCGAGTAGATAATTACCACATCGTAGCCACCTAACTTGATGACGGCTCTCCAAAGCCTACATTGCAATGTAAAACACGCAGACGTCAAACAAAGGAATAAGCAGAAATAAAGAATATCTCTAGAATTAAAACAACAGTTTCCAGCAACTTACTTGAGACAATTTAAGGGCTGCCCATAAAACTTAGGGGCTTTAAATTCCAGAAAATTCTCCTTGTGAAAGGCCTCCACTTCTTTAATAAACGCCTCTTGATCCGCTGGTGTTCCTGCTTCATCAACCTCCCTGGCCTGTAGAAAATCGTGAACTTGTAATGAAACAGCCACGGATGACCAAAAAACTCTTTTCCCTTAGATAAGAAAACAATAATATGCAACGGATCATGCAGATGCAAGCAGGCCAAATGTCTCAAATGTAGCAGAAACGTGCTCTCATTACCTCAGAATCACTTAGCAACCATGTCTTCCATTTCTTAACACTTTCATCATCAGCAACATGAGAGCTCGACGGTTCCCCCTCCAGAGGAGTTGAATCCCCGAGTTTTGCCTCTTCTTGACCGCCTTCACTCGTAATTTTATTTTCAGACTGATCAACATCACCATTCTTGCCATCAACAATGTTCTGGCCACCTAGCTCTTCGTTAGCCTCAGTTTGATTAGTAACGGGAGCATCAGATAAATGAACATCACTTTCCAAAGTAAGAGTGTTATCCTCAAAGACAGGGGACTTGAGATTTTCAATAGACTTTTGGTCTTTCTCGGTTCCTGAACGCTCCTCCTCCTCCTCCTCTACGGCTTTGGTAGTATCAACCGGAGCAGAATCATTACCAGACGGCACATCCTGCTCTTGCATTTCCGTGTCCGCCATCAAAAAGCTTCTTCTCTACTCTAGAATCTAATCACAAACAAGAAGGACGAATTCAAAATCCGTAAAAAAATACGATCAATCCAGAGATTCATAAAATAATTCAAAAAGCACTATCGATAATTCCCGAGAGAATGTAAGAAGCATGTGATCGAAGAGAATGGATGACGACAAAATACTGATTCAAACAGAGAAAGTGATAAGCGACAAAAAAAAAGGAGAAGTGGTAAGAGTGCATAGAATCCAATTAAATTGGTTACCGGTTGGGCAACGAAGAATAACGCCGGTGACGGTGGAGCAGGGCTAGGGTCAGTTAGAAGCCGGAGAAACTGAAGGACGCCGGCGGAGAAAAGGGAGCGAGAAGTATCAAATTTAACGGAGAGAAAAGCGCAGATCAAATAAGCAGGATTGGGTTTCTTAAAAGATTAAACTGATCACAATTCAACAACACACACACACTAAAAAAAAATGCTTGATCGCATAATGGGTTATTAATTCAATATTAACGAAGATCGACAATTAATGGAAAGACTATTTATTACTTATCAGGAAATTGGACCTTCGCGGCCCATTTATATAATTAAGCCCATTAGTTTCAAACATGGGCTTAATCTTTATGAAAGGGAGGCGGCTTTGTAATTGTAGTATGTCTTATACAATCTATATACACATCTTTTGCTATATTAGCCATATCTTAAAACGTATTTATGCTTTACTAATACTTGCACTCTACTACAAATGATGATGACATGATGTTTTCAATAGTACTTTTGGAAGTGCCAAATAATTGAAAAGACTATATATATAAGGGCATTTGTGCAAAGCAAAAATGTTACAGAATAATACTTATAAGGTTTTTTTCCACCAAAAAAAATAATAATAATAACTTGTAAGGTTTTTGTCCAAAATTTATCGAATAAGAGACCACCGGCCTTTTTGTTTGTTTTTATAATTAGGCCTTTGATTGCCCTACATCTCCGATAGTACGTAAAAGTCAGAAATTTTTGAGTAAATATGTCACGTGTATTAAAATGAGTCGACCGTTTTGGAATTGAGATATCTTTGTCTTTTGTTTTAGGTTTTGGTAATTAAAGATATTTTTCAAAAAGCACATCTTCATCATCACGAGTCTCTTGTGGTTGAAAGTAAATGCTTCTCCTGAAAATAGTTTATATAGGATTCTTCTAGTCACATGCATAATGCATTCCCTTTATATTATACTGTATCTCACGTTTACGACATGTTACTATCTACAGCTTCATATGTTTTTGGTATTGCAATTTTTGACGACCCAAATAGAAATACTCTAGTTATGGTGAGCAGCGAGCCACGGTGCTACTGCATGAGTGAGACCATGTTTATATATAAGGAAAAGAGAGACCTATATTCTAATTTTAAAATATAATAAAATGAGGGTGACAGAGACACGTCACTATTATCGTAGGGTTCCTTTTGGATGTGAGTCACATTCGCGCATTGTGTCGGGTTTTAATTAGAATTGTCTCAACTGTATATCACCATTATACTAAATTGTTGGTTTGCATACAACATTTATTAGAGTTGTCTTCTACTATTATCATACTAAATTGTTGGTTTGCAGACAACATTTTGATATCATATATAAATCCAGAGTATATGTGCACTGTCATATGTTTTTTTTTTTGTAACAGAACACTGTCATATGTTATTAACGTTTTGAATTCATATGTACAGAATTATCAGAACTATTAGAGTCTTTGATTACAAGTAACCATTTCGAGGTAATCTTGCTATCCGAACATTTAGAGGAAATCTTTCTTTCCGTCGATCGATATATTAAAAGTGAACCATGAAAGCAACTTATATTATTGCGTAATTATCCACTGTTTCGAAAACAGCTAACATTTATTTCCTTGCATTGAATTTGATAAATGCATACACCAGCATTCTTCATTGAGGCATTGACAGTCAGAGCATCTAGCTCCAATGGTTTATAAATGCATACACCAGCATTAATTCTCCATTGAGTCATTAACATATTTAATTCGTTTGGTATGTATGCAAGTACCTACCTAACCCAAACCAACACTTGTTTAAGTTGTTATCTACTTTTTCTCTTTCAACTTGTTTTTTTTTTCTTTCTTTCAAATTTCTTACGTTGGATAAGAAACGATTGGGTTTCACTTACTTGCACCCACAATGTGAAATTAACATTTATAAATAGTTATTTCGGTAATGACTGATTCACTTATATAGTTATATGAATATATATGCTCTTTTGTTTTGTGTTTAGTTTTTCTACACGTTAAGTGTCATTGAACTTGCTTGTAAGAGTAGATATTAATCCCACCTCCAGTTTAGGATTCCTATAGCTACTCCGATATATGTAATATAATCACAACTTGCTTGCAGCAAACGAACTTATTATTTTTTATTATATATTTATGAGTGTCTGATCACATCTGACTCGGGATTTTGATGTAATAAATCTGACTCGGGATTTTGATGTAATAAATTAAAATTAGTATCGATAAACACCAAGCTACGTAAACACTTGTATGACCGTCCATATTTTGGGTTAAAATGCCTGCTGATTTTTTACAATAACCAATTAGCCAGAATATATGGGATGGCTTCAGATTAAAGAATGGTGCGATACTCTATAAACGATATGGCTCTTATACCATAAGCATACGGTAACCGATATGGCTCTGATACGGCTACCTTAAAGATTGGTAGTAGTCTAGAGTATCTTCATAATGTATATAAAGAGAGGGATGAGATGACAAGCCATAAAACATTAAATTGTGTTGACAAGGGGAAAAAGACATAACAATATTGTTCTCTTGGTCTAAACTCTAAACCATTGGTTCGATAGAAACAATGCGATAAGTGTCTACATCTTCAGCAAGAAGAACCACAAATAAATACATACGTATGGGGGCAAACCTTTCGTAGTCCATGTGGCTGTTTACTATTTTTCTTTCTCAGATAAAGCCTGAATGTACCATGAATTATTAAACGACAATACACCGTTTCAAGACAAACACCCGCTTTTATTTCAACAATGTTTTTGAGTTATTTTTGCCCAAAAATTGTGGAATTCTTTTTCTATTTCTTTTTAGTTGTTTTTTTGGGTATTTCTGTAAATTTGAGAATATATACACGAACGTATGTATATAATAACTACGGCCAAGTTGCAAGATATTTATCATATATATCTTACGTTATGATTCGTTAATTATTTGTTTCTTACGTAACTCTACTTCTAACACAATTCATAATTTGATTACAGGGAACAGAAAAAAAAAAGATGTAAAGTCTGACCCGGATGATGCGGACACCAAGTATTGAATTTCATAAAAAAAAAATTCCGGAGAAAGAAGAAAATATGAAATTCCCATCCCCATTAGCCGTAGAATATTAAACTTTACCTTTTTAATTAAAAGAAAATTGTGTTCTCTTTTTGGTATTAATGATTTTTTTTCATTTTGGAGAATTTAAATAGACTTATGCAGAGAGAGAGAGAGAGAGAGCGGCAACGCTCTTCTCTTTCATGTAGAGAGATATAGAGAGAGAGAGTTCTGATTCTACGGCGTAGTCTCTCTCACTGCCGTGGAGCTTTTATCGCCAAGAAGACCATCACCTCTCTCTCTTCCTCCTCTTCTGCGGTAATCGTTCCTTTTCCTACGATTTTCTCCGATTGCTCCTCTGTTCTTGACTTCGGTTCTTCAACTCATGTATATATGTGACTTATGTTTTCAGATTATTATTATTATAGCTCTGGCAGATTAAAAAAAAAAAAAAAAAGATGATGAAGCTATTGAATCTGTTCATCACTTCATTTAAACCAGTTGTGGAGATTCTTTTGATCACTTCTGTCGGATTCTACTTGGCTCTCGACGGTGTCAATCTTCTCGGTCAAGATGCTCGTAAAATTTTGAACAACGTTCGTTTTATTATCTTTACTTTTAAATTAAAAATTCCAATCCTTTCTTATAGGAACAATCCTGACTTCTCTGTGATTTTGTATTATTGTTTATAGATTGTCTTCTATGTGTTTAGTCCTACTCTTATTGGGAGCCGTTTAGCTGATAGTGTTACATCTGAAAGCTTGGTCAAAATGTAAGTCATTTATTGAGATTGATTATTTTAGGGATTTGCTCTTTTGGTTAGTTAGTCATAATGGAAAGAAAAAAAATGATGGTTTGGTGCAGGTGGTTTATGCCGGTTAATGTTTTGTTCACTTTCATGATTGGTTCGTTACTGGGCTGGATTGTTGTTGTCATCACTAAGCCGCCTCGGCATCTCCGTGGTCTCATTGTTGGTTCTTGTGCTGCTGGTAAAAAAAAAAAAGCAAAACACACACTTACTTAGACATATGTGTCTGATTTCTCTGTTGCTCATGAAAAGTATAATTATATGTTGATTAATGAATGAAACTCAAAAAAAAATAAAACAGGGAATTTGGGGAATCTGCCACTTATCATTGTCCCAGCGGTTTGTAAAGAAAAAGGAGGTCCCTTTGGAGATCCTGAGAGTTGCGAGAAATATGGAATGGGTTATGTTTCTCTATCCATGGCTGTAAGTTACTCTGTCTCTCTCTCTTTCTTTCTTCTTCAAGATCTTTATATCACAGTTTGTCATGACACTTACTTGGTAATGTATCAGATGGGGTCTATTTACATATGGACATACATGTACAACCTTATGCGTGTGCTATCGAGCCCTCCTGTTGAAATCCCACAATCTCTTGAATCAGACTACGACAGCTGCAAAGTCCCACTTATTTCTTCCAAGGAAGAAGAAGACAACAATAAGGTTTTTTTCTTCATTCATTAACTTGTTATCGGCAGTATGATGAGAATGATCCTTTTTGGTAATGATTGTGTATGTGAGTGTGACAGGTGGGGAGGTGGGAAAAAGTCAAGAGAAGATTGGTTTCACTGTCAGAGAAAGTTAACCTTCGGACGATATTTGCTCCATCAACTATTGCTGCGGTTTGTGTTTCAGAGACTTATATTTATTTTAGATGTCACTCACAATAGTGTAATCTTTCTAACTTTTCTTCTTCTGTTGTCAGATGATCGCGCTTGTGATCGGGCTCATTACTCCTTTAAGGAAGCTAATAATCGGCACGGAAGCTCCTCTCAGGGTGCTTCAAGACTCTGTGACTCTAGTGGGGTAATTGTAGAATAAGACTTCGGTACTCAAAAGCATAATTTTATCTCTTTGTAAAAATTACTCACTCGAAAGCTTCTTATGTGTCTTTTTGGCTGAAGAGATGGGGCCATTCCTGCTATGACCCTGATCATTGGAGGAAACCTACTCAAAGGTATAAAGAGTTCAGGAATGAAAATGTCCAGCATTATCGGCGTCTTGGTCGCACGTTACATTTTGCTGCCTATGTGCGGTGTTTTAATTGTAAGAGGAGCATATAAGTTGGATTTGATCACCTCAGAACCCTTGTACCAGTTCGTTCTTCTTCTTCAGTATGCTGTTCCACCAGCCATGAATCTAGGTTCCTTGCTGCAAACCAACTCTACAGTTACTTCTTTCAGATAAGATACATCATCATTCATAAGCTTCACTTATACTTTGCAGGTACAATTACTCAGTTATTTGGAACTGGGGAGAGTGAATGCTCGGTGATTATGCTCTGGACTTACTCTTTGGCTTCGATTTCACTCACTGTTTGGCCCACGTTCTTCATGTGGCTTGTGGCCTAAACCTCCACTGTCCACGCTTGATCTTGTTATAGGTATCCATTTATTCAAGAATGAATCGTTCTTGGACTTCCATATGATTGGATCATATGTATAATAGAGAAGAATATCAAGTCCAGCCATATCAAGGTTTGGAACAGATTAAGAGAAACTCTTGCGAAACACCTACCTATAGGAACATGTTTATGACCTTCCCCTTCAAGGTTTAAAAATGCATGCTCATTTTCCTAATAAATGTAAGGTACTTTATTGATAACATTTTTGGATAAATTATCACATTATTTCCCTGATACACTCTAGTCTAAATTACACTATGTCAATTTATAGTACTGAAACTGTGGGATAAAAAAATAAAATAAAATAATTATAGTTCCGAAATATTTTAGTTTATGAAACGATTCGCCAGAAGATAGATGACAACAAAAAAAGGGTTGATTTAAAATCAACATCGTTCGTTGTTCTTTACCATACGATAAACACTATGCGACATCTCCACTCCACATCTTCAGCAAGAACCACAAAGTAACATGGCACGTTTCGTAGTCGTTGTGACTTAAGGCATGACGACAGTTCCGATATAAATTTTGTATTCTCTTCTCACTATACGAGTTGGTGGTTATCATAAGTTGGACTTCAAAAAGGAGCTAGCTAGGAATTTATTGTACGTTGGTTTTTTATTTTCATACAGAACAGAACAGTTCTTTCTTTAGATCTCTCTCTCTCTCTCTCTCACACACACACACATAGACACTTCCTTTTAACAGGTAAACTATACCATTTCATTTGCTTTCCCGAAATCGAGCTCTGCTTTCGCCGTTGGTTCTCGCAGCTCTGATTGTTTCTTCTGCTTATATATATATATGGAATATGTTTGCAGATTATAGCTTTGGAAGAATAGAAAAATTGGAAGTAGAGATGAAGCTTTTGGAGTTGTTCATCGCTTCATTGAAACCAGTTGTGGAGACTCTGTTGATAATATCAGTTGGATTTTATTTGGCTCTCGACAGAGTCGACCTTCTTGGTCATGATGCTCGCAAACATTTGAACAACGTCCGTTTAAAACTTAACTTCACTCTTCTTTAAGTAACATATCTAAATGATTCAACTTAGTTTCTCATTGTTATTGTGTGTTGTAAATGTATATAGATTGTCTTCTACGTGTTTAGTCCTTCGCTTATTGGAAGCCGCTTAGCTGATAGTGTTACATACGAAAGCTTGGTGAAAATGTAAGTCAATATTGAGATTATTTCATTAGGATTTGCTCTTTTAGTTACCTATAATGGGATAATGATGATTTGCTGCAGGTGGTTTATGCCGGTTAATGTTCTGCTCACATTCATCATTGGTTCGTTACTCGGCTGGATTGTTATTGTCATCTCTAAGCCTCCTTCGCATCTTCGTGGTCTCATCGTTAGTTGTTGTGCTTCTGGTACAAAGCCTTAATTATGAGTTCAGAATATGTTGCCTATGTTTTGCTTTATGAAAATGTGATGATGAATGGAACCCAAACACCAGGGAATTTGGGAACCATGCCTCTCATTATTATCCCAGCCATTTGTGAAGAAAAAGGAGGTCCATTTGGTGATCCTGAGAGTTGTGCGAAATATGGAATGGGTTATGTCACACTCTCCATGACTGTAACTTCTCTCTCTCTCTTTGTCTCCATCTTCTTCAAGCCTATTCTTATCAGTGTATATCATGACACTTTTATTGGTATGTATCAGATAGGAACGGTTTACTCATGGACTTACATATACAATCTTATGCGTGTGCTATCGGCCTCTCCCGTTATACCTCAACATTCTGTTGAATCCAACTACAACAGCTGCAAAGTCCCACTAGTTTCTTCCAAGGAAGAAAAAGAAAAAGAAGAAGAAGACAGCCATCATAAGGTCTCACTTCTCAATAATAACTCTCCATCCTTTTGGTAGTGACTGTGTGTATGTGACAGGTTGGGAGATGGGAAAAATTCAAGCGAAGAGTTGCTTCTCTGTCAGAGAATGTCGACCTCGGGTCAATATTTGCTCCAGCTACTATTGCTGCGGTTGTGTTTCAGTGGCCCCTTTTTACGTACATTCATGATATCAAACTATGGTGTAATCTTTCTTACCTTTTATTCTTCTGTTTTCAGATTATCGCGCTTGTGATCGGGCTCATTACTTCTTTAAGGAACCTAATAATCGGCACTGTAGCGCCTCTCCGTGTGATTCAAGACTCATTAACTCTATTGGGGTAATTGTAGAACAGACTTATTATCTTGTTGGTAGGCTAGTAGCTCAACAAAGATTCATCTCTTGGAAAACTCACTTTTTATGTGTCTTGTTTCTTCTGGCTGAAGAGATGGTGCCATTCCTGCTATGACCTTGATAGTTGGAGGAAACCTACTCAAAGGAATGAGGAGCTCAGGAGTGAGGAGTTCAGGGATGAATAAGTCCAGCATCATAGGCGTCTTGGCCGCACGTTACATTTTGCTGCCTATAAGCGGTGTGTTAATCGTGAGAGGAGCATATAAGTTGGATTTAGTTACCTCAGAACTCTTGTACCAATTCGTTCTTCTTCTTCAGTTTGCTGTCCCACCAGCCATGAATCTAGGTTCGTTGCTGCAAACCAACTCTTTAACTTGAGATATATTAGTTGCTTGTGTGTATCAGATCATTAGATTTACAGTTACTGTTCAATTTCTTACTTTCCAGGTACAATGACTCAATTATTTGGGTCTGGGGAGAGTGAATGCTCAGTGATTATGCTCTGGACTTACTCTTTGGCTTCGATTTCACTCACGGTTTGGCCCACATTCTTCGTGTGGCTTGTGGCTTAAATCCCCATACCCGTTCATGTTATACGTATATCCTTTTTACTGAAGAATTGTTTTTAGACTTCCAGATGACTGGATCAAGCATAGTTGCGAATTTTTATATATTTAAACGTTAAAGCCGTTGATACAAATATTCGAACAGAAAGAAATGACAATCAGAAGTGATCTTTTGCTTTAAAGAAGATGATTCATAGAGGGGGAAGCAGCACACTAGAGATATGCTTGAAAGAAGCAATCCAAGAAAAACATAAAACTAGGAAAGATACTAACTGAGGATTTAAATCCTTAGAGAGAGGACTTTTCTGGCAGATCATCAAAGTAAGGATGCTCCATAGCCATCTTTGCTGAGATTCGTTTCGCTGGCTCGTACTGCAGCATTTTCTGTTCAAGAAAGACATAATTAATTAATCTCTTGAATGTGTTTAGATAACTAACTAAACAACTCTAGACTTGCAGATAGTTTGTCCAAAAAAAAAAAAAGACTTACAGATAGAAGATCAAGTCCAGCCTTGTCGAGGTTTGGAACAGATGAGGAGAGACTCGATGGTTTCCATTGTGGGTATTCATGCCAGTTCTTGAGTGTGTTCACGCCAGGCCACATTTCTTCATTGGGTGTCCCTAACAACCTGAGTTTTACCGGGAAGGGTGACATAATGAACAAAAGGTTTTGTTGTATTTGTCATGTACGAAGGTGGAGAATCAGGACAGAGACTTACTTGAAAATGTGAAGGAGCTGTTGGAGCTCAGAGTCTCCCTGAAAGATTGCTTGGTTGGTCACAAGTTCAGCTGTAAAATGGTAAAGTAACAATGTTAGTTGTTAGTACTTTATAAATCAAGATTGATATTGCGGTGATACAAGGGTGTAAGTAGTTAAGTCAATGAGGCTGAAAGAGGAAAACGTACCAAAAATGCAGCCAACAGACCACATATCCACAGCTGTAGAGTAATGGGTTGCCCCAAGAAGAACTTCTGGAGCTCTATACCATAGAGTTAATATCTGTTGTATGTTCATAAAACAAACATTAAGATGAGACACAATGGGATAGGACGTAAACCAAGATCTCATGTGTCAAGATAGATTACCTCATGTGTATACTTCTTCATCGGCAGAGTGAAGGCTCTTGCTAAACCAAGATCTGCAATTTTGAGCCTCATTGTCTTGGGATCCATCAAGAGATTGTGAGGCTTAAGATCTCTGTTAAGACACCAGGAGAAGTAGTAAGAACGAAGATCTCTCTTTAAGGTTATTTTCTCACTTGAAACAAGGGAAATCCAGAAAACAGTTCACCTGTGCAATATCCCGTGGCCATGGCAGAACGCCATTCCTTTGCATAGCTGGTACATCAAGCTCTGCAAATAATTTCAGAATGTTGTGTTAATGCACTTTAGACTGAGTGAGCACAAAAGAAGCGAAAGAGAGATGAAAAAAAAAAAAAAAAAAGCTCAAGTGGTTAGAAAAGAAAAGAAAACCTTGGTAGTCTGGGATGGAATGTTCTTGCCAGTGCTACGGAAACTTCTGATGAATTTCTTGACATCAGTATCCATGTATTCAAAAACAAGGTACAGTACAGTTTTGCCTTCTTTGCTTAGTCCTTGCTTGACGTCCATCAACCTGAAGAAGATGACAATCAGGTCTCCATAGAAGCAATAGATACTTTATTTTGTAAACCACTGGAAACTGCGAACTAGATGCAATGGTTGATACAAGGAGTTTAAAGGTCATGGACATGATTAACCTAAAGGAGATCAAACTCTAGGAAACATCTATCAACAGAGGCCACAGATCTAAATCATATAACAGTTACTAAACTCTTCAAACAGATTTCTTACGAATTGAAATTGAGATCTATGTAATCTGGAAAACAAGCGAGATAGTGGGAGAATCGAAAATACAAAACCCTAACGCAACTCAAAAAGAGAACGAAATGGGGGCGATTCAAGCAATAAGCGGTAAACCCTAACCTAACGATGTGGGGATCGCGAGCGAGCATGCGCAAGATGGAGATCTCGCGGAGAGTGGTTGAAGGAACGCCTTCTTCGTCCTCATGGAGACGCGTCTTCTTGAGAGCGACAATTGTTCCGGTCGCTTTCTCTCTGGCTCTGTATACTTTCCCGTAAGTCCCTTCCCCAACTTTCTCAAGCTTTTCGAAAGCGTCCATGGCGGAAACAGCAATAACTCCCTCGTCCATCTCTCTGTCTCTCTCTAAAATTCTTCTTCTTCGGCTCCCTGTTTCTCTCTCAATTGGGTTCTTATGGGGAAAGTGAATTGACGGAGAAACAAAATGTGGATGGGTTATAATAATTTTTATTAATTGAGATTGAAATTTTGAAAATTTAAGATTCCTTTTTCTGAGCTTTCCACAACGGATATGTTTTCGAAATTCAAAATGGAGCGGTCTTTTGATTAATCACTTTTTTTTTTTTTTGCTATACATTTGTGTCCACTTGGCAATTACACACGTACGTAAGTTGATTTGGTCTGAAACGTAAAAAAACTCCAGATCCTTGACAAGTGTTTGTGTAACGCTTCATATACATAGTATGATCCAAGAGGTTATCAGAAGATTAATGCACCCACACACACACTTCTCCATCCAAAAACCATTACCAAAATCCTTAAATTTGATTATTCTTTTCCTAAACTCTACTTTGAACAATAAGAGTTGCATCAGTCAAAAGACGACTTCAAATGAAAAGAGAGAGATAATGAAGTTTATGTGGTGAAGTGAAAACCAACAAATTCAAATCAATAAGTTGTAAGATATATTAAAAATCTTAAGCAAACTGCTGACCACTGGTAGAAGAAGATGAGATTGTGGTGAGAACATCGGTCACCGACGACATAACACTCAATGCTGCCTTCAAAACATCTTGAGAGCATCCCGGTTTCACTATTGTCCTCACCTGATCAAGATACTCTTGCAGCTTCTTGATTCTCCCCATGTAATCTTGGTCTTCTACACACAGACTTACTGCCTTTGCATCTGCTCCTGGACCATCATACTGGACCGGCCCTGGGTTTCGGTACATATCTTCCATCATGAATCTCTGAGCGTTCTGTCTCAATAACCTGCAAATTGGTTGATAAATCAATGAACCCATCACTTGGATCTCATTCATTCTAATGTTGTTGTAAAAATGGATTAATGAACAAGAAAAACTTACTCATATGCTTTGCCTTTCAAGTCCACTGCAGCTGGATGAATTACAGGTCTACCAATTGAAGTAGAACCAGAATTTTGGGACCAACGCTTAACCGTCATCATTGTCTAAGGTTAAACAGAGAAAGAGACTAGGGTCAGTGAAACTGAAACTTGAAGTCAGAAAGAACGAACATATATTAAGGAAATTCAGTCTCAAAAACAAGTGAGACAAAACTCAACTGTAATAGGTGCAGCCCCGCATTTCCATTTGTTTACAGGACTCTTCAAGTTAGTTATTGTTGCCATGTAACCATTCAAACCAGCTGCGAGGATGTGGTAACATACATGCCCAAGAACCTGCATCAAAGTTATAATCAATGGTGTTAATATCAAAATTATTAAATTTGCAAAATAGCATTGTAGTGCTGTTGGCAATTACATACATAGGCATAGTCACAATCGAATTTTGATGGAAGAGATCCACGAGCTTGGTAACCAAAAAAGTGGCAGATAGCGTTAAATTTCTTCCCTTTGTATGTCCCATCTTTCTGTCATTTTCAAAAATTAGTGTTAGAGGCAAGAATGATCACACATCCCATGAACCAATAGAATATTTAGGCAAGATAGTTCGAAAAAAATATCAGTAATTTGGATTGTGATTAAGGACAAGAATGTGCAGCATACCAAGCGCTTGTTCATTTCAGTCTCCACGAGATAAGCTAGAAGTTTCTCAGTCTCAATCTAAGAGAGAAAACAAATGGAGCAATTAGGATCCAAAATTTTATAGCACAATAGGCTCTATCATTTTCATTCTTCATACCTGAGATAGCTGAGCAGAATCATCAGATTCGGGATGGAGAAGTAGCTGCAGCAACAGAGACAACAATTTCCACAAGTATTCATACTCAGATTTAATGTGATAAAAGAAAAGAAAATCTCATCTTAAAGAATTATAACCTGTCTCTTAATGAATGGAGGCAAAAACTCAAACAAAGCACATGACCAAGGTGACAACTGAGTTGAAATGTTATCAACATGCACACCTTCCTTCAACAGTCCATGAATTTCCTGCATCGCACAATCCCAACAACATGTAAGTACTTAACTATAATTTACTACTCAAGAAACCAGAGAAATAGCTTTTCAAATAGAGATGCTTGCCAGTGCTGAATTACCTTCAACAGAGCATAGAGTTCAGGAATACTCTCAACAAGCCCTTCAGGAATTAAAATGACTCCATGGTTTTTGTCTGGTACAAATAAGCAGTTTACCACTAAAGTTAGTGAACAAGCAAAATATATCACTGCCAACAGAATCACTAGTTTTAATTAGGAGACCTTGTTCTGCTCTAGCTTGAACAGCATCACAGATTTGTTTTGTGATATCAAATATTGTGAGCTTAGATGCTGTAACCTCCTCACCCAGTATCACCTGCGACAATCGCATCACACGAAAATGAGAATGTAGAGACAGCATAGCCAACAATGTCAACCGTATATGTTTAGGAATTGCAAGAATACCATGTTTGGATGAGACTGAAGTGTACACTCAAGGGCAACATGTGAATGCTTCCGACCCATGAGACGGACAAAGTAATAATACTGGCAATACACAGAGGAAACTTGTTTGAGTGAAAATTTGATAACAGAATCAAAAAGAACCCACCTTAGCAACTATTGCACCATAAACAGATTCCAAATTATTAAGCAAAAAAATTATATCAATATAAATTAAAAAATTCATTAAGCTGTAGTAAGAGTGAAACAGTTCAATGATTATGAGTGTTCTAGCACTCTTTCCAAAATATAATAACGACCAGAAAGAATACACATATACCTTCTCTGCTGAAAGGGCATCCGTGCAGATATTGCTAATGAGCTGAGAATTCACCTGTACACGATAAAGTAATATTAGCCTAACGACGAGTAAACTATAAACTGGTGAGGGCAATGAAAGACTGGCTACAATACCTACAAACTAAAAGAACAAAAAGCTAAATTTCAAATTTACCTTGCATGTAGTGTCAAAACCAACGTTTGCTTCCACAAACTGATTCTTGAGATCTCCATTAATAGTGACCGGAACACCAACTACCTGAAACATATTGGTAATTTCTTTAATAAATTCTTTAATTATGAGGAGCAAATGCCAATATCTTATTTCATGAATACAAGATCAGAGAAAATAATGAGGAAAAGCTAGGACCTTTGTTGGGCATTTTGCTTCAGCAAAAAATTCAGCAAGATGAGCTGCATCTGTGTTTGATGTTACACCTAGCCAATATAAATTATTGATTTTGAAAATACTGTGATGGACTTCAAAAATACGATTTACACAATTTGAAGACACCAAAAAGGAAGAAAACTATGTACCTCCAATGATAACAAGGCCATCCAATTTCAAATCAGTGCAAGCTTTTAGAGCAGCATTAACTTGCTCGGTTGTCCTAATCTGATCCTTGGTTCTTCCAAGCAAATCAAAGCCACCTAATACAACATTGATATAATTACCGCCAGTCAGAAAGCAATTAAGATTAAATCTTGAATTTTTTAACAATGTCATTCTCAAACAACTAACCTTGGTTTTTGTAGGTTTGGAGGACATCATCAGTGATCTCCAGGGTCTTTTGAGCAAATAGACCTTCAGAACCACCTGTTGACAGGTTACCAAAGTTTCTGATTAATGAGCAGGTGATATCAAACAATGAAGATACCCGATTAACGAACAAAAAACAGGACTTACCCAAAAATCCAAGCAAAGTGTTCTTCGCATTGTGCACTTTGAGAGCCTCGTAAAGACCCCAAACTACATTGTGCCCACCAGGAGCCTGCCTTCCAGAAAACACAATTCCGACCCTGCAACAGAAAACAACTAGCTCAAACCAACAACATAGCCACAGAGCAAGAGTTACAGAGAACAAAATATGCAGATGCAAGCACACCTCTTGGCTGGGTGCTCAGTAATAATCTGAGCATCAGGAACTTTAGCAGATGCCCTGAGGAAGTGAGCCAAAGGCTGGCCTAGAGTATGTGGGAAAGCACGGGCAATGATATGAGCATCACCGGCCTTTGCTACAGTGGTTCCATCACCAAGTTCGACACGGACAGTAGTTCCCTGTAATGTAAATCACATCAAGAACAAAATCAACTACGATTCAAAGACATTACAAAAATCACAAATCCAGGAAATCAGATGCAACCACTACAAGCCTCCATCTAGGTAGTTCACGTTGAATGGCAATTCTACCTACCACACTAAACTGACATATCAAATCAGACCGTAAACGCAAACGGACGAGTATAAGGTGATCCAAAACCATAGATCACAATCATAACAACAGCGTAAACAGATCTGCATGAACGGAACCACCATTGCAAGTTCATCAGGCAGAATACCACAAAAAGCAAAGTCGAAGGATTCAAAATATACACGAAGTGACGAAATTATGAGAAAACAAAACAACGTAACTGATGATTTATAATAAAACACATAGAGATCCAAACACCGGAGACGGTAACAACAGAAGAAGCAAGAGATCTAAGAGAAACGAAGACGACGAACCTGGAGACAAGGTGGAAGCTCGGGGTGGTACTGAGATCGGAGTTGTTGAAGAGGAGAGAGTTCTCTGGGGATTCCGAAATCTGAATCCATAGCTTTCAAGATCTTTTTTCTGAGAGAAATTAGGTTGGTGAGAGTGTCAGAGAGAATCGGAAAATTTCAGAGAAGCTTTTTTATTTTATTTTTTCTAAGGCTCGTCAAAAGTATTTATATAGTGTGCGCCGTGAAGAGGGGGGACTTGGCGATACGATCAACCAAACAGCCAAAATTTGGTCTTCATATTTTTCAGCTTCAGTCCACGCTTTTTTCAATAACCCATTGTTTTCCCCGGTTTTTACGAGATTACCCCTGGACACAATTACCCTTGGCGTACTTTTTCGGTTTGTTAAATGCACTTTTATGAAAAGGTTTTGATTAAATAATGGCCGAATTGTCTATTATATGGTTTCATTGCTTTCTATTGAATTTCTTATGATTAAACTGTTATATCCTTTTAGACCGGCAAAAGTACAATCGTAAATCTAAGTAATTTAAAAGGTTGGAGCGAAGGTTTTATAAATGCGGTTAGTTTTTGGTTTAGTTTGAGTTGACAGTTCCCATCTAAGTGAGACGATACTCCAAATTAAGAAAAGCATATGGTGATGCTAGTAGAAAGGGAGAGTGAAAGAGCAACCAAGGATAAGTGAAGGGGTAAATACGGAAATACCGAGGAGCAAATAGAAAAAGGAAACATTGGAGAATATAGCATTAGATAATGGGGAATATGCTTTAGAATTTAAATGGTAATATTGTAATTACAAGCAAGGAATCAATGGCAAACATACAAGGAAACGACTCTCTTATTCCCTCCTCCCCAAGTATTGCCTGAAAAAAATTAAAAAGCTGCCCATAGAAATATATCTATCTATTGCACCAATGTCTATATTTAAGTAATAATGCACAAGGTTTCAAGAAAAAAATGGGTTCCTATTTGCTCTTATATTTTGACATGTTATGGGCTTCTGGGCTTCTTATTTACTTAGCCCACAGTGAAAAAGGCTCATAATTTGAAGACTTTATCTGTCATGATCGATGGGTATTTAGATACTCCCATGATATGTAACAGACTAAGGGCAACAGAAAGGTAACACAAGCTTATTATTATTACTGGTATGCTCATATAAGCCTAATGTTATTTTACAAGACCTAAGAAAACATAAACGATATACAATGGGAGTATAAAATTTACAACATATACATCATGATATATTATAACAACGACACCTCTCAAGTTGATACACACCTTAAAACAACTAAAGGAGTAGGTAAAAGGGATCAGCTTTGCGTTGTGCCCCTTAGGTCAACTACCATGCGAGTAAAGAAAAAAACTGGTCAAATGGTTGATGAGTACTGTAGTAGCTTGAATAATGCCACAATAAAAAAAAAAAAAAAAATCCTGAAATGACGTGGCAAATAGAACAATAATGATTGGAGGATCTATTTGTAATTTTTGCTATTCACAGTCAGCATACCCAAATATAAATTAATTGGAATGATGGGAAAGAAGAAGAGAAACGAAAATTCAGAGAGATGATGATGTCTGCGATGGCGAGTCACGTAAGAGTGATGCTTCCGCTACACCAGCAACGACGGCCGATCCCAATCGGATCGGAGATTTTTCGACTGGGTCAGACAGAGGAGAGACGATTCAAGCTGACGATTACGGCGAGGGCGACGGCGAAGTACAAGGGGACGAAGATGAGGGAGGAGAAGCTGTCGGAGATGATAGAGGAGAAAGTGAAAGAAGCGACGGAGGTTTGCGAAACGGACGAGAGATCGGAGGAGTGTAGAGTCGCGTGGGACGAAGTTGAAGAGGTGAGTCAAGCCAGATCAGATCTAAGGATCAAACTGAAGCTACTGAACCAGGATCCTCTCGAGAGTTTTTGCCAACAAAATCCTGAGACCGACGAGTGTCGACTCTACGAAGATTAAAAAGATTAGTAGTGTAGTAGTATTTCGTGTTTTAATCTTTATCTAATAACAGAGAGGACTTCGAACAGACTGATTCTGATTAGTCAAAAAAAAAAAAAATCTCAATTCTTCTATTGAAACGTTTGTTCAAACCACACCGATCGCTTTGGAAATAAAATGCTATCGTTTTTTTTATTGTATTGTTTATGGATCTAACGATATGGCCTGTTAATTTAATAGTTGGGCCTATATATGGATTTGCCCGAGACCGGGTTTTTTAAAGAACTGGCTAATATCAAGACACGTGGACTGACCGTAACGTTGAAAATTTGGTCCTTAAGTAATTTTTGTGGAAGTTTTGAAACGGCCGCTTCTTTTACAAAGGTTGGTTGGTTGAATCAAGAACCATGGCTCGGTTTCAAGAGAAGTTGTCACTATCCTCAAATTGTTCGTTGTTTCATTCACTTCCAAGTCTCTGGGTAGTAGAATCGCCGTGACAAGGTCCCGGTCCTGGTCGATTTGCAGAGCTTCGTGGCAAGAGGTTTAGTTCTATTAATTTTTCTCATTTGGTATTATACCCTCGGTTTTTTCTTGAACTTTTTACTGCTGTATTTAGCTCACCGGAGTGTTGGTTTTCTCGGGGATATCGTTCACGGCGTTTAAAGCAAATCGCCAACAGCTCTGGGAGAATCTCTGCCTATATTGCAACATAAAAGTAGTTTAAGCCACTTGTTAAACATTTATAAAAGAGGTGTCACAAAGTGGATTTAAAAAGTGAAAGTTGATTCTTCATAAATGAACTACAATGGTCACATGAGTTACGTGCAAACTGCAAAGTACTGTTGACTATTATTCAGGTCAACAGTGCCTTACCCTATCTTCACCTTCTTCCCACAACTGTCTTTTTAAAAAGTTTCTTTCTTTTTCACTTTTCCGATACAAAACAAAACCAAACAAACCAATAACCTCTTTTTTTGTGGACTTGAAAAAGAGATAAGAACGCAGAAAAGGAAAAAGGATGAGTCCTCAACTTTTCTCCCAACATCTTGAACAATTAGTGGTTATGTGTAACTTTCTCTGTAGATAGCTACTAACTGGTTACGTGGATCACACTTCTCTTTTTATTATTATCTCCTTATGATGTTCTATTTTTATTTTATTTTATTCAGTCTCTTTCTCGAGTAGTACATTACATGATATGTTGATGATATGTTTTCTCGAGCAATATTACTCGAGCAATATTACATATGTTGTTACTTTCAATTCCACTACTCTATTAGATATTAGATGTTGGAGATAGAGAACTAATAAAAGACAGAGAATATAATTGCATAATTCTTACTTCTTATGGTAGGGACTTGATTACTACTACTAATAAGTATACTTTTCGAGTTATTACTAGTAGTTTCGACACACGCAATCTCGATTTGATTGCATAATTAAGTTTGTGCTCATCTATTGAAACATATCTTTTTATCTTTATTCATTCGTTACCAGCCTCCACTTAGATAGTTAGATATGATAAGAACTCTCTATTCAAATGGATTTAACGGTGATAGTAGCCAGTAGATATATTTTAAAAATAGTGATAAAACAGGTCAAAATATCTATTACATAGGAAATAAATATCTTCAAATACTATATAGATTCGGGTGAAATCCTATTAGTATTGACTTTGAGTCTTTGACCGTAAAATCTAATAGTTTAGATCACACACAGACACAAGACATAACCCCTGAAACTATAAAGTAGCACACTCACTGTAGATGATTAAGAGAACTCTTTACTATTAACTACTGGAAACACGTGACATGACGCTTACTGACCTTGCGATTATTAAGAGAGGTGGCATGTATATGTGTAAGCCCCGACCATCGGACGGTCTAGGATTTGTCATGTGGGTTAACCATAATAGGACAAAAGCGTTTGCCACGTCTACATAGAAAAAGGTTGTCCTCTTAATCCAACGGCTCAGACCAGACTCTATACCAATCCCCCAATTCGGTTCTGTCTCCTCTCTTGTCCGTTGATTCCTCTGGCTCTTCACTTCGGCCACGTGTTCCTAATTTGACCATATTTCAAAGGTAATAAACTTGTTTCCTTTTTTTGTTTTTTAGTATTCACACTCGTACTATCGTCCCAAATAGTTATGTTATATGTGAATATTTATCACAAAATATAACGAATACTACAATAATAATATCAAAATTTGGTAACAAATATCAAAAAAATAATATCTTCCTACGTTGGGAGTGATGTCGGACGTCACCGAATAATATAATAGTAGTCGGCTAATTTTGATATTTGTCGCGAACCACGAAATAATAAAATGATTTATCATCATCATTTGTGACTTGTGAGCAATAATGATTCAAGAATTCTCAAATAATACTAACTTTTTCTTCTTTTTTTAAGTTCCTTTACTTCTGGGGTCTCGAGAGACCCACACATGTGCACAAAATATACGTGTGTCTCTTATGGACTTTAAAAAGCAAAATTAGCAGACACTTATTTGGCCAAAAAAGAGTCACTAAAACAATTTAAAAAGAGGATATTATATGATTTTCATGCGAATTATAAAAACTATTGAAAATTATCGGTGACCGACCTCAAATACAAGAAAAACCTCAATTTCTCTTTTATCATCTATTTGCCGCCGCCGCCTTCTCTACTATATCAAAACCTCTCTTCTCTAGTCTTTTCAATCTAAGTCACACAGTTCTGTATTCACGCTTCAAGCTTTGCTAGTCGAAAACAACAATAGAATATCACAAGAAACTCATGGTAATTGAACGATTCTTCTTCTTATTTACTCTCTGTTTTTTCCTCCGCAGATTCTTATATTTACTTACCCTTTGAATCTGGTGTCAAAATCTTCCAGGGACCGATGATGAGAGCAGAAGAAGATAACTACAATCTGAGTCCTCCACCATGGCTAATCCCTATGCTAAGAGCAAACTACTTCGTCCCCTGTTCGATCCACGCCGCTTCCAACAAGAGCGAATGCAACATGTTCTGTCTTGATTGCACTTCCAATGCCTTTTGCTCTTACTGTGTGCTCAATCACAGAAACCATCGTGTCCTTCAGGTTTGTTTTCCTCATATTAGAAAATCACTCCTCTTTCCCTTTCAGTTCACAGAACTGAGTTACGAAAATGGTATCTTTTTGTTATTTATCCGCAGATACGGAGGTCATCATACCACAACGTGGTGAGGGTGAACGAGATTCAGAAGTACATAGACATCTCTTGCGTTCAGACATATATAATCAACAGCGCTAGGATTGTGTTCTTGAACGAACGACCTCAGCCAAGAATCGGCAAAGGCGTCACCAACACCTGTGAAATCTGTTGCAGAAGCCTTCTTGATTCTTTCCGTTTCTGCTCCCTCGGTTGCAAAGTACCTCTCTTTTTCCTCTGTTTTCAATCTGTTTTCTCTGTTCTCAAGGTGTTTCCTCTGTTGTTAGCTTGGAGGGATGAAGCGAGGAGGGAATGATCCAAGTCTAACCTTCTCTCTGAGAGGGAAGCATGGAAGAGAGCACGAAGGTGAGTGGGAATCTGATGAGGCGACCACACCTACTAAGATACGGAAGACGACGTGTGCTTTCAACCGTCTTATGAGTGGTCTCTCCATTTCCACTGTTAAGTGTGACGACTACTTCTCAGGAGATCAACGGTCCTCTAGCTCCGGTGATGAGAGCGGCTTTAATCTTTCTCCAGGGACGCCGCCGATATATAATCACCGGAACTCAAGCAGACGGAAGGGAATCCCACACCGTGCTCCGTTCTGAAGTTGACTTTAAGAGTACCCTAACAATATACAAAAGTTAGAAAATGTGGTCATTATGTTATTGTATATGGCTAGTACTTAGTATTTTGGTTTTCTTTTTGAAACTTTTTGAAACTAATAGGAATGTATAGATATACGTATGTTACAACGTTTTGCTTAATATAGATTACTAGGTTGTATACTCAAAAGGATTGAAATGTGTTTTTCATATAGTTGGCTGTAAAATATACGTTTGAAATGATATAAGGTTCATGTTATGTTACTTGTATCGTTTACGGTGTATTCAAATCAAGACTAAAGTAACAAATATGCATTGTGTGCATTATGATCTTTGACAAATAAATGTGTGCATTATGACGAGTTTGTCTTTCAACCAGGATTATAAACCAAAGTTTTGACTAACTGATTATGAATTGACTAAAAATTTGACTAATTTTATAAAATCTTTCTATTATCAGTCTTAGGTAATTTATTGATTCTTGGATTAAAAGTTCCATCGATATAAAAAAGAAACAACAAACTATAAATAGTCAACAGATAACAATAAAAAACACAAAATACATTGCAAAAAAAAAAAAAAAAAAAGTCAACAGATAATAATGTATACTATAAATATTCTTCTTGGTCAAGTATACTATAAATATTTGTATCGATCTTCTATTTATAAATAAACAGGGACTATAAATATTGTATTTAGCTTCTGTTAATTCTCACACGACAAGTGTTTATTTAGAATCATGGTTTTCTTGTGTAACCATCAGTTTTATAAGCTGGTGATCTATAGTATTGTTTTCTATGTGTTGGCGTCGTCGTCACTGTTAGCTTCTTCAGATGCTGCAGCATCGGAAGAACCAATCGAGAGAGGTAGGCGGTTGTTACCTTTTCAGAAGAAAACGGTGGTGATCGGTAATATAGTAAGAAACAGAGAAGTTTTGAATGTGCATTGCAAGTCTTCGGAAGACGACTTGGGGTTGCAACACATCCGATTCACCGATGTTTGGTCTTTCAAGTTTAGGGTAAATTGGAAAGGCACTACAAAGTTTCGTTGCCATATAACGTGGAGAGGAGGTGGTGATCATTGGTTTACTATCTTTAAAGATAGGAGAGACAACTGTGATTATTGTAAGTGGCAAGTCTTGGGAGATGGTGGAAGGGAAAAACCTATGATCCGGACAAGATGGTTGAAAGGTTACGAAACTGGAAGGGATGACTTCTTCGATTGGGACAAATAACTTCAAACCGATGAGTACATATTATTATGTAACTTAGTGGTTTATGTTCATTTGAACTATTGGGGTCAATATCTAAATTAAATATGTGAAAGCTGTTGAAGCAAATGTATAATCAACAATGGCCAATGCTATGCCAACAAATTCAACAAATCAGTTCATAAGTTAATTTAAAAAGTGCTAGTTGGCCATCAAATAATAGTAAGTTTTAACGTTTAAATTTATAAACATTTTAACATAAACAAAACAAAAAAGATTAATCGGAGACATGTTAGTCTTTTAAGTCTATAATACCAAGCTTGTAATTATAGACATTTTGTATATTTTGGTAAAAAAATTTCTCATTTCATTAGCGAAACTTTAAAAGAACACACAATGTAACCATAAGCATCTTTCTTTGTTTTATTGAACGCAACGTTGTCAGCCCACTAACGAACGATAACGAAACTAATCATCTATACTTTAAAGCCCAACATAAGCCTTTTCAGGATCGCCAAATGATCTCTGATAAATTGGTTTAATTAAGACTTTAACGTTTAAACAGATTACATAACTACGAGGAAGAGTAGTAAGTCCGTGGCTGCACGAGTCACGACCACGTTATATAAAAGATAAACCAGAAATTAGGAAATATTTCTGGCAGGGAAGGAACAAAGGCAAACGTGCAAAGGAGGTTTTTATCTAAACAAAAACGGCTTAGGTACACTATTTTGGTAGCTATCTAATACTCTTATTTTGGGATCATTGTACCATTTATATGGCTATTAAAAAATCCCATTTTTTCCGGTTTTACGTGTGACATCGGCGGGCAAACACATTTCGTGAAAACAACTTTTAGTTATTTTCTTTCCTATCATACAAACATAAACTAATGTCATTTCCAATATGATATTAATTAATACTAGTCTATATATATTTCATTGTTTTGAGCCGTACAAGAGATTAAAAACTTAGCAACGTGATTGCGTGACCGTTCTGACCAATACGCACACGTCTACTTAACTTCTTTGTTAACATTTTATACGTAAAAGTTAAAACTGTTCACGTCTGTAGAAATCATTTAATTTGTCGAACAATCTTGAAACGGAAGCAAAGAACATTTTATATAACGTCTTAGATGATTGACTATGTAATCAGACTAATTAATACACAGTATATGCTAATTGCAAAGTTGGAAAACTCTCTGCAACAAAACGTGTTTTAACGAAATTCCCTGAAGTTGTTTACTCGTTTCCGTTTGTAATTAAATGACACATTACGCGTTTAGCAAGCTGCTCATTACCATGATTTTAAAGATGTCTTCAAGTAAAGGACAAAATAATTTAATGTAGTTACTTTCAATCAACTTGACATATATCACCAATTAAGACTTTCATGAACATTGTATGATGCCACCGGAAGTCTCATCACCAATCAATTAAAACTAGATCCGTAGTAGTCCCTTCTATTTCAATTTTACAAAAAAAGAATGAAATAAACTCGTAGAATTTTCTTTTTTCGATTTTAGATAAAACCACGATTTTAAAACCTTTATCTTTAGCCAATTATATAATTTATATCGTTCTGATAATCTTGTTGTATGAAAATTTATCTTATATATTTCACATCATATCTAACCTTCTGACTATATTTCACAATTTTTTTTTAGAAGAGTTTCAAAATGTAGTTAGTAGTTCTTGAAACTTCTATGCATCGTTGAATAATCTCGACTTTATGAAGGTTTTGAACAGAAAAAAAAAATAACGATATAAATTTAAATATATAGCTCATATAGCCTTTTATTTTATTTTATTTTTTTGTCGCCTGCTCATATAGCCTTTGACGAGTGAAATTGTATGTGGTCTTTGAACGATATAAATTAGTACTATGATACTATATGGGTCGTTGTGTGGTCGTTCGTTTGACCGTATGATTCACAAAATTGAGTAATAAATATAAATGTAGTTGGTACGTACTATATAGTAGTATTGGGTAATTAAGTAAGTCAACGGTTGAACACGTGAATCCTTCTTCCATTTTGCATGGCCTGCGACCTGTTCCTCTTTCTTTTACTCAGTTCAATGTAATAATTTAATGCTTACGGTACTGTTCCCTATTATTTTAGCTTCTTCGGACTTTTTGTTCATAATCAAGGTGCAAAATGTTAAATCAATTTCAAGTGTGTTCTTTTAGCGAATATCGAGAAGCATATTTAAAAATACAGATGTCAACGTAATTAATCTAATCCAAACACACACACACGTAGTTAGTTGCACATTATTATATTGTTATGACAGCGAAGTGACAGCAAAACTTTGATTACCGTGATATGATTAATAAGGTTATTAAACCCCATTAAGACTTATTTTTAAAAATACGTAATGATCATAAACTTTAGGGACTAAACATCATTGGTGGAATTGACTCCGTGAGGGAAAAGGTTTGAATTATTTTAATAATGAAAGTACATTTTCATCGATAAAGTTGTTTTGAAAAGAAAACAAATGGATAAAAGCAAATTGCAGTTGAGTTATATATAACCCGTGATTTGGATAGTAGTCTTAGAATCGGATGGGTTGGATATATACATGGCTTGAGATGACCAAGTGTAAGTGGCAGTAGAACTATCGATACAGGGGCTGCAACGTTAAAAAGTGAATCATGGTTGAACCCGAACCAATAGTGCGAGCATATCGTCGTCGTCTTTAGTAAAAATCATCACGAGGGTCACACTAGCTTGGAAACAGACACATATAAAAGTATTGATTTGATCATTTGCTTTTTCTTTTTGTTTTGTCTTTGTTTCGCGGTGCGACTACTATATAGGCCACTAGTGGTATTGAATTTTGAGTGTCTTCTAGTGCTGGGCACGAAGCGAATATTCGGAAAATTTGTGATATTTGTTATTTGTTTCGCTTCGACCGAATAGTTGATTTGCTATTTGCTTCGATTCGTAAATTTTCGAGTATTCGGAAATTCGAATATTCGAATATTTTTCGTAATATTTGCGAATTACTTGCTTCGATTCGCTTCGACCCATCTAATTTTTTTTTTTAACTAAAAACATATAGAATATAAATATAAAATGCAAAATATGAAATATTAGAGGTTTTTATTTGATATGTTTTCAAAGTAAGAAGGAAATGTAACCACCGTCGAAAGAATTCTCACATTTTATTTTTAATAATGATTTTTCTAGTAAAGTTTTATTTGCTTAAAAACAACATTTAACAAAAAAAAACCCAACGAGCCAAAATATAATAATTTGAATAATAACACTATCAGATATATATCCAAATCTATAAATACACATACTATATATAATATATATATTATATAATAATTTATATTTATACATATATATAAATATACGAAGCGAAGCGGATATTCGGCACTAAAAAAATCAATATTTGTTATTTGCTTCGGTTTTTACGAATACTAAATTTTCATATTTGATTCGGTTAAATATCTTATAGATATTTGAATTTTTCGAATCGAATCAAAACGAATATCGAACCGAATCGAATCTAACGAATATTTTGCCCAGGGTTACTTCATGACATGCAAAGCCAAAGGTGAGAGAGTCAAATACAAGTTGCTGAGTGGGTCGTCTTTTACATTAATAAAGAAAGAAAGGAAACAAAACGGTTGCTGCGGTTTCCTTATTCCCCACGCTTATTTAATCTAAATTGTTTAATTAGTCTGGTCTCCTTATCGCTAGTTTTGTTTGGGTCACGTGTTACGGCTGAGAGCTCAGAAAGCCGCGTCATTGCTGACCTATCTCTCTTCTTCATCTCGCAACGTACGGTTTATGGAATCTGCTGAAGTTTATTTCCCAAAACGTTTTGCTTACCCTAAACAGCGAATTATAACAATCCATTTTAGGTATTATGTTTATCAATTACATAATTCACCAAATATATTTGAAGTCAAACATCCTCCATTAAATTCGATTTTCCTTGTACACGAATATGTGACGTACGTACGGTCAATCTATTCTAACGTACAGTATGACTACATATATACAGTGAGTCGATTTTGCACAGAAAACAGAAAAAAATGGAAATATTTTATTTAGACAATTTATACAAATATTTTGCGTATCTTCTATTTTGGAGGGGAAGTTGACAATTTTAATAGAAATTTTTCAATATTGTACAGCGTAGATGGATATATAAGATAGACTATCTATCTAAACGCACATCTACCTATACTACAGTATATTCACACTATACAATACAATACAATGCATTCATCATAAACTATTCACACTAATACGAGATATAAAATTTACTCAAACAAGATTGTTTGAAATTGAATTGTTTAACATAAGATTACGCAAGTCAAATATTTTCTGACTATTTAAATAGAAGGTTTCGTGATTCTATTTTAAATTTTTGTGATATGGATAATGACTGTACGTATATACGTACCCACCAATCCAATTAATAAAAAATATCCTAAAATGTGAAAATATATTAACAAATATGGCCTTGTAAAACAAGACTACTCTGACTATACTACACTAGAGTCAACCCAACCAAGCTCAGCGTACGCGTCAGCTCCCGGTTTGACAAAAAAAAAAAACATATACACAAAACCATTTTTGTTTTTCTCTTTTAAAAGTCCGGTTAAGTAAAATGTGACGTCATCACTTTTTTGGTCTATATATATCCCGCATCTGTACCCAACTCTGTTTATACGCGTCCTCTCTCCTTCTTCTTCTCTCTAGCAATTACTCTCTGTCTCTCTCTCTCTCTCTACACAACAAATCAGAATTCAAATTTTATTTTTGGAGTTTTTTTTGCAATTTTACCAGAAAACAAACAACAAATGGGTCTCTGTGTATCTGTTAATCGAAACGACTGCGATTCTTCGTCGACGACGGCTAAAATCGTCACCATCAACGGCGATCTCCGTGAATACGATGTGCCGGTGTTAGCCTCTCAGGTCCTGGAATCTGAATCGACGGCTTCTTCTTCGTCTCGATCTTCTTCTTTTTTTCTATGTAATTCCGATTCTCTCTCCTACGACGATTTCATCCCGGCGATCGGATCCGACGAGATTCTTCAAGCCGATCAGATCTATTTCGTCCTTCCCATCTCTAAACGCCAGTACCGTCTCTCCGCCTCGGACATGGCGGCTCTCGCCGTGAAAGCAAGCGTCGCGATGGAGAAAGCCGCGGGGAAGAATAACCGCCGTCGTAAGAGCGGGAGGATCTCTCCTGTCGTGACGCTGAATCAGCCCAACAGAATCGGAGCCGGCGAAACGATGGCGATGGGAAAGGGTAAACAGCTGGACAACAAAACGGCGCCGTTTAAAGCTGGAAACGGTTATTCCCGGTCTGATTCGGTTCGGAAACTGAAAAGATATACTTCTGGGAGAGCTAAATTGGCGGTTCGATCGTTTAGACTGAGACTTGCTACTATATACGAAGGATCTGTCGACGTTTAGATATCACATCATCATAATCACCCAAACTCGAATAAACGATATGTACAAGTGTATTACTTTCAGTTACATTTTTTTGTTCTTGTCGTCGTTACTGAAATGATCGATTGTGTAATGTTACATATGAAAATAGTCTGTAAATTACAGCTTTTGTGATAAAAGTAATCTCCCATTTTGTTATGTCATTTTATGTAATTATCCTTTTATGTACCACCAATAATTAAAATCAAGTGTCAATCACACTGTGTTAGCAACTTGCGAAATTTTATGAGATTTGTTTATATATATTTATAAACATAACACATGCACGTACTTTTAAATCAGGATGAACTGTTATGTTTCGTTAATTAATGATATGAAATGGTTTAAAATTTTAAGTAAATGGTCAGTCAAAGCTCCGCTTTTGGAAACATGATTATAGAGCAAATCACAAAGCGATAAAAGAAATATTATAAACAAATCCTTTGTTAATTAAGTTTCACAAAATGGAACTTTCGTGTGAAAGAAAAGTACAGTAAAAATGACTTGGAGGGGAAGTTTGGTATTCTAATGTGAAAAGATGTTTAATGGTGCGTGGTGGGTTCGGAAAGAGACAAATATATATATATATATATATATATATATATATATATATATAGTATGATGCAAGATTTGGGTTTGCAGCCAATTGGGATTTAAACTTCTGATTCCAAAGTCATTTTCAAATAAAACATCAATTTGATTCAAACTTTCATTTGTGTTGTTGTTTTTACTATATATATTTTATGATGCAAGATGGTACTATTTACTTAACAAAACTCTGATGACTAAAATAACCCAATTTGTTCTAATAATGATACTAGGGAAACATCAAATTTGATTGAAAAAAAACTTATTTATAATCTTATTAATTTCTTTTTTTTTTCTTTTTTTTTCTTGAAAATTTGTTTGAGAAGTTGGTGTGAACCCTAAGATTCGATTTTATCAATTGGGGCAACAAAAGCGGAATCTAACGGGTTAGTCCTCCGCTATGACCGGCAAGTCTCCGACAACGACAGGTTGTGTATTTGGCGGCGACAACATTAACTAAATTATCTTTCTTATGTTTTTGTAAATTAAATATAGGCATGCAAACTTATGTACAAGACTCCAAACGAAACTGTAGTATTTTCCCGATTTGGTTGCTCCTGTTACCATATGCATACGTGTGCTTTTTGCCGGATGAATATAAAACGCATGAAGTATAGTCTAATACTCTAATTTATTTTGTGGATATCCCTCTATATTGTATATGAAATGTTTATTTTTTTGAATTTATATTTCCAGAAAGATCGTTTATGAAACTATTGCAAAATTTACCCTTAAAATATCTTGATCATGAAAGAAACCAATTACAAGAACCACATAAAAATAATATATATATATATATGTACATACATTATAAATATCTTCTTCTATGTAGAACTAAGGTATGAATGCGGAATTATGTAATTGACTATATATATATAATATATATATATATATATATATATATATTATTTTGTAATAGAACAGACTTATTTTAATCATCGGTGTTGTCATTTATGAAATTTGGTTATTCGGTTTGGAAAAAAGAAAAAGGTGAAAATGGGAATATAACTCTTATTTCTTTTCATGGATCATCATATTATAAGTTATATGATATAACTTTATTTTGTGAGTTGTGTGTATACGAAAATAACAAGTCTCTCTATCTCCCGGCCTCAGATCGGACTGTTGATTTTGTTGTTGGTAGTGTACCAAACAAATTTTGGCCTTACGGGAGCCGGGAGGCACACAATTATTTTTCATTTATGTTTATTTTGATTGATTAATTTTGTTTCTGATAAATAAATAAATAATGTTTTTGATATTTTATAACCTTATCGCCTTATTTGACCTTTTTTCCTTAAAAAATAAATAGTTTTACGAACGTGTCAAGTGTTCAACTGTCAACACCATGAATAATTTTTACGTTGTTATGTGTCAAAGAACATACAAATTAGAATTACATTCACATCCTTAATCCTATTGGCTACATTTCAATATTATGACACAACCTGGTCACTTGTTCCGAATGTGTTATATATATCAATGTCAAATAAATTTGTCTAATGATATGCAGACTAAAGACAAAGGGGGGTACCGTGGTCCGTGGAGAGACTTCGATCTTGTCACAGTCTTCATTTTAACTCAATGCATGTACGTACGGTATTTAATTATCTTTCTTTTCTATACCAGACATGTAAATCAGGATGACAGGATCATATGTTAAGACTTAAAAGATATATTGAATTATTTTAAATTTAAATAACTTCAAATAAGTTTATTACATAACTTACAGTAGTTTATACTTTATAAGCTTTATATTTGCCTATTTGGGATCCTAATATCTTCTCCAGATATATATTCTTTTTTTATCGGTTTACTCTGAACCAAATTTCACTATAGAACCGGTAATAAATCATCAACAAATTGGACTATAATCCTATATATTAAATTTTATGGACTTCTAAACAAAAAAAAAAATATACAAGAAAAAGAAAAGATCAACGACTAAATTAACCAATATATTCCTCATATACGACTCTAAAGTCTAAACTAACATTGATATTTATATGTGACATCAACGATTAAAAAACTATCGAGTTTAAATTACATGTCCTAATCAAAATATGAAACAAAGAGAGATCAAGAAGACAAGACGAGAAGGTTTGAGGCTTTTTCAATCAAAACCTCAGTAACAATATTTTTGACATATGTGTTTTTTGTTTCTTCCTTCATGTTCATTTCATCATACATTTTCAAACACTCAATGAATGATTAGTTTCATCATAGTCAGCCTAGTAAATTGTTTGTTTCTGAATTTTGACAGAAAATAAACGTGGATTTGACTTTTTGACATATTCTTGTTCATACTGTATAAGTGATTCGGAATCGTAGCTTAATTTGATACATTTTGTGGCTCTTGCATCGCATGAGAATACTACAGTGATGTTTTAATCAGCCCATCAAAGTAGTTTCTTGACCCATTAAATAAAGTCATATAGCTAGGCCCGTTCGTGTGAAGATCTGCTTGTTCTCTGTTTATGTACTCTCTCTAGTCTAGGCTTCAGCGATGCCTTACGTGCTGCATACACAGACTGAAAAAAACCTTTTTTTCATTGCTTTGTCTATTCGTTGATTGTTGATTGTTATAAAATTTCATATATCATGCTTGCCCCTTAAATTAGGCTTTAATGCCTTATATTTCGGGTAAGTCATTTTTTCAAATTTTAATCATGGACAAAGGAAATGTATAGTCCCCACAACAGCACATAAAACTGATCGTGGCACTACAATGGTATCTATACAGTAAAGTATTTGAAGACAATCATCTCAACAGTATGCATGCTTCTACGGCTTTCTCACGCTTAATAGTTTATATGATAATACCATATCATTGCCATGCTACCTTTTTGGAAACGTGTACTCACTATTACTAAATCATCTTTGTGTGGGTTATTCAAATGATAGAGTATATAGAACATACTTCCTTCTTCTATATACATAAATGGAAAAAAAATATCAAGAAAACACAAACGCATGGATTGGGTTCTTGAAGAAGCGGACCCATATCTTGTTCCCCCGACCAATTATATCAGTTCCCTCTATTCCCTTCGGCCTTCACCTTATCAACATCATTTACTAGTATATTTTCATAATTTTGGATCCATGTTTCGAAATTACATGAAACGTAATACTAAATTCAGGTTAGTATACCACCATTTGGTGAACACACTAATTAAGGAAGCAATCCATCACTTGAAAACAGAGAAGACGAAAGCGCACGCATGTATAAAAATATGTGGTTATCCATCACATAAAATTTAACAACAAAAACAAAAATACTAACTTAAAAAAAGAAATTCTCCTCCAACTTATACCTCACACCTATAAATATGCCATCAAACTTATTCTCGTTCTCTTCTTACTTACGATTACAAATAAAAAGAAAAAAAATATGAGAACGATGGTAGATTTGGGAAAACAAAGAAGTCATTTACAAATCATTGATTCTCCTACGAGCGTTGACTGTGCTCGTGAAGTCAGACTCCGAAGAACCTTCCGTTCACTCATCGAGTGCGTCATCCCATATTGTTGCACGTACAAACCTCCTCCTTCCGACCAAAACGACACCGTTTCTGTCTCTTCCTCCACTTCTTCTTCCGACCAACCCGGTGTCCTAGTCACCGGGACTTTCTTCGGTCACCGCCGTGGTCACGTCAGCTTCTGCCTCCAAGACGACACTCGTCCCTCCTCTCAACCTCTCCTCCTCCTCGAGCTAGCCGTTCCCACGGCGGCTCTTGCTCGGGAGATGGAGGAGGGCTTTCTCCGAATCGCTCTCCGGAGCAAAAGCGACCGCCGGTGTAATATTTTTAACGTTCCGGTTTGGTCTATGTATTGCAACGGCAGGAAATTTGGGTTTGCGGTGAGGAGAGAAACGAATGAAAACGACGTCAGTTTTCTCCGGCTGATGCAATCTGTTTCCGTAGGCGCAGGGGTGATTCCAAACGGCGAGACGTTGTATTTGAGAGCCAAGTTTGAGCGAGTGACCGGATCAAGTGATTTGGAATCGTTTCATATGGTGAACCAAGGGGGTTGTCATGGACAGGAGCTTAGTATTTTCCTGTCGAGATCTTGAAACTTGTGATTAGGAAACATCTATAGTTATGAATTATGATCCATGCTAATCTTAATGTTCGTTTTTGTCTACGTATTATATTACTTTTTGTCGTTACACGAATGAAATTAGCAGATTAAATAACCTAAATAAATTTCAACGAATGAAATTAGCAGAATAGATTACCTAACAAAGTAAAGAAGTTAATCATCATATACATTTAAATTGTATGGTGAAAATAGCAGAATTATTAAACAAATCATATAAACTGACCTGACCATGCTACACAATTATATTTGGTTAACTAGGCTGATTACCTATCCAACACATTGACTTTGAATGTTTGATAACGATTAAAAACATCATCATGATCAATAATAATGCAGTGGGGTGTCCCTGCTTTGACTCCTCTCCTGCCATTTTGCATTTGTAATATCTTCCAAGACTGAGTAATACTCATGGGCCACCGGAGCGTGGACAGTACGCACGTGCATTGGAGGAGTCTGATCAAAGCGACAACTGAAAGCAATGTGTGACCAAACAGCAACCATCGAATAATTAACGCAATCTAGCTTAGCTCCGGTGTCTCCTTCAGTGCCGAACCAGCACCGCTCCTTCATATCCTCCTCTTCCCCATAATGTTATGATTTTTTTTTGCCCTTTACCATATTCTTTAATTCATTCATTCCAGATCTGTTTACTCTCTTTTTGACAAAAAAAAAAAAAACGATCATTATTTAGCCAATAATAAGTTCTTTATATAGATATATCGGTTGTATTAGTAAACAATTATAGATTAAACACAAGTCATTGACATAATGGCTCCACCACACCATGTCTTCTTAGCATGGTTTCACGCGCACCATCAACTTCACGGTTTTCTCTTTGCTTTTATGGATACAATTGCTGCTCGTGAGTCGTGATTCGTATTTATTTTTTGTTTAGTCTTCTACTGATCTCAAATTTGACGACGATATATTTTTACGTGTGTTTTTTTTTTTTTTTTGGTTTTTTGTTCTTTCTCGAATACTACGGTTTAACGGGGTTTGATACCTGAGAAAGACTCACTAGTTGATACAAAGCCCAATTGGATAATGGGCTGATCGATGGTTGAACACCAGGGCACATTTGTGATGTTACTATATCGATTATTTTGTTTCTGCGGTTGTGGATCCAAGTTTGTGGGTGATCGGTGATGAGAAAAAACAAAAAACGAAAACCTAAGTTAATAAACAATTATTACTAGTTGTTCTTTCCATTTGTTAGAGAATCATGATGCTTCCACACGTGCAATTTGTATCTGATTTTTACATAATTAATTTGAACAACCTGACAAGAAAAGAGAGATTATTTAAATAATTGACTTGTTAATGTTATTACAAAAATGTGATTTAGTAATATGCTGGGACTGGCACTGAATTTCAGACAGCACGTGTCGCATCGAACCATAGTGATCATGCAAGAATACATGCGCCGGTATTAACGTTGTTGCAGGCATACTAGCTAGCTAGTACGTATACATATATATATATATATATATGCAAGACTGAAACAGTTCATATATATTTGTAATTCGTGAAATGATTTGAATCATAATTTATGAAATGGCTTGTTTGAATTCCTTTTCTGTAGGCCGATCTACTAACAATTGCGGTTTTAAAGTCAGTAACTATAATATGTCATGATCGTCAATGATTCAAGGGGTTTCAAGTTGATCCACAAAACTCTTCAAGCTCAATGTTTTTTGGATCGATTCTTGATCAAAGTACACTTTAAAGTGGTTTATGAGATCTAGTATCAAACTATCAATAAACTAGTACTAAGTCATTAAGGAGATCGATCGAGTGGTGGGGGGATATATTTTAATAAACTACTGTAGTACTAAGTGATTAAAAAATTACTAGTAAGGTGCGAGTGCTACTTCCTACTACTTTATAAGTACGTATATCATTCGTGTATCTTTCTTCTTCTTCTTTTTTGCTGCCAGCACCGGTTATAAATGAAGTAAGTTACTCAAAGCTGGCATTTCATGTGTGTTAATAGTACCATTGCCGGTAAAATTAGCTAGCTAGATAGACATGTTCATTCATTTTATGTTTTATTAGACTATATTGAGAGTACAGAAAATAAATAAAAATCGAATAAATATGTCAAAATACATAATAAATCTAGAAATGGGTACAAATCAAAGGGTAATAAAATGTGGTCACCCAACGTGGCTGAGTTTCCTTTTCGATTTTAATTGTGTTGGCATAAAAGTCGGTGCAAAGGAAAGCCCCAAAATATTTAACTCTGAAAATGAAAGTTTGGTCCACCTCTATCTATCTTCATTTTGTGAAATGAATGAATGAATTACTCAAAATCAAGTTTTGACATACAAATTATTTTTTTGGTTCAATTATTAAAGTATTCTTCAGTCTTGTTTCTATCACTGTCTTTGGCCAGCTGATTAATTAGGCTAAGGCAAATATACTATACACACACATACTGTCATACATATATGGCTACGTATAGGAAAAAACATTGTACATTCACATTCGTGATCTAAAGCTATCTTTAGATGGCTACAAAATCCTCAGATAGGATTGGGATATATCACACTTACCCAAAATATATATAGTATAGTATTAAGAAATATTATTACCGGCACATGCATGACGTGTGTGAGAAAGAAAAAAAGTAGTACAGTACAGTTGACATTCAAAGGTACTACTGGTAATCAAATCATGGAAGTTTTCTACATATTAACTGCTTACATATATTATCTTACTTGAATATATATTGGAAATATAAGAAGTTGTAAAACTGAAATCCAATGACTTAGAAAACACCCACACACATATATATATATATATATATAGCAGAAAACGTAACGAATAATACCATTATACCAAACCAGATATTATAAAATCTAATTCTTTATAATATATCCAACCCAAGATTAATATAGAGTCGCGTATAGCGGACTAGAGAGCGAGAGAGACGCACAAGGCAGACGACAAAAAAAAAAAAAAAGAAAAAAAAAAAAAGGCAGACGACGACGATGACGATGATGAGTCAGTCGCAGTAGGATGGGAAAATTAGAAAGGGAGAATGACTTTTGCCCGATGATTTCTTAATGACAATGTTGTTGTACTCTTGCCTTTTTAAAAATCCTAAAGTCTCTAAATAAACCCCTGTATTAATAGCAGTAGTTAATAGATTCAGAAGATTTTTTATTTAAAAAAAACAAACAGAACAGGGTGGCATCATAATTTATGGGGGACAGCTGTCGTGATTTCTTATGCATTTATGACCACTAACATGCAATGGCACGGATGCACATTTCTTCTTCTTTTCTTATGTAATTCGTGTGTATACATATATTGTAAATGACTAAATGTAATGTAATGTATACACTTTCTTGTTCTAGTCATTCTTTCTTCTTCCTCTTCTTCTCATATTAGTTTCTTACTTACTTATAATAATATATATATGCCAATGATCGGCTGTCATGAATTCCATTTTTTTCCATTTTGGGTTCTTAATTCTGAAATTCGAGTTTTGCAACACTATAAAATGTTGACAGAAACTGGTGACTTCAGGTTGATCTTAAGTTATTTTATTTCGGGGTTATTGTATATACATTTTTCTAATAGAAAATGTCGTATGGAGTGGGAGGTGTGAATGTGATCGGAGCATATTTATTGGTAATTTCTTTCACGACCCCATTATGCCAGTAGTACTGTAGTAGTAAATTGTCCCCATTAATTTAGTGAACTGTTTTATTAGTAGCTCATTGCCATTAATTGCATTAATTAGTTTCTAACTAATGTTCTTTTTTTTATGGAAGGAATTAAAACATCATTGAATTATCTCTTACCAGTTCTATTAATTAATAGTCTACTCAATTCCACTACTAGTATTCAGTATAGATCTAAATATCTTGAACACAGCACAAAAACCGCATAAACTGCATCATCCTTTAATATTCGGCTATTATTATCTTAATGATCTTCTTTAGTTTTTGCATTTCTCTCTTTTCTTATGATTGTCGTCACAATTCTTATTTATTTGTTCAAAAAAAAATAAAAAATCAATTCGTTTCATTGCATTATATTATGATGTTGTTGTTAGGTCTGATTGATGATTATATAGACATGCAAAGGGAGACTACTGGAATCACACTGCGAGCAAAAAACATGGCCATTAATATGATAACAGGTGACATTGACAGTCATATAATTAATTTATAAATATCCTATTAAAAAATACTGTATACAAAATTCAGATCTTAAACAACCAAGAAATAAAAATAGTAAGTGGAGTAAAAAAACAGAGTTAACTTGACCCGCTTGCTTAGTTCTGAATTCCAGAGGAAAAAAAAAAAAAAAAAGTCGGTTTCGTCATTTGCTCATTTTCCCGGAAAGTTACAAAGTCGTTCCCTTTTCAGGTTTTGAAGTCAGCCACATAAACCCAAACGTAAAGAGTATAAGCAAAAAAGGCTGGAGCTTTTTCTCTCTCTACAAGACATGATCTTCTAGTTTATAGTCTTATAGAGAGAGAGAGCGGGAGAGAGAGAAAGGGAGAAAGAGAAAGGGTGTGAAAATGATGGCTCTCATGAATTGTGCATATTCATCATCTCCTTCTTCTTCTTCTTCTTCTTCTTCTTCTTCGTCTTCCTCTTCTTCCTCTCCCAATTCGTCTTCTTCATATTCTCCCAGGTAAACCATTTCCATTTGCACTAGTGACTGCATTTAATCATTCAATCTTTGAATCAACGTTACTAACTTCTTGATTTTTATTTTTTCTTTTGTAAGAACAGAGAGAACATGGTTTTGCAGAGTGTGGTTGATGTGTCACCTTCAAGTTTCTCTTCCGACTGCAAATCTGTACGGTCTTCTAATCATTACATTTTTTTCCTCCCAAGAAAAGCAAAAGTTTTTTTTTTTTTTACCGTAAAACAAATAACAAGAAAAGTAGTCTCTGCATTTGTTTATTTTCTTTTCTTCTTCTGGGGGTTTTATATGGTTTGATATAACTTTTCATTAACATGAAAGTGAAGAGATGTTTTTAATTTCCTCCCAATGTCAGATTCT